CAAGTGGCTAATACCCTCAGTTCCCATATGCCATATTCACCCCGATTTTCCATTTGATCGGTGAATTTTAGAAAAACGAGGTAAATTCTGAGCATTCATACTACAAGTGGATAATAGCCGAAGTACCCATACGCTATCTTTACCCCGATTTGTGATTCATTCCAGGACTTCTACTTTTTCTCGACTTTGAAAAGGCCTTCGACACGGTAGAATGGTCTTTTCTTCCAAAAACTTTACAGTGTTACAATTTTTGGCAATCTGCTATCAACTGGAAGCTCTTTTACCATAACACAGAAAGCTGCATTCTTAACAACGGTTGGTCTAGCAACTTCTTCAAACTTGAAAGGGGGGTAAGGCAAGGCTGCCCTCTCTCTCCGTATCTCTTTATTCTCTGTGTAGAAATATTAGCCGAAACAATACGGCAAAATAAAAACATTAAGGGCATAAAAATAAACGAACAAGAAGTAAAAATCAGTCAATACGCGGATGATACTACCCTTATTTTAGATCGATCGCCCGCCTCTCTAACAACCTCCTTACAAATATTAGACTTTTTCAGCGAGATTTCTGGTCTCCGATTAAATAGCAAGAAAACTGAAGCTTTGTGGATCGGTGCGAATATTCGAAACGAAACACATCTCAGACCCGACAAAGATTTTAAATAGGTAAAAGATAAGGTTAAGGCTCTAGGCGTATGGCTCTCCACCAACCCCAAAACCACTATAGAAGCTAATTACAACGAAAAACTAACCAAAATCAGAAACAGCTTAAGCTGCTGGGAACTGCGCCGTTTAACCTTATTAGGAAAAATTACAGTTTTAGAAAGCCTTATTGCCTCTCAACTGGTTTACATCCTGTCCCCTCTGCCGTCCAACCACAGCGCTCTAACAGAAATAAATAATATGTTCTTCAATTTTGTATGGGATGGCAAGGGAGACAAGGTAAAGCACAACATAATGATCAACGACTACGAGAACGGAGGGTTAAGGATGATTGATATCAAAATTTTCAACAAAGCTCTTAAATCAAGTTGGGTAAAAAAATATCTAGATCCGGAAAATCAAGGAAAATGGAAACTTTTGTTTGACTATGAATTACAAAATCTAGGTGGTGTCGAATTTTTCGTACCAACCTTAATAAACAAGATCTGTTAAAAACTATAAAAACTGCAGAGGCCTTTACTTCAGAAATACTCCACATCTGGTCAGAAATCTCACTTGAAACTAATTTCTCCTCCATTGATCAGCTAAAGGCGCAAAGTCTATGGCATAACTCTCTTATACGTGTCGGTAACAAACCTGTATACTATCGTTCATGGTCTGTAAAGGAGTTAAAACAGTGGGCCATTTGATGAATGATGCGAATAGTTTCCTATCTTTCTCTGATTTTAAAGAGCTTTACGACATTAAAACAAACTTCCTTACTTTTCAAGGCATCTTATCAGCTGTTAAGGCCTTACAAAAAGCAATGAAGCTAACTTCAACAGCTGTAATACTGCATACGAAACTACCTTCGACACCTTCCTAAAGACGACAAAACCAAAAGACTAACATATAAAATTCTGACGAGCAACAGAATGCATGCTCGAAACACCAGATAATGTCGACTGGAAGGCAGTTTACAGAACTCCTTTTCTGTGCACAAAAATCACAAAATTGATTGTTTTTCAATTTAAGCTACTGCACAGAAGACTAGCCACCAACACTTTTCTTACCAAGGTAAACCTTAGGGACAATGAGCAGTGCACTTTTTTTGTAAAAGTGAGAAAGAGACTCTCATCCACCTATTTTGGACTTGTGATATATCCAACCGTTTCTGGCAAGGTCTTAAACAATGGATAATTTACCTTGGAGAACCTTTCGCAGAAATTTTCAATCTATCGCCATTTATAGTACTAGGGCTTAAGCCACACAAAAACAAGAAACTAAACTTCCTTTTTGTGGTCACTAGATATTTTGTATGGATATGCAGAATGCGCAACATCTCTCCGGAAATAAAAACTTCCCCCTCTTCTTCTCACATTATAATGCATAAATCATTATTATAGGAAAAACCATGCTTAAAACAAGCACAACACGCATTAACTTAGTGTTTTCTTTAATTCTGTTTACATATAATTTGATGTTTGTATCCTTTTTTCCTGCACTTTTTTGTTTTCTTTTAAACTACCTTCTTTTCTATAAATTGTGAGTAGTGCACTCTGGCTGTAAACGCTTTTTTGTTTTTTTCTTTTCTTTTCTTTTAATATATTGTTATTTGTTTAGTCGCTCTTCAACCAGTATTGTTTTAAATATTGTATTGCACTGTAACGTACGTATTTGTAAAAAACAAAAAACGTAAGTAATGTAGCTATAGATGTAACTGTACTGTAAGTTATTTTCTGTAGCCGTGATATAAGTAATATAGCTGTAATTAAAGTAATGTAGTTGTTTTTGTATTAAAAAATAAATTAAAAAATTTATAAAAAATAAATAAAAATATTGTGACAGTCAGATTTTAAAAAAAAATATTTACCCCGATTTTCCATTTTTTTCAACAAATTCTAGAAAAACAGGGTAAAATCTAAGAATGCATCCTCCAAATTGAAGAGATCCCAAGTTGCCATATTCAATCTTCAACCCGATTCTCCATTTTTTTTTTCAATGAATTCTAGAGAAACGGGATTAATTCTGCGAATTCATCGGCAAGTGGCTAACACGTTAAGTTCCCATATGCCATCTTTACCCCGATTTACCATTTGATCAGTGAATTCGAGAAAAACGGGGTAAATTCTGAGCATTCATGTTACAAGTGAATAATACCCGAAGTTCCCATATGCTATCTTTACCCCGAATTTCCATTTTTTTCAGTGAATTTGGCAAAAAACGGGGTAAAATCTGAGAATTCATCCTCCAAAAAAAAAAAAGGATCCCAAGTTACCATATCCAATCTTTAACCCGATTTTCCATTTTTTTTTTCAACGAATTCTAGAAAAACGGGATAAATTCTACGAATTCATCCGCAAGTGGCCAACACGCTAAGTTCCCATATGCCATCTTTACTCAGATTTTCCATTTGATCAGCGAATTCTAGAAAAACGGGGTAAATTCTGTGAAATTCATTCTTTAGGTGGAATATATCCTACTGACTTGCCATAGCCAACTTTACCCCGATTTTCGATTGGATCATTGTGTGAATTTGTCATAAACGGGGTAAATTATGACAATTCCACCCAAACGTGCAATAAATCCAACAATGATCTAGAAACAGTACTAAAAAAGAACAGCTAAAATCAGCGGGACCGCAATAAAATCACATCACAATCTACTACTTCAAAATTTTACGGAGGGCTTAGTGCGATACAGCAAAAACCTACAATATTTAAAATAAACAACCAAAGGCCAAACTTCTGTGATTCAAGGAAGACTTCGTGACGCGACGCAGACAAATTATCACAACTTTGACCTCTCAGTTGATCTCACCTCCAGCAGATCAGCGAAGCGTCAAAATATATAATTTCATGCCGACGAACCATAATCTATGATCTTCAGCTATTAAACAAAATAAAACAATTGTGATATGACACCACATTGTGCTTTTGTCTTAGCTTGTGTGTAAAATGTTGTCAATAGAGTCGCAAGTCGAACAATGAGGACAGTAAATAAAGCAAGACTGCAAATAAAGCGTGAACAATAACGCATCTTTTGGTCGAAAGTCGCTTTGTTATTTACGTAGCGAGTTATTCTTCCACGTTTAGGCTATAACAACGATGCGATCACACGGCGCCAACGAAGGAACGATAGAACTTCAAAGAAAATAATGTGAGAGGCCAATGATCCGGTTCGCAGTGATCATGCGAACAGCATGTTTTCCTGAGATCAGTTACCGGAAAATACTGGTCAAATTTTCCACTTATCCCGACCCCCTCGAATAAGTACTTTTGCTTGAAGACATAACTACAACGGAGTCTCTTAACCAGTCCCAAGCTGCGTGTCGCTCGATAGATCACAGGATATGATTGGCCACTCTATCACATTACGTCAGAGGACATATCTGCAATGAGAGGACATAAGTGCAACGGTACAGGTGAGAATCCCAGATGACCTGGAGCGATTTTACACAATTAGTCAACCAAAACAAAAATGGCGGATGTGGACGAAGACATGGTCAGAGAGGATCTGAGTGACAGGTAAGTTTCTTTGTTTTCCTCTGCATGATTTTCACTACTTTCCTAAGAATAATTTTCGAATTATTCATATTCTCAGCTAAAATGCGTCATCGTAGAAAATGCTTGAAATTACTTGAATGCTCGCAGTAATTTGATAATTTACCGCTATAATTTTTGCTGATGATGGTCGTTTATTCCGGGTTCACTTACCTCTTGTAGAATAGAGCGCAGTCCGGATGAAATCTGGAATTACCTCAACAGCGTGGTATGTCAAAATCTGATGTAAAATTCTAACATCTTCTGCCATCGAGTAGCACATAGAAACATTTTTCGAATTTGTAGGTACCGTCTAGTTTATTCCATGGTTGAAGTATCTTATAATTTCCGTATGTAACACTTGTCGATGAATTTTAATAAATGACTGCAAGATGAATATTTTATGTCTTAATTTACTTTTACAAATTGATACGAAAAAGCAGTGATCAAACGCTCGTTACTATCGTAAATTCTACCCACTATGAGTTTAATTCCCACACATACCATAAATCTTTCGCGTGAAACCAAAGAAAACAAAAACAGCAACAAAACAGTTTAAATTGTAATCTGCAAAGATTTCCTTACAATACAAACAATGAAATCTGTCTATGCAGATATCTCATACGAAATGGACTTCTCTTTTATCACTTTTAATTTGTTTGTTTGACTTTTCGATGGTGAATCATACCTCGGATATAAATAATTTCTTAACTAATTTTAAACAAAATTGTGATATACGTCCTTAATTGTGTCATTAGGCGCCAGTGGTTACTTCACCTCTAAGTTGATTTTTTCTCTTCCTTTTTTTTTTTTTTTAATTCAGGAGTGTGTGGCAACTGATATTTCTCCAGAGACTGCAGAGAGCCTGTTTAGAATACTAGAAGATGACGGCAATGAAGAACCCCCATGGCAAAATAGCAACACAGTCACTGTTACTTCAGATGACCAGAAACAAGAACAAGCTGTTAAATGTCTTGTCAAAATGATACATCTTATCCACCAAGCAAATCTTAACAAAAGGCAACAGGTCCATGTAAGTGTAATATTTACCTTAAACTCCCATCAGTGATCAAGACATAATTTCTCCTCACAATATTAGTACAGTATCAAGCAGACGAGTGATGAGAACTAAGATTAAGGGATGATTATTTGATCTAACACCAAATTCTCCAAACTTGCATCTTAAGAATTGTTTGGCAGATAGTAAGGAGAATTACAAAATTGCGATCTTGAAGAGAAGTCACAGAAGCTGGAGTAAAGTGTCTGATGTAACATCAAAGTTTGATTTCATTTTATTGTCTATTTGTAGTGTCTTGTAGATACACCTTCATTGTTGAAGAGATTCCTGGAAATTATAAAGCTCAGGTAACATGCAGTTAGATACAGTATATCTCAGAAAATGATGAATGCAATGCTCAGTTAGTTAACATTTGACATAAGTTATTCAATTTTGACTATCCAACAATTTAATATGAATTTAAATGTTTTCTTGTGCATTTATGGACAATTTTAGAGGTTTCCAAGCTCATTTCTCAAGGACTGTCTTCATGGTGGGTAAGTGTCTGGTGAATTTATGAGAAATAAAAATAAAAACTCAAAAATTTTCAACACTTTTTAGCAGTATTGGTTAAACAAGAAATTTTCTTTCTTATTTCTAGATGCAATTCCTAAGATTCTGGATTGTGATAACTCAGCAGTTCTTCAGGTGACTAAGAGGCTTTTGATCCTTAACATCTTAACCCTTTAACTCCCAGATCAAATTTTTAATTCTCCTTACTGTCAACCATACAATTCTTATGACATTAGTTCAGAGAATTTGGTATTGGATCAACTAATTATCCCTAAATTGATATTTTTCTTTATTCTCATCACTTATCTGGTTGATATTGTATTGATATTGTAAGGAGAAATTCTGTCTTGGTCACTCATGGGAGTTGAAGGGTTAATATCAGTATGCATATTCTCCATACTGTTCTCTATACATTTCCTAAGATGCTGACAAGGAGAATTTGTTTAACAGTCAAGAGCTTCTTTACTTGGTGATCATTTCCTTTATTCTCCTGACCTTACTGTTTGATTCAGGAGTGATACTGTGAGGAGAATTTAGATGCTAGTCACTCTCATCTTTATCTCTTAGACAAATTTCTCTTAATACAAGTCTTCATAAATGATGTTGATTTTAATCATCATAATTACTTGACTTTTTATGATACCAACATGATATTAGTTAATTTTTTTCAACAGGCTATATTTCTTGGAGTTGGAAGTTTTGAACCTGTCATCTCTGTTTTGAACTTTGAGGTCAGATGTTCTGAAAACTTTTTGGATGATTCCTACAGTTAAATTTAACACAATTCTCAATTGATGATGTTTTTATCCTTTTCGCATGGGTCCATAAAACTTATCTAAAACCAGTTTCTAGAAGTCTGTAATATGACATACATGTGTTAATTTGATTGACAGCTCCCTCTGCACCCCCCTCCCCCCTCACTCAAATAATTCATTTTTGCTTATTTTGCTATGCTTTTACTTCAATTCAAACTGTTCCTAGATTTAAAATCTTGACCTTGTTACTAATTAGGGTTTTTGCAATAATTGAATTTAACCCTTTAACTCATACGATCTGATTGTCAATTCTCCCTCTCCATTAAGCTGTTACACATTTCCTTCTAAGTTAGCAGCAAGAATTTGGTGTTAGTTCCAGATAACAACTACATGATAGGATTAAATATTCTCATTATCTGTTTGCTGGATAATGTATGAATATTGTGGGGAGACGTTACATGCTAATCACCTATGGGAGTTAAAGAGTTAAAGTGACTAGGAATTTTAGTCTAACTGTGTATTTTGAGTTATTAAGTATTAATTGATGTTACTTATTTAAACAGTGTGAAGATGAAGAGACACAAAATGTGCTGTACAAAAGCTGTGTGCTGGCAATTCAAAGAATCATGTGTGCCTCACAAGCAGCAAAGGTGACCAAAGTGTATGACATGTTTTGATAAATTGTACAGGGTTGTAGTTGATAGTGCAGGAGCCATTGCCTAAGTGGTTACCATGACGTACTGTGGATAAGCCCTTCGCATTCTTACAGCTGTATACATTTTTTTCATACTGTTCTCTTTACATTTCCAACTTCCCTAAAGTGCTCTTAAGACGAAGCTTTGTTTAGTTTGTCTTCCAAATCAAATTTTTATTAAATGTCTTGTTACAATTTATAGATCATTCAGCATATTAAACTTTATTTCTTCCTTCACGCCTAAATTTAAATCAACCATCAACAGTGTTGGTGGTCAAAGAGTTGCTTTGTGAATGTGTCAATGCTAAATTCTTATTCATTTCATTTTTAACTATTTATTATCTCTGCCCAGACTGCCAAATGAATTCAAATTATTCATATTTTTCAGGAAGCATTTAAAGATAGCGTAGGGTTTGAAAGGATTTGTAGATACTTAAAAAGACTTCATGCTCCATCAAGAGAATTCATTCACCTCCTATTCAATTGGGTAGGTACTGTCGGCTTACTCCTTAGTTGTTAATTACTTAACAAGTTATCTGATAGCAGTGACTAAACAAGGGTGAAAAAAAAAATGCTGCCTTTAATTCTCAGTGATCACAAGATATATGATTAACACACAACTCTCTACAACTGACCCCAGCCAGGCTTGAACCTGGACCACTCAATCTGGAGTTGAGTGCACTAACCATGAGGCCACTGTGCCTCCACAATTGTGGTCATTGTGTTTTGTTCTTAGGCAAGACACTTTACTCTCACAGTGCTTCTCTTCGCCCAAGTGTACAAATGGGTACCAGCAAATATGCTGGGGGTAACCCTGCGATGGACTAGCATCCCATCCAGGGGGGAGTAGCAATACTCCTAGCCGCTACATGCTAAGGAAACAGGAGTTAAACATTGGCCCCATGGGCCACTTGGGCCTGTATAAAGGCTTTACCTACTTACTTTACTCTCTACAACTGAAGGAAAATTCCATGAAAGGTTTAGAGCCATTCAATTTTTTTTTCAATTTTAGAGTCCTAACTGCTTTTACATCAAAGTTATGCTGTTAATTTAATTTTTCATGTTCCCCTCATATATATTTATGTTCTTTAAAGGTAGTGGAAGGGATTTATGGTAAAGAAAACAAAGTGATTAACAATGTTGATGTCGTGCTACTTCTTCTGGATTGGCTTCCATCTTTATCAGCAGAAAACAAGAGGTAAAAAGTTTGCTGCTAATATTAATAGTTAGCATTACCACGCTTAAAACTTACCATCTCTCTTATTTCTATCTACAAACATTATGCTATTGACATTGCTGATCCTAGCAGTATGGAGGATTTGTGTCATATGAACTTCATAATAGACCTTGCTCACCGTGGAGTCTCGGTGGCTGAGTGGTTAGGGCATCAGAGTGTGGAATCCGAAGGTCTGAGGTTTGATTCCTCATGGGGACTCAGAATTTTTTCTTTGTCCCACACTCATGACAAGATGAAAAAACAGCTTTCTCTAATAATTATTGTCTTTCAAAAATAATTTTTATCTTTCCATGTACATTTTCAAAGTATCTATTGCCCATATCAAAGTAGTGTCCAGCAGGATATAGCTGATCACAAAACAATTTGTCTATTTTCTACTACAATTGACAATTTGGCTTGTTGTTTTCCTGTCTCATTTTAGGTATGTAACAGAGTTTATCAGACACTTGTGCAAGTTTTCAATGCGCAATGCTATGTTGTGTAGCACTAATGGTGTGTTCAATAAAGTTGTGGCACTTTTGGAGTCTGATGCACAGAACATTGATACCATTTGGGCAGGTATGTATATGTTTGGCTTAGATGATAGAGCAAGATAGTCACATTTTTTTAAGAACTGGCACATTGTCTCTGATTTGTTAGAAAAATCAGAGGCATCACTACATAAATGACCAAGTCTAAGAACTGCGTAAAATTTTACATTGGTAAAACAGGAAAACATCTAGGTGACAAACTCCAAGAGCACCCTCTCGACATAGAAAGGAATAACAAGGAAGTATCAAAAGTGGTTGTTGCTTTCTGACTGACTGTTTGACTCACTGACTGATGGACTGGTTGACTGACTAACCAACTGACTGACTGACTTGTTATTAGATTGACTGACCTATCAACTGACTTTTGACTGTGTCAGTGACAGACTGACTGTCTGATTCACGTGACCTACAGCCAAAAAAGTGCCCAACTGATTAACTTACACTTGTATAGATTTGATCCAAATGGACCTCTTGCTTTTTATTAACTCTCTAATCTCAAATTGTCTCTTTGTTCTCATCTGGTTCTGTAGAATCCCTGATTGGTATACTAGAGGCCATTGGTGCACATTCTGTAACATCACGTGAGCTTAAACAGATGATTGGACTCTTCAAGCCGCTGGAAGATGGTTCACAGGTCAAAAAAAAAGAAAAAAAATTGTCAAGCAATCACTATCTCTTTTCATATGTCTACCATAACAACAACATAACAGGACTTAGACCTACCTGTACACTGTACCTACTACTTTTTTTAAATACCCTATAGTAAGTTCATGAGCAAATGGAAGTCATATTAATAGAAAGACTTTCCTCTGATTTTTTTGCTTGCTTGATAGAGAACAGGGGGTCTACTCTCCTTTAAAATGCCACACCTCAAATGGTACAACAAATACCCTTGTCATATCTGTAGGAGAGTACTTCTGTTGTTGTGGATTGTGACAATTCATATAGAGAAATACATACATTGTATTATTTAAACTCTTTAGGCCAGTTATTTACACGAGGTCAACCCAAACTGCAGTTTTACACAATGAGTGGGCCTTAGGCTTTCTCCATAAGAGGGTCAATTTAATGAAATATGTGCCCTTCCACTGTAAGCTTTCAGCCTTCTTGACACTGTTCACAAAAGTAAACGTTCAGATAAAACGTCCAGCCTAAATGAGGATTGTTCAAGACGCTGTTTTGTTAGACAGTGGCTAAACCTTGTTTTAATAACTGGCCCTTTAGGCTTTTTTTTCATTCAAATGAATCTCGTTGGATTTAGTTACCAAGTCTTTTTTTTTTTAACAACCAACAGGTACCATTTGCTTACAGAGTCCTGCAGGCCTTGGTAAAAATGTCATTTAGTAGCAGTCGTTTGAGAGCAAAACACTTCTTTGACCTTCACCACCCCTCTGCTGTAAGTAATTGCTACGTTGTGTTTTTAAACAATCAATCTCTCCCCCACCGTCTCCACCCCATACATGTATATTCGGGGTGCCTCAAGTTTAACTCTACGAAATGGAGCGTTTGACGTCACCCGAATTGTGAGATAATTCTTCAGGAATCGGCAAGTTCATCATTTTTTTTCAAGCATCACAATGGGCCAAATCATATCCTCGTAACCAGCTTTTTACAATATTGATAACGGTCCTGATTTTTTTTCCTGATTTTTTTTCCGCGCCATTGGCGGAAAAGCGGGAGAAAGAAAACCAGCAGAAAAAAAATAATAAAGGAGTCATTTACTTTTCTTTGTCGGTCCGTACGGAAAAAAATGTGCTCTCGGTCTTGAGTAGATTCCTCGACCTTCGGCCTCTGACCGCACTTAAGACCTCGAGGACAGTTTCTTCCCATGCGGACCTTCCACTCGGTTCCAACGTATTTACATTTTCAGTAAAACTTTCAACCGTTGAAACTCCAAGAGTAGGTAGAACTTATAAAAGGAGGCAAATCCAGGAATTTTTGAAAGGGGGTTCCAAACTGTGATTACAATACACGTGAATATCTTGACAGTAGCTAAAATATGCTTTTTCTCCCAAAGGGAATCTCAGTTCTAGGTATGCAGAAATGGCCTGGCCATAGCTTCACATTTCACGCTTGGATTTGTCTGGACTCCGATAAAATCAAGGAAAGGAGTGATCTGAGTGTTGATAGAAAAATATTTCACTATCGGCGTATGCTCTACAGGTAAATATTTTCATTGAATTCATTGAGGACTGCTACCTGGTTAGCTTCCATCTAGTCATCAGTAGATTCAGGGGAAGGGTGTACGGGTTTTCGATCCCTCGATTCTTCCCCCCCCCCCCGTGAGTTTTTTTTAATAATTCTCTGGCAATAAAATTCTTGCAAAGACAAAATGGTATGTTACTATTCTATATGAAGTCTCGAGCCTAGGCTTCGATCCTCCCAAAGAGGAGCGTGGGCTTGATTCACTCCAATAGCAGGTTTCATAAGCTGCTTGTTTCTTTACAGTTTTTTCACTACTTCTGGAGCTGGGTTAGAAGCGTTTTTTTCTTCCACCGGACACCTTGTTGTGGCAGTGTGCAACAAAAAGGAATACACTTCTGTTACTGTTCCAGTTTGCCAGCTCTGTGATCAAACATGGGTACGATTTTTTAATGTGCTTCTTCTACAGAGTATAATCAAAAGAGTCCCAAAAATGTATCAATTTATAGGTTAATAAAGCCAAGATAACAACAACAGCTTTTTCTTTCTATTTTCCTATCATAACGCTCTCGAGATTGCTAAACCTAGCACACATGTTAACCTTCTAATGGCCTAACTTACCACACTGTTTCAGACCTCCTGTTAACTCGCAATAATTGTTTGGGCTTACAATATTGTTTATCACTGACAATCTTTTGTTCAGCATTCTGTAGCGGTGTCACATATACCTTCCCGTCGTCCTTTTGGGCAGAGCACTGTGTCTGTTTATGTGGATGGTGTGCTTAAGATCAGCTGCCCAATGAAGTTTCCTTCTCTCTCAGAGGTAAGCACAGTTTTGAATGGTTAAGAGTGCAATCACATTGATAATAGAAAAAAATCTTTTGTGGGTACGGTCCAATGAAATTCACTTTAAAATCCGACGTATATAGTTTTTTTAACTTGTGTTAATTTTTTACTGTGTTAGGATATTTCCAGTTGCCAGATCGGCTCAGGTTCCCTTCAGACCAACAGTTCACCACAGGAGTACCAGGATATGAACACCAGAAGCGGTCAGAAGAGGTTCACTTTCCCCCTCTCCTTTCCGGGGCTGTCGACAGAACCCAGCTCACCCCACTGCTCCACCATTTCTGCCGGGGCGCAGGATTATGTGTGGGGGGTACCAACATCTCTGCATGGACAATTAGGTCCCGTATGTGTGTTTAGCGAAGGACTACAGGAAAATTACATCACTGCGTTGTATGTGGCAGGTAAAACCTGAAAATATCATCTTTGATTTGTCGAAAATGTCTTTATGTCATGAACAAAATTATTACAATTCAACCAAGAATATTGCATTTCGAGCGTTCTGATTGGTTTACTAATCTCCGGTTATCAACTCATATTCTGAGTCACCATATATGGAAATGCATTACGCCAACTGTTGCGGAGCTGAAAAAAAGCTCCAAATATCCAAACGTCTAGGATTTGATGATATTTTATTTAAAAAAAAAATTGTTCCATTCGCACTTGATGGATACGAGATTGGTCATAGCCAACTCAGCGCTACGCGCCTCTTTGGCTATTTATTACCTCATATCCAATGCGCGCTCATGAAATAATAATGCCCCCCCTCCCCTTCCATATGATTAGTTTGTGGGTATCAGTCTTGTGGGCTTTTTGGGACGTGCTTAAATAGTTTTCGTTTCTTAACGTTTTAGGTCCAAATGATCTTAACCTGTTTCAACCAGTTGATACCTCCACTTCGGCACAACTCGCGCTGAATGACTTAACTCCAAAACTAGTTCTTTTCTACATTTCAAAGGTAAGCTATTGATTAGTAGTTTTGTAAAAGTGGATGGACCAACGACAGCGAAGTGTTATGGCGCCAATTTTATTCATTGTACAGAAGGCGATATAAATGCTGTTAATGTTGTTTTAGGCTGGACGGGATCATGATCTGTTGTGTAGCGATTTAACACCAGGTCAACCAGGGAGAATCCACTTGGATGGCAGGTAACAACTGTACTGTGCAATGAAACGTGTTTCAGAAAAATGAAGTTGTTACTCAGGTTTTTATCAACGTGGGAGAAAGAAAATCGTGAGTTCTCCATGAGGATTTGCCTTCCAGTCTTTCGGATCTTGCTTTTCAATGTTCCACAACAAAGCTGTAGAGATCTAGAAGGATGAGGAAGCGTTTCATTGATAAACTCTGTTTCATAAATAGACTCCACGCTGCCGTGGGTTTGTACAGTAATAGATCACAAATGACGTCAAAATGTGGTAAAAACAAATAAGGTGGCACACGAGGGGCAGTCGGGTATGTAACTGATGTTCTGACCACGTCTTGACATCTGTGATTTATTGTTGTACAGACCCACGGCAACGTGAAGTCTATTTGTTTTATATAATAAAGAGCTAAACATTATTGATGATGACGTCATCCCGGCTCAGTCCTCCAAAAGATCATAAACGTGTATGAATCAGATTGTTAACCCTTTCACTCCCATGAGTGACCAAGACAGAATTTCTCCTTACAATATAAATACAATATAATATCAAGCAGGTAGGTGATGGGAATAGAGACAAAGATATATTACTAATTGATATGATACCAAATTCTCCAAACCAACATAATGAGAATCGTTTGACAGACAGTAAGGAGAATTAGTTATGAGACCTTGGGAGATAAAGGGTTAAATAAAATGCCTTAACTAACCATAGAGTTCTCTGTAGCTCAGAAGAACATCGGAGCGCAATTCCTAAGATGCATGCAGGTTCAATTCCTCGAAGAGAAAGCATTGGATTTTTTTCTCTGCCCCCGGCTGGTGACAAGACGAAGATCTCCTTGCTTTATTTCGTGACGGAGCCTATATTTTCCCTCTTCTTTCTTCTATTCAGTCACATGACACTAGCTGATCCTAATAGTACGCAGAACGCAACTCACATATGACCTTAATAATGGCGTAGCTCACCACAGAGTCTCTGTGGCTCAGTAGTGGAGGGTTGGAGCGCGTAATCCAAAGGTCTGAGTTACGAATGCTCGCGGGGGAATCAGAACCTTTTTTTTTTTTGCACGCTTTTGGCAAATAGATATTAACCTCCCTTAATAGTCCATTGTACAGTTGCATGCTTCGTTGCCAAGCCTTTGAACAGGAGTGAGGCTAAGGGTGACCTTGTTATGATACAAACCTTCCCGCTTTTCAAATGCAAATTACTTTGTTATCATGCTAACTAGATACTGGTCTCTATAACAAGGTTATTTCAACCTCACTCCAAATCAAAGGCCTGACCATTCAGTACACAACTGTAAATGGCCTATTCGACAACCAAGTTCAGTTCATCATTTTTTGTGCCATTTTCCCTTGAAACAGATTAACTGGCCATAGATGTAACACCAGGAGCATGAAGGTAAGGGTAGAAATTGTAGGTAACATCTTGGAATAGCTTTCCATTTGTGCAAAAATCCTGGTCCTGGTTGTTGGATGGGTGGATAATGTTTTTGCCGGGTAAATCTCAAACTGCAGTATGTTTTGTCAACACTCAGCCGCTGATAGCGTTCTATCTATTGGAGAGCTACCCTTTTAGGAACTGAGTCCTATAATTTTTTGGTGGGAAATAAAATAAGGCCCGCCTTATCCAAATGAAATACCTTAGAAACGAAGAGGACTACCCTCAGAAGTTTTTTTGGATCAATATCAGTATCTGGGCAACTGCCCACCCACCCCTCCCCTAACTCAACAACAGTTAATTGACAACAAGTTAAGGTTAATGTTGGGTTAGGGGAGGGGTAGGTGGGCAGTTGCCCAGATACTGATATTGATCCGTTTTTTTTCCTTTTTCCTCGTTTTTACCTTTCTAAATCACCATATTAATTGCTTCGCCACGGTATCCCTATAAACCACGGTGAAATACACAGGTTTTGTCAGCTACGTTTGTCATCGAAAATCGTCCAAGCTTTCAGAGGATGAGGTACACTTCTGGCAGGGTGAACGCGCTTACAGTTTTTCCATTTTTGTGGCAAGAGATCCTATCGTTCCTCTCGATAAGAAACCCTCGCTTTTCAAACAAATTTAAAACCCATCTGTGGTTGTTTTTGTTTAGCCTGGTTGCCTAGATTAAATACATTGTTTCTGCTTTTCCTAAGGATGCTGTGCGCTGCATCGGTGGAATGAAAATCTTTTTAACTTTGCTGGAACAGATCCCGTCCTTTGAGTCACAAACGTCTACAGCACATATTGATAGCAGTGAGCAACTGGAGGTCTTTGATTTGGAAAAGTCTCTTGAAGAGAAAGGAGGGAGACACCTTGAAAGGTAGTTAAAAAAATCTTCATTTAAGTGCTGATGGTGAGATATACTTCTGTCTTCTTTTTAGGGCGTGGGGGAGGGGGGTCTTTGGGTCTTAAGTCTCTCTCTGTCTTGGTTTTTTCCTCTCTCTCTCTCCTTCTTATTTATGTCTTGTTTTTTCTAAAGGCACGTCAGCAGCACCTCAGAGGATGACTCCAGCCAAGCAGGATCCAGTGTGCCTTCTAGTCCCAGTCTTCCTTGCACAGAACAGCAAGAGGAGGAATGGGTCTACATTGAAGATAACTTCGACCTTCGATTTTACAAAAAAGAGATTTACAGACTGTGCAAGTCACGCAATAGTAACGGCGTAGCTTTGTTTATGTTTTTGCTTTTAAGTATTTTGAAAGGCCATGATGTGAGGGAGGAGGAGTTTGCGGAAACTCTTTGTTACGTTGGTAGCATATTACGTACTATGGACGTCAAGTTTATTAATGTTGGAGTGCTTAGATCGTTACAAGCTTTGGTGGAATGCGTGACAAACGAGACTGTTTTACAAAGCGTCTTTGAGAATCTGCTCTTTGATTTTCGCATTTGGAGCTGCAGTGAATTTAACGTGAGAATTGGACACATTCAGTTTATTTCCACACAAATTAAAGATTCACCGGAAAGATTTCGTTCCGAGTACGGAGTCAGGTTCTTTCTTGATGTCATTACCCAGCACTATAGTGAGCATGCGCCATTGGGAAATTCCGCTGGCTGGCATCGAGAAAACGAGATTCAGTTGATTCAGGAAGAAGTAAAGATTATCAGAGCATCTTTGTTAGGTTCGTGTTTTGAATACTTTCCTTGGTTAAGTCAGAAAAGAAGGCAGCTAATTAGTGATCGTATAAAGGACCTCTTGTTGCAGCGTTTAGATCACCCCTGATGAAGGCACTAGACAGGAGTGCCAAGACGTTGAGTCTATGAATTGTAACTTTTTCGGTTACATTCATTAAATCTATAAACCAGAGTAGCATCAAACCACGTCAGATGGGGTTGTTTGGAAAGACATTTGGGGCAGGGATTTTTACCGAATTATTCCGATATAAAGAAGGGCGGTTCTCTTTAAAGTTTGACACTCAAATACATAACAATTTTAGTGAATCCTTAGGGGAGGGGTGAGAGGGGAAGAGAGAAGGGGGGGGAGCAGGAGAACTGCATTCCATTAGTCAACGTCAGAAAAGGCAACATCAAAGCATAATTTAAGTTCCCCTGAGATTTAGCCTCCATTATTTTGCTATTCATTATTGTCATATATATTTTCTTAAGAAATATCACTTTTTTTCACATTTCCACCAATAGTCGGAGAGGATTGATGAATAGTTTTAACCCGAGAAGTCGATTTCAAGATGTGGATATTAATATATTAAGGGGGGGTAAGTTTCTGAAGAAACTGTGGTGCTGCGTCGGTTTGAGAGTGTAGCAGCTGATGTTTCGAACGTTAGCCCTTCGCCATAGCTCTGACGAAGGGCTAACGCTCGAAACGTCAGCTTTTTTACTCTTTACGGTGGCCAATTTACGTTTTCAACTCAGTTGTTAACACTAAATTGCCTATTTATATTTTAATTAGATTCTGTCCGCTGATAACTAATTTCAATTTTGCGTTTGTTTTATTTTAGGTTTGATTAAATTCTATCTGACTGAGAAAGTTGCACGAGAAGAGGTTTGGTTCATTGTGGAATACTTGTCTTGCGTAACAGACTCAGAACAAATCACAGAGGTGATAGACGTTCTTTTGTCGCTCTGTGAGCGTGCGTCAAAGAGTAAAATGGCTAAACGGCTGTCAGGTATTGACTGGATTGGAGATATGACTTATTTATATTTAATAAGCAATTTTTAGTATTTATATGGAGAATTGTGTCACATATCCTTCGGGTGACAAGTCGTTTCGTACCCACGGCAGTTTCGTATTCAGTCGATTCGTACCCAGTCACTTTATTCGTCCCATACCCTTACTGATAAAGTATGTTTAATGTAAGGTTGGATTCTTATTACTGTTAAAAACAAAGGGCGCATGGCGCTAATTCACTATTAATGTAAACAAAGTCACTGTGCTGTGCTTTATTTACATAGCATTGTGATTATTGTGTATTTGCAGAACTCTATTATCTTATTCTGGGTCTGGAAAAAAGGAAGATTGTTTGAAAAAAAGGATGAAAATCCATTTGCGATCAAAAATGTGTGCGATCCTTGAAAACTTACAATTTTTTTACTTTTCACCTTCAGATCCCAGACATATCCCAGTCTTTGTCACTTTACTAATCAATCAAAAAAACGAAGACCTTCGTCTCAGGATTCTGAAACTAATGTCCGCCATCATAGCGTCCAATAAGGTCCCCGAGGGAAACAGAAGCTATTGGCATTTAAGGCATATAGGGCTCTCTGCGGTTACAAAGCTCCTCATGGATGACGTCTCTGAGCCCCTTATAAAAAGTCTCCTGAGGCTGGGAGTGTCAGAGCATGATGAGAACAAAGGCGTTGATGTTTTGATGCATTATCACGTGGTGCTGGCCGTGCTGGAACTGATTGATAATAAGGATCTTGAAACGAAGCTTTTTGTGAGTCACATGGTAAGGACGGTTTTTCTTTGTTCACGGGAAATTTTCAAGGTAGCTTACAACCTTTCATAACTCTGATGCGTGCATGAATCGATATTAGTACTCAGTTTTTGAAACAGTTTGGTTTGGAAAATGAATAACTGTGATAACCTTCAACAGATATATAGCAAATGAAGTGCGTTAATCTCCAGAAAAAAGGCGTACGTTGCTCAGTAAACGAAGTAACTAAACTATTGGCAAGTCGATATCATTGCAATAAAGCCGTTGTGAAAAAGTTTTGGGATCGTGTTTACAAATATCGCCTCAAAAGTCTTTTCGTAGTTTTGTGTTACTTTTGAGCCTTGTTTTAAAGCAAAACTTCACTGTGTGTTTTAGATTTTACGATCAATTGATGCTAACTCCCTCAGCATGTCACGGTGTGCCAAGGAATTTGGGTGGCATGTTACGCTGCTCAGAATGATCACGGGCCCATTTGGCGCACCACGGAGTATCAGTGACTCGAAAGAACATGACATAAGTGTTCTGGAAGAAAAGAAAAGAGGCGAGGAAGATTTGATCGATACAGTGCTGGAAATCGTGTTTCGAGTGATGTGGAAAGGGGTTGAAGGCTTTGGCGAAAGCGATTGGAAGGTTAAAATATATCTTTTAAAATATTGTTTTTGTATCGACGTCAAGCGCACATACTAACGAATCTGCACGCATGCACACTCTTTTCACGCATGTGGTGACAGCAGTTCGAAGCTTAAGAGCTCACAGACAAAACCTAAATGGCGATTTGGAATGTTAAACAGCAAAATGATTAGGTTCTGGACAATTGTGTCCATGTACTTACTGGTGTAGCAACCTAACGCTTCTTGAAATGTCTGGGTTTGATTCCACATCGGTATCCCACAATCAAAACGTATGGATTTACCTTATCTCATGATTTCAATTGATTTGAACTCCCATTCTTTAACTAAAATTCCCCCCTTAGTCCCTCCCCCTCAGATCTATAAACAGAAGACAATGGTACGACTTTGCGGACAGAGCCACACCTCGAAGGGGAGGCAGGAGATAACGCGTTTACTCCACGTTTAATGCAAAAATTAATCGTTTAACAGATCAGAGATTGAAGTGAGAGAGTGAGTGAGTGAATTTCGGGTCCATACGTAAACCTCATGGCAAGACTGACGTCATACCACGAGTTAAAAAACGATATTTCTGCCATGTGACGTTCTCGCTGTCCCGGATGGAAACCCTTTGGCGAATTTATTTGTTGAGAGGTTCTGTCTTTCTCGCTGGGAACCTTCCTACCTTTAGTGACTTGTTACTCTCCTTCCTTAGGTTCGAGGTCAAGCCATAGCCGCAGTGAGTATCATTTCATCAGCGGAGTCTTTTTTGGTCTCTCATCGTGTTATTGAGAGGCGCCTTCTGGAGCTTTGTCTGCGGGGCGCCGTGCAGGATATCGAGGTGTCCGGACAGACAGGTGAATCTGAGACCCAGAATGCACTGATGGTAATGCGTTTGGTAGAAGACTTCATCTTTACGCCAGGTAATTCGTCAGTTTAAAAATGGAATACGCTTAACTGCAAGATCGTATCTAGGTTTCTATGGTATGAAACGCCTGGAAATATTTCTTCTCCTGTTGGTTAAGATGCTGGTGTCAGACTTCCGCAACTCGTACCATGTGTTTCTTCCTATCTTCCGCGTAATTTACATTTTTTGCACTTGATTTTTAGTGCCTTCCAAAGCTGTACTTTTATAAGAATCATTGGATACCTTGATGCGTTTGATTAAGAAAGCTGGAATGCCTAAGACTTAAAAAGGGCGTTTATAAAACCAAAGCTCTACAAGTTGCTTTAAGACACAAGTTGGTAGCTTGTGGCACCCGGGTTCTGTTGGAACCTTCCACAACACATATTCACAGCTCTGCAGAGCGCTCAATCAAAGAACTTGGAAAATATTAGTTTGGTTTCTCTTTTTTTTCTTCATCTTTTGCTTCTTCAGCCGCCATTGCGGGAGCGGAATCAGACACTGAATCGGAGACGTGGAGCGTGAAGGTATGGTTTACTCATATAGATGGAATTTTCTTCCCCAAACCTTCTAAGATCTGATTGCTAATTCTCCTCTTTAGCAGCAAGGCGGAGGTTATGGGTTCAAATCCCGTACAGGCCTAACTTTTTTTCAGGCCCTATTTTCACTACTGCTCAAGTAGTGTTCATTATTGCAAAGATCGCTTTCATATTCACATTTCATTGTAAATTAATTACGAAAAATTGGTGTCAGATCAGAATAACTACTTGTACGTGATAGGTTTGAGTATTCTCATTACCTGTTTGCTGGATAATGTATGGATATTATTGGGAGATGTTGCATATTGATCACTGCTTGAAGTGTAAAGGTTAAAGAGCCATGTCGTATTTTCATTTTCTTTCTCTTTTTTTTTAGCTTGTCGAGAATGTTGTGTTCCTCCTTGAGGTACTAAACGTCTGGGACGAGAATGAAGAAAATGTGCAATGGGAGGAAATGTCTCAAGTTGGAGTGAGGATTCTCTTGGCTTTCATTTCTCGGCCGGAAACAGAATACTGCGCAACAGCTTCTTCCAAACTTAGCAAACTTCTTAAGGCCCGGATGACTTCGTCTCAGGGAGAGCTTTGCTACATTCTAGGACGACTACATCAAGCCTTTGTTGCATCACGAAATAAAGGTGTGGTTACTGAAAAATTAATGAGAAAAACGAGAAGCAACTTTTCCTGTTTAAGGGAGATACTCAATAATTTTCATTTGAATAGTTACATACGAAGGTTTCATTACTCAACCATGTTGTACAGCATTACAACAGTACTTTACTTTTTAAACTGTAACAAGTTTTCCGACATTTTAGGTGACAACGAAAATTTTTCGTTCATCATTCCCGTCATCCGTATGTTGCTTCTCAAGTATCACCACACTCTACCGCTGACCATCTATATACCCACATTTTCAACCGCTGACCCTGGACGAATACAGGCTCAGGAGGATTTCCTTGAGCTGATTGAGCGTAAAGAATTCAAAGCGATGATGAAACAGCAGATTTATCCAGGGATGAAACAATATGAAAATACGTTGTAAGTAGCGCTAGCAAATAGTTTCGTCAGGATTTTTCAGATGAAGGCTCTTCACCAACCTTTTACTGTCATTAAAGAGTGTTCCAGGTCACCACTTTTCCATTACAAAGGGAGTCATTTTCTCATCAGGACCTCATTTTTCTGAGACACGCCCTACGGTAATGGTATTTTGGGGGAGACAAAGGAGAAAGCAGAGGCTTGAGTGATTTGTTAGGAAATTAGGAGGACAATGACAATGATTAAGACTTTTTCAGTAAAGCTCTCTTTACATGATCTGTTGCAGGTATTTATTTAATAAACAGTAGCTTTGAGCGAAAAAGGAAGGACTTAGGTATTTGACGGGTTGACCATCACACTGTGATAGGAAATTATAAACCATTGTTACAGTATTGAAAGGAGTGCCTTTAAACGCTGACTCTAAGAACTGATCAGAATGTTTGATCAGAAGACAAAACTGTGAAATGTCGCCCAAAAAATGCCATTGCCCTTCCTTTACGAAATCGTTCTCATCGACAAACGAATCTCCATGTTATCCGCTGTTATATCCCATTCATTTACAACGTCAGATTGAGGTTACCCTTAGCGAGCATGTCTCGAAGAAACAGACCTCCGTTTGAGAAAGTCCTCACAAATGGCCTTGGTAAAGTTCTTCTAAGACCTGGACAAGAATCGTCTCTCCCTCACATTTCATCGCGGTGGTCACGATTCCTTTCCGCACTGTGAATGCTTACGATTTTTTTTCTTCGTGTACTGATATCTCTGTATTTTTTTCACTTTCCTTTAGCTCAGAATCATCTCTAGCCTCAGGTCGCTTTTGGATGGATTGCCTGACAGGTCTCACGGAAAGCTTAAGAAATAAAGACAGAGCACAGGACGATAGCTGCGAGAAATTTGAGGAGCAGATCACATTGCCATTTCAACAACTTCAAGATGTACAAAGAGAACACATCAAAGATTTACCCAAAGAACAAGAGCAAGAAAAACAAAATGTGGCAAGGCAATGGAAAGTGTTAAAAAGAATGTTTACCTCTGAACGATCCCCTTGGGGTGCAAGGTGAGGATTTAGGAAATTACCAGTTCAGAAAATAATCTCAACAAAACTTTGTCGAAGTAACCCAGGTTTTGCTGGTTTTACATTACTGTGCTTCGCTTTGTGATAGGTCTATAACATTCGCGCCGTTCTGCGAACCAATCACGTGCAAAACTAAAATCAACGCATTGCATTTTTGCTTCGAGCTACAATGAGTAGCGAAGGTAGTTTACACGCCCTCTCCTTACTAAGTGGTAGACAACGCTCCACTCAACATAATAATCTGAAATATCTATTTATATGTTACTTGGAAGTCCTCCCTTTCCTCCGAAACAATGTTGACTGAAATAAGTGAGAATTTTGTTAACACCAGGCAACCTTGTGGGCCTTTAGCAGCTCGGACGGCAACGCCAAGGAAGACGTCGATTTGAAAATGAACATATATATATTTTTTGTTGGAACTTCGCGAATGACTGGATGTGTTTACCTTCTCTTACGGTGCTGCAAGTTAACTTCAGCATAACGTAAGGCGGCGTTGAGTTCCAAATGGAAATTTAAACAATTTTCCCGTCGGCGTTTCCTTTCTCGGACCACGCAAATTTTGATTATTTCACGTTGTAATTTTGCAGAGGATGGCTAAGAAATGTACAGATTTAGAACGCACGTGCTGAGCTATTGTTCTGCTCATTGGATCTTTTGTTTTGCCACGTCTTGGTTGCCGCCGTCGTCGTCGTGGTTTCCTAGAGGTCCCTATTGAAATGGGGGGGGGGGGAGAGAGGGAGATAAAAAGTTGTAGAAAAAATTAAAAAGTTGTAGAAAAAATTAAAAAGTTGTAGAGCGTTCTAAGACTTTTGTGACTGGTTGTAGTTCGTCTTGCTTTGTCATTGACCAGTTGTGTCTCTCTTTTAACACCAACTTGTCATTTCTTTTTTCCAGTTTATCTCATTTCAACTTTTTGTTCTGTCATAAGGTCACCAAAGGAATCACACTGGAAACTCTCCTCCACAGAGAACTTTCAACGCATGCGCCTTAAGCTAGCACAAAACTACTCATTTACACCGCATATCGAGGCAAGCCGTGCGCGTGACAATGCGGATGTGGTGGATGCTCGCGAGGCCTCACTGCCCGTGCGTGTTGCTAAGGAGGCCGTTGTTCAAAATGTCGACGAGGACATTCTTGAAGTTGATGACCTTGCAAGTCCCACTGGCAGAGAGAAGGTTCGCACAATTTCAGAAGCGGAAAGACCTCTTTTGGGCGAAGATTGCGAGTTGATTACGCTCATGGATATTGTGCCGGGTAAACTTGAGATCACTACTACGCATGTCTACTTCTATGCGGATGAAATCATCGGTCAGGATTTTCAGTGGCCGCTGAATGAGCTGAGAGAAGTGCATTTAAGACGGCACAATCTGAGGAGAAGTGCATTGGAGTTCTTTTTGATGGATCAGACAAACTATTTTTTGAACTTCACCAAAGAGGTATTTGAGCGGCAGCCTTTTAGCATTTCTGCGTATGAGCGTACGCACAACATTAAAATTTGCCCTTAAGAGGAACAAGATGAAGGCAATTTAGCGTGGCGCAAGATAAAAGATACGTTTACAAATCGTTGTTGCTTACTAACTCAGGCTTTTCTTCAAATTTTAAAATAATCGAGAAGAGATTGCAGAGCAGTGTAAGGTCTTTTTTTCACATTTTTGTTGTTGAATGTGGTATCTTCATTTCTTTGAATACACTACAATACTTTCTGGAAACAGCTAAAGAACCTGACAAAATGAGCACATGTGCCTAATTACTTTTAGAGGTTTGGGCTACACATTATTTTGGCGTTTTTTGGATAATCTGTCTTCAGTAATTACTTAATTTAGCATGCATGCGTATATTTTGGAACAAGAATGACTCAATTCTTTGAATTTCAGGAACTGAAACTATAGGTATTTAATTGCAACAAGATAAATTCCAATTCGATCCTATGGATATGCCACCTTTTAAATCCAGTATATGATTTGATTTACAAAAAAAATTTGATTTATTTTTTAGACTCGTAACAAAGTATACAAAAGGATCATGTCCCTCCGTCCTCGGAATTTATACTACATGGGCGCCAAATCTCCTGCGGACCTGCTCACGGCCTCAGGACTCACAAACAAGTGGGTGCACCGAGAGATATCTAATTTTGAGTACCTTATGCAGCTCAACACCATCGCTGGAAGGACCTATAATGACCTGAGCCAGTATCCAGTATTTCCTTGGCTCCTTATGGATTATGAGTCAGAGGAGTTACGTCTGGATGACCCTACCGTGTATAGAGACCTTTCCAAACCTGTTGGGGCTCTAAATCCTGATCGAGTAGAACCTATAAGAGAAAGGTAAGTAATTAAATTCTGACCCTTGCCTCCATATATTTGCCGGTCTTTAAATGGGAGGCGCTATGGTCAATGGTCAGGGATCAGAAGCTTTGGGTGTGGCCCTTGAGCTTTGGTCCTTGTGAGGCGTTCTGAAGCAAGGGGCCTCTATTTTTTAGCCTGCGGTAAAAGTCGCACTCCCTTTCTGAATCTTTTAACTGATTGTAGATTTTACACAATTTTGTCATATTTGCAGATACAACTCCTTCATTGATCCCTCTGGATTAATCGCCAAATTTCATTACGGCTCGCATTATTCCAGCTCTGCTGGAATTCTTCATTACATGCTGCGCGTTGAACCCTTCACCACTCTACACGTTAAACTGCAGAGTGGAAGATTCGACTGCGCGGACAGGCAGTTTCACAGCATACCGTCCACATGGGATTCTATCTACAACAAAGGCGGGGATGTTAAAGAGCTTATTCCTGAGTTTTTCTACTTTCCGGAATTCTTGCTTAATTCTAACAGGTTAGAAGAAATATGATTTTGATGGCTAGGTAGGTTTGTTGTGCTGGGGGTGGGTGGGATAGGGGTCCTATGCTAGTCTATCATTGGCAGGTCGTTTTCCTGTTATAAATTATCACTTTTTCCTCGCAAAAAGGGGGGTCATCCCCTTACTTATCTCCGTGGGAATGCATTCCGATATTTGATGAGACAAGAAATTCTCTTGACTAATTTCTTAGAACGTCTATCGCTGTTAGAGGGGAGACTTAAGGATTTGATTGTTGTAAGCAAAGGGTATAACCATCCTACCGAGTCAAGGCTTCTAACCAAACTAACTTTTCAAGGAATTTCTTGTCTCAGGTTTGACCTTGGACGTCTTCAGCGAGGAGAGGTTGTTGATGACGTCATTCTTCCGCGCTGGGCGACATCGCCTGAAGATTTCGTCTCCAAACACAGACAAGCGTTAGAATCCGATCACGTGTCTTCTCACCTGCACGAGTGGATTGACTTGATATTCGGTTATAAACAGAAGGGGCCAGCGGCAGAGGAGGCGATGAATGTGTTTTACTATTGCACTTATGAAGGTAAGAGAGCGTAGGGGAACTGGGCACTACACGGTTTCTTTTCTTCCATGGAGCTAGGAATGAGAGCAATCCCAGGAGGGAGCCTGGTGGGGAGCAGGGAGGTTAAAACGGGGTCAAGGAGCAGCTATGTTTTCTCTGTGTTTTCTGTTTTTTTTTCCTTAATTTTTCGATACTTGGGCAATTTTTAAAAGAGCTTTCCAAGTTCTCCAGCATTTTTCATGATTCACAAATTTAAAGTTTTTCACAGCAGACTCCGTCTTTAAACTGAATGGAATGGCTCCACTGTCTAACTCTATGTCAGTTATTTCGTCAATCATTGCAATCAAAAGTAACCTAGAAACATTGTCTCCCCGTTTTCACGGCTCGGTCAAACCTGGGCCCCACTGTGAGCCGTGGCGTCACCGAAAGAAACGACTGACAACTCCTCCTCAGCCAATAGGACAAGAGAAAATATTCATACTGGGCTAGTTATAATACTGTTAGAGGTAAATTTACTTGTTCTTTCGTCGTAGGGGCTGTTGACCTTGATGCCATAACAGACCCAGCCGAGCGAGAAGCCACTGAGGGTATGATAAACAACTTTGGTCAAACTCCTATACAGCTTCTTACTCAGCCGCACCCACAGCGCATGTCTGCCGAGGAAGCCGCCGGGTTTAAGACAACAAAGAGCGCGGGCACAAGCAAGACACTTGCGAATGTGTTTGAGAACTTCGACAAGTTAAAGGCCTACTTTGTCATCGTAAGTTGAGCTCAAAATGAGGCATAACCACGATACAGCGCTGCTTATATAATATTTTATAATATTCATTCAAGCCTTCAGTGTCGAAAAAAAATCTTTATTTAACCTTTTGACTTTTCTCTAATTTCTCCTTACAATATCACCACTGAATCAAACATTCAGGTCACAAGGAAGAGATCACTAACTAACGAAGCTTTGTTTGTTAAACGAATTCTCCTTGTCACTAGTATCGGCAAAGTAGGAAGAATTTGTATACTGATGTTAGGTGTAAAGGGTTATGGACAAACGTATGTTAAATGTTGACCTGGTGTCGTATACGCGGCGTCATCGAACCCAGACAACTCGCCATCCCCGAAACGCAAATGGTTGCTCTCTTGCTATGAAATAATTTTTCAAGTAAGCTCATTCATATAATCCAACACGTTGTTTCCAGTGAAAATCAGCTCCCTGTTAACTCGGTGTCTTTCCAGGTATCTGATGCCACTGACCCTCTGGTGTTCTCTGCTGTGTCTCACGTTCACACCAGATCCCTGATTCACTCGGGCATGCCTGAACACATGATCACCATCAGCCAGAATGGCATTGTGGGATTGCATGACTGGCTGCCTTACTCCAAGACCAGGGCCAAACCTTTCACCTTCGAACCTGACCCGTCTCTGTCATCAAATAGGCAAGTTGTGGAATTAATCTGCTGCCTAATTGTGCTCACTACGTTTTCGGGACCATTCATTATTTATCGCCAGCGGGGAGGGGGGAGGGGTAAGGATCTCTTTAGAGGGATCACTTGGTTTTCGGGGACGAGAGAGGGATCAGTCGTCGCCAACAGAGTATAAAGTCGTTGGTGCGTGTTGGAACAACGTTTCATAGCCAATATTATGATTTCTGTTGTGGCATTTCTTAATTATTTCTTAAGTAAAAACAGGAGTATTGATGAGATATTCTGTTCTCTACTTCCACTGTAGATTACGCCGTTGTATCGCGGGCCCGTTCAGTCCTGACATGCAGGTCTCTTCGCATATGTTTGCTATTACCCACGATGCTAGGTTGATTATTACCGCTGGTCACTGGGACAACAGTTTGCGAGTTTTTGCCACAAGATCGAAACAGCTGACCAGAATTGTGGGGCATACAGGTACGTTTACCTTTACAGTGAATAAAAAAGGGAATTGCCTTTGTTGAGTTTTTAAAAGCACTTGTGGTTTTAGAAAAGAGATTCAGCAAAACTCGACAAATTGTGCGCACTAAACTTTTGCTTTGTCATCTCTATTATTAAACACCCAGGTTTTCCATAACAATTTGCTTTTATTACCTACTACTTCCTGGTAAAGAGAGGCACTTAATGATAAAATTGTCTCTCTCAAGAACGTAACATAATGAGATACATCTTACCTTTCATTATATAATAAGCTGCATCATGCACGCATTTGATTGGTTGTTACTTATGATATATTAATAGAACAGACGCATAGGTGACGTCACCATTCATTTTCTTATACTTCTTTATTATATAAAAAATAGGTTCTCTGTGGCCGTGGGCCTGTACAGTGGTAGATTATAAAATGTGGTAAAAACACTAGTGACACACTCGCCTGCGCCTCGTGTGACATTGTATTTGTTCTTATCACACTTTGACGTCATCTGTGGTCTTTAAATGAAGCAAATATTAAGATTTAGCAGGAGAAATCAGCTTAAAGATAGAGACTGAACTGAGGTCCGCCAACTTACCTTCTCAGGCAGTTGTGGGTCTAAACCGGAGCTTTTCATCCAGCAATACACGTGAACAGTTAGACCATCAATGATTTTTACAATATGTAATAGTTTTGTTTATATTTCTGCTTTGTATAGATGTAATTACTTGTGTCTCATTGGATGATGATGGTCATCACCTGATCACTGGGTCACGTGACACGACCTGCCGCTTGTGGGGAATCACCCATCAGGGAGGAGTGGCTCAGGAAGTAATTCGTACCCCACTACAGACCTTATATGGTCATGATCAGCCAGTCACATGTGTAGCTATGAGTTGGGAACTTGATATGGCAGTCAGCGGCTCTCAGGTAAGAGTTACGAAACCTTTGAAATATATTGAAAATTCACATTGCCAGATGACTTTATTTTTTAGCCTATGAATCTTAACCAGGATTGATTGGTTACTTTTTCAAAGGAAAAATGTCAAAATTATTTATCTTATCTCCACCTGTTTGTTTCTATCTCTCGTGTTTCCCCGTAGTAATTTTCAACCCCCCCCTTACTGTCCCAACATCTCTTACACCCGGCTTTCTTCCCCCCTTATTTCCCTTATGTCCTCTTCCAGCCTTAACCGGGACACCCATTAATACGCTCCTCAAGCTCCCTATAACAAATCCCCCCTTCATGCTAATTCTTCTTGGTTCCAGTCCAATACATGTAAGAAAGAAAGTGACCCGGACACCTGTTGATGCCTGTGTTTCTTTTGTTCTTGTGTTTCTCTCGCCCCATTTCATCCCCCCCTCCCCCCTCTTCCCTCCTCCGACCCCTCTCTCTCCAAATTGCCATAACGCTGACAATCTTAAATACAGCCCCCCTTCCCCCCCCGCCATCCATCACAATCCTCCGTGGTCTGGTTCTAATTCTTTTCTACCTCTTCAGGATGGCACATGTATCATTCACACAGCGCGAAAAGGCGAATACGTTGTCACGCTAAGGCCCACGGGAACGTCGCCTGGTGCACAAGACAGCTTCTGTCACGTGACTGGCCTCGCCCTCTCCGAATATGGAAACATTGTGGTTTGTTACCAACAAGAGAATAGTCGATCCCTATGCAGGTATTCCATCAATGGAAAACTTCTTACAAAAGACGTCAAACTGAAAGAGGATGTCGCCCGTGTTTTTATTTCTGGCGAGTTTGTTGTTATCGGAGGAGCTGACGGAAAACTGGAAATCAGGAAATTGCAAGGGTATGGAAACCTTATTATGTACATCGTAACTGTTTGTTTTGCAATTGTTTGTTTCTGCATTCTTTTTTTTCAGTCTTGGTTTAGTTACTTACTTAGGGATAGGGTTAGTGTAAATCCTTTCTCTCGTTATATTTGTGTATTTTTTTCATAATTTTTGTCGGAAGCTGCCTCTTGATCAATTACTCAGTTCATTTAATTACTATAGTCCTTTCTAAGGTATCTCAAGGAAACTTGAATTTGTGCTTAAATTGCATTCACAGGGACCCAGCTCTCTATTATCGACAGTATCCCCCTTACATAGTTGCCGATTGAATTAAGATTTGTTGCAGTCTTAACACCTTTCAATCTATTTTGAACCATAATTGGTTATTTCGAAGATCCTTCGAAAGATACGGAAAATCTTTGTATGGCCATCGAATGATTTTCAGATTTACCCCCTCAACCCAACGCAGAAAAACTTAATTGGAACATCGTCCATTTATGTAATTTTTATTACTATTATTTATTATATTTTTACGACATTTTTTGGTAAAAGTTTAGAATACATGGTTTAACCTAGTAACAGTACATTAGTTACAATAACACTTACACTACAGTACTCACCATAAACCACAATATACGTACAATAAATACAATTGAAATAATTGAATTAATTTAACAAAATAACATAGGAAATTTTTAATTATTTTATTTCTTTGTTCTGATATCGTTTCCTCCCTGGTTGCAGTTTCGAAGTGGTGAAGAAAATGAACCTTTTAATACCAATTCGTAATATCTCCCTGGCGAGGGACAACACTCACTTCCTTGTTTGCCTCCAAGATGGTAAACTCATTGTAATTGGTGTAGAAGCTTCGTGACGTCACAATTACCTCGTATTGTCACGTGACTAACACGCCATTTCTCATGGTTGTCTCAAAGATTGTAAGTCACTACGATTGGTGCAAAAGCTTCGCGACGGTATACATATTAAGGTGATATATTTTGACCTGTGCGTTATATCGCGTCCCTCGAGAATTTCGTTTTAAATTTTCAATTCAGCGAAGTTGATTTAGCTTTTTGCATATCTCCTTTAAGAAATCCTGAACTTACTGGAAACTGATCGAGATTCTAGCTAGGTAGTATATAAAGCTTACAGGAAGCTGAGCTCAGAATGTAGTTAGGTAGTATTTTACAAGGTCTAGTCTTTATGCTCCCTTCACAATATCTTTATTTTTTGGATAAAATTGAGAATTCGGTATTTTATAGCAATAACTTCGCTAAGGAAGATAGTTTTCTCTATTTTCATCATAATCATGACAGTTTCAGTTCCTATACATGTAGAATATGAAAGGAGCGTTGTGAAATGAAAGAGTAGAGAGTTTACTTCTTCTCGTGTAAAATTATCACCGTAAAATCTGGCGACTCTGAGGAAAAGCAAGTGGACCAGAATGGAAGACTGCGGAATTTTCTAATTTTGATGGGAATTACTTCATTGTAAATGGTAGATTTTGTCATTTCATTTTCAAGAAGAATTCGAGAATTCTTCCTCTCGTTTAGCTCTCCTATCGCAAACAATGCAGGCACTGGGTGCTTTGATTTATTTACAAGAAATTTTGTAAAGCTAGACAGGACTAAAAAATTGGTAATTTAGTGTTAACAACTGAGTTGAAAACGTAAATTGGCCACCGTAAGAGTTTAAAGGCTGACGTTACGTTACGCAGCACCACAGTTTCTTTAGAAACTTACCCCCTTTATTCATAGGACTAAAAATTTGTTTAACTGTACAATGTTAATTCAATAATGAGACTTAAGAGCAAGTTGCCTCTAAAAATACAGTCAGAGCATGAGCAGTTACGTCAAACCAAACTAATCGCAGCCAATCAGAGCATAGGAAACAGTCACTAGGAATTATCTGATTGGTTGAAGCGGTAACACACTTTTTTTGGCCAATTACAAAGCCGAGTAGAGAAAAACCAATGAAATCACTGATTACTATTGACTTTAAATTCCTCCTGGCTGTCTGTGGAATTAGGTGGTTTTATGTAATGGCGTTGATTTATTAAACGATGTAGAATAATGGAAAATGTCTGAAAGTAAGCAAGCGTGATTCCGTTGTACCCTCGCTTGTTGGCCCAGACTTTCTACTTGTTGCTTACATCAACCTTCACTGACATCACTCGTAATTTTCGACTCAGTTAAATTGGTTAAGTTCATCATATGAACAATGAAATCATGCATCTAAGCGATTTTTTAATGGACAAAAATGTAATGGAACATCTCTGTGTACACTTGTAAATTATGACAGACAAAGCTTACGACAATACATTTATTTTTATACAATTTTAGTTTCATTGGGTGGTTTTTCTGTTTCCTTAATCGACACAATCTGTTAAATCAAAGAAAATCAATCCAATAACTCCCCGCCATCTATTCCAACCTCTTTGAGCGAATGTCTGTAATTTGGATAATGAGCAATCAAAAAAAATCCCCTCTGTATATTGAAACAATATAATTTTGTTAATGAGTTTGAAAAAACGGTTTTGCTCGTGGTTCTTCCAAGTTGCCAAAAAGCTCATTAACCAATTTCTATTGTTTCAATATTCATGCCTTTATATCTCTGCAAAAAATAGGTATTCCTGGACATTTTATACCTCGTTAGAAAGAGCGCGATCAGCTGTGTATTGTGTGCAAGTGTGAAAGTTACAGGTCTTTCATGGACCGAGAAAATCCCCTCTGAATATTAAAACAATAGAATTTTGTTAATGAGTTTGAAAACTCGGTTTTGCTCGTGGTTCTTCCAGGTTACCAATAGCTCATTAACCAATTTCTATTGTTTCAATATTCATGCCTTTATATCTCTGCGAAAAAGGGAAATTCCTGTACATTTTATATCTCGTTAGAAAGAGCGTGATCAGCTGTGTATTGTGTGTAAGTGTGAAAGTTACATGTCTTTCGTGAGCCGAGAAAATCCCCTATGAATATTGAAACAATAGAATTTTGTTAATGAGTTTGAAAACACAGTTTTGCTCGTGGCTCTTCCAGGTTACCAAAAGCTCATTAACCAATTTCTATTGTTTCAATATTCATGCCTTTATATCTCTGCGAAAAAGAGGAATTTCTGGACATTTCATATCTCGTTAGAAAGAGTGTGATTAGCTGTGTATTGTGTGCAAGTGTGAAAGTTACAGGTCTTTCATGGACCGAGAAAATCCCCTCTGAATATTAACACAATAGAATTTTGTTAATGAGTTTAAAAACAAGGTTTTGCTCGTGGTTCTTCCAGGTTACCAATAGCTCATTAACCAATTTCTATTGTTTCAATATTCATGCCTTTATATCTCTGCGAAAGAGGGAAATTCTTGTACATTTTATACCTCGTTAGAAAGAGCGTGATCAGCTGTGTATTGTGTGCAAGTGTGAAAGTTACAGGTCTTTCGTGAGTCGAGAAAATCCCCTCTGAATATTGAAACAATAGAATTTTGTTAATGAGTTTGAAAACATGGTTTTGCTCGTGGCTCTTCCAGGTTACCAAAAAGCTCATTAACCAATTTCTATTGTTTCAATATTCATGCCTTTATATCTTTGCGAAAAATAGGTATTTCTAGATACTTTATATCTCGTTAGAAGGAGCGTGATCAGCTGTGTATTGTGTGCAAGTGTGAAAGTTACAGGTCTTTCGTGAGCCGAGAAAATCCCCTCTGAATATTGAAAAAATAGAATTTTGTTAATGAGTTTGAAAACATGGTTTTGCTCGTGGCTCTTCCAGGTTACCAAAAAGCCCATTAACCAATTTCTATTGTTTCAATATTCATGCCTTTATATCTTTGCGAAAAATAGGTATTTCTAGATACTTTATATCTCGTTAGAAAGATCGTGATCAGCTGTGTATTGTGTGCAAGTGTGAAAGTTACAGGTCTTTCGTGAGCCGAGAAAATCTCCTCTGAATATTAAAGCAATAGAATTTTGTTAATGAGTTTGAAAACACAGTTTTGCTCGTGGCTCTTCCAGGTTACCAAAAGTTCATTAACCAATTTCTATTGTTTCAATATTCATGCCTTTATATCTCTGCGAAAAAGAGGAATTTCTGGACATCTCATATCTCGTTAGAAAGAGCGTGATCAGCTGTGTATTGTGTGCTAGTGTGAAAGTTACAGGTCTTTCGTGGGCCGAGAAAATCCCCTCTGAATATTGAGACAATAGAATTTTGTTAATGAGTTTGAAAACACGGTTTTGCTCGTGGTTCTTCCAAGTTGCCAAAAAGCTCATTAACCAATTACTATTGTTTCAATATTCATGCCTTTATATCACTGCAAAAAAGAGAAATTCCTGGACATTTTATACCTCATTAGAAAAAGCGTGATCAGCTGTGTATTGTGTGCAAGTGTGAAAGTTACAGTTCTTTCATAGGCCATGAAAATTCCTTCTGAATATTGATTCAATAGAATTTTGCTACAAATTTGAAAAGTAAGGATAGCTCATGGTCTTCAAAAGCTCACTAACAAGTTTCTATTTTTTCAACATTTATGTATTTATATCTCCTTGAGAAGGAGGAATTCCTGGAGCATTCATAATGCGTTATAAATAGTGCAGGAAAATAAACAAAGTGATGTTTTTTTTCTCTCTTGTATCACCCTAGAGTGCCTGCAGTCAAATCACGGGAGTTTGCACTCAGGTTAACCCTTCTAAAACTCCCAAGAACAGATTGTTAATTCTCCCCTCTAGCTGTGACATATTTCCATGAGAATTTGGTGTTGGATGAAAACAACTTCTACCTAAATATTCTCAATACCTAACTGCGGGATTATGTACAGATATTATAGGGAGAAGTTACATGTTAATCACTTGTGAGATTTAAGGGTGAAGGTCAACTTCTGATTAGAATAATAGCATATGTACACAGAAACATTAATAATGTTTGCACTTTAAAAATTCTGCATTTTAATAAAAAGAGATTTTTAATTAATTCACTACATTATATTTGGACTTTTGTACAAAATACAAAAGGTTATAAATCTCACTACTAGTTACTAGAGCAAGAAATATATCAAACTGTATTTACTAGGTCTAACTATGCTATCTACGAGTCCGTGGATCTCTGCTAGTGTTAATTACATTACGAGCACTTGGATCAGCATTAGGGTGTCCATTATTCCCATTTGTCGATGATGAAATGAAGTTTGGGCCACTTCCATTGCCGTTATTGCCATTATTGTTCCCCCGCAGTTTTAACCTTGGATCCCGTGATGCATCTACTTTCGCTGCTACGTTCCCATCTGACCTGCTGTAAGGGTGGAATCTGTGTGAACCAGTGTTGGGTCCCATGTGATGATTGTTAAGTGATGTTGCTGTCGCTAAATGTTCTGTGTTATGGTTTTGGTTTCGAGACCCCACAGATGACAATCCAGCAGTAGTGGTTGGAGTATTGGGAGAATTCTTTCCCTGATCACCTTGAAGCCCCTGAAAATGAGTAAGTGAATCCAAGTGTTTGAATGGCTCATCGATAAACTGGCTATTTTTCAACTGATTCCAGGTTTAACCTTTCAGTCTTTAGAGTCAGTAGTATCTAGTTTGTCCTTACAGTGCCAATGCGGAATCAAACATTTAGGTTATGAGAATAAATGAAATGATTGCCAATTTACACTTAACTCTCATGACTGACCAAAAGAGAGTTTCTCCCTACAGTATCAATACAATATCAAACAAACAAGTGATGAGAATGAAAAATATCAATTACAGGATTACGCATTGATCCAACACCAAAGTTTTTCAAACTAACTTCAAAAAAATTGTACAGCAGACACTACTAAGATCTTGGGACTGAAAGGGTAAATGAGAGAGTAAGTACCCCATGCCTGTGTAAATGTTAACAGTATTTCTCATTTGTACACACAGTTATATTGCCTGTAGGGTTCATTTCTTATGGAAAAAGTGAACTGCTCTGATGTTCTATATGAATAGGTTTCAAACAATAAGTACTTTGCTTTTAAATTTTTTTCATAATTTAGATTTACTAGTAATAGGATTTTCAGTCATCCAATTCTGTCCATAATCACACTCAAGATTAACTAATCAGTCTGCCATTTTGCAGTCATTCAATTTTGCCAATTTGGAATCCACCAATTTGGAATCCACTTGGTGTTCTTACCTTTGTAAATTGAGGTTTGGAGAGTTTTTTTTTATGAACAAAGATCTGACACTAACCAAAAACAAAGTCGGACCATACTCATCACTAATGTTCACTTTGAATTATCATCGAATACAACCCACAGCAGTAGTAGGCAAGCAACCATGCTGAGTCATCCCAATTCTGTCCCCACCCACACCCCCTCCCCTTCTTTCAGTAACACACAAAGAGTGTTTTTAAATGACTGAAGTCAAAACATAAGTTGGAGTAATCCCAACAACCAGCACGTTGGCTAATATAAATTGTAATAATAAAAACAAGTCAATCAGCTGAAATGCTATAAAACTAAAGTGGAAAAAACTGAATAAAGGGGGTGAGTTTCTACAGAAACTGTGATTTTGCATCTGTGCGGAAGGGAAGTGGAGTATAAAAAGATAATTTGGTTTTATCATTCTGAGTTGATGATAAAAAATTGGCTACTGCAAATAGTTTCTAAATCTGACGTTTTCAGCCTTAACCATTCATCAGAAAAAAAAATGTTAAAAAAAAAACATTTTTGCACTGAATTGGTTGAGAGATTGGCACAACTTTTCATGAACAATTGCAGTGCAAACTAAAGCAAAACCAAAAAAAAAAATGTAAGATTACATTTGACACCTAATTGAAAATGGCTTTTAAGACATACCTGTTTATACTGCTGAAGAAATTCTGCATTAGGATCACTCATGTTTGGAAGCTCACAAAAAGTCATGCAGAAACTGAATGAAGACAACAAAAACAAGAATCAGTTGTGCCATAATGCCCCTGGATCAATGCATTACCTTGAAATAGTAGCTCCAAGGATCATGTGAAAAAGATTACTAAAGCAGAGAATATATTTCTCCCTTTGCCAGAGGTGAGAACAAGCGGGAGAATACTACATGAAAACAGGAGGATGGAAATTACTGCCAAAAACATGAGGCTTCTGTCCACAAACAGCTGGGTTTGAATCTCTGCATTTAAAATAACTTCTGAACAAGAGTTGGAAAATTGCAAAAAATGTCCTCTGAAGTAACCTTTAACAACCAAGGCAGTCAATTTAACAGAGCTCTCAAGTTGATTTGCTGGCGAAGAGTGAGATTTATGAAGGCAAAGCCATTGATTGTGATGCCACAAACATCACCTTCCTGAAGGGGAGGGGAATGAGTGAATGAGGGCATGCTTTCCAGAAAAATTGTGAAAAAAATTAACTAGCTAAGATGCCCATTCCTCTATTCTGGGCAAGAATTTCCATTGTTGAAAAGTGTTTGAAGTGAACACGTATGGAAAAGAGTAAATAAAACAATATTTTGAAGGACATTTAATTCCATAAGTACTTGACAAAGGCAGCAGTTTTTCAAATCAATGGTTAAAATCAGAAACCTTGCATACATGACAATAAAAGTTTGGTGTGAGAGTGTAAGACTGAACTTGTTTGCAAAAGTCTCGTGCTAAAAATGCAACTTGAGAGTCCTGACTACCTCATATAGCACATAGTGATTTTTTTTTTCCAGTGGTACACAATTACACTTACTCTCCAACTTTCTCCAAGTGCCCCACCTTGCCTGTGTACAGAGTTAAGCTTCCTTTCCATAATGACGAATACCTAGAAAAAAAGGTCAATGAAAAAAAATTGTCAGTGACACAAAATCTTACATCTCTGTTTTGCCTAGTTTACTGTTTACACCTTCTCATAACGTCTAGTTTGGATTGTATCAACAGTTGCCATCGAGGAAAGTCAAGCATTCAAACTCATGGTCATAAGATCGTTTATTTTGGTGTACTTGTGTGACTGCTTTGGAGCATTCCTTTTTTCAGTTTTGATTAATTCTAAGCAAGACCATTAAAATGAAGAACGTGAACAAGAATTTCTTTCACGAAGGGCTCTTTTTTTGAATAATATCATATAAAATAGTGCCCTCAGGCGTGAGGAAATTATTGTGGCTTAAAGCAGGAAGAGAAGTGACAGTTTTTAAGGAAGCAGTGGTTCTCATATTACCCTAAAATTTTTACAACAAAGATCATGACGCCTGGATAAATTTTCCGTCATGTTTATAGTGGAAGCAAATTTCTGCAATATTACCTTCAACAAATAACACATTTTAAGAGAGAAAATCTTGGAGTGGGAAAAATTGAAATCTATCCCTCTATCCTTCCCAGGCCGAGAATTATAAAATATTCCTTTACCAAAGGTCAGTTATTCTTGGGTTTTGATGTTTCCTGAATGTTCACAAAATCGTGCATTGTATGGCAGTGAATTCTGGGTCAAAGGCTCTTCAGAAGTCAGGTCGTAACACCCTCCCCTCCCCTGTAACAAAAGTCATTCTCTCACAAATTTCACTTTCCAACATAACATTGATATTTGAGGGAAAGGGACTCGAAAGCGGAAAATTTCCCAGCCGAAAGCAAAGTTGTTCTCTACCTACACAATCAGTTGACCTCACAGAAACAGACGGTCGACATCTCCAATCGGCTAATTTATGCAAGATTTCATTTGAACATGAAACCCTAACAAAATCGACAGGAATTTGAACGCCATTCGCGCTAAAGATCACACAACAAGGCGAATAGAGCCTATCTTACCCTCGAACAAACTTAATGATATCTCCTGGTTGTAGAATTTCTCCGACCTCGTCCCAAACAGACACCGTAATGGAGCCTGTTTTATCAGCTACTCGACATGCCCTTACAACGTGCGCATCCTTCGTTTTGGTGGCTTTCCCTACAAGAAACGGCCGTGAATTTAGCGATCAGATCAAACAGGGAGCGTGTGTGACTACGGGGAAGGCTTACCGACTTCCAAAACTATGAATAAACAGTGTAAGTTTTTTATGCCGGGCCGAATATCTTTGATGTCTGTGAAATGCCTTGTGTCATCCGCCATGGAAATTTTCTTGCTATTCCACTGTCTGTCGATCGAATCATCGATCAAGGTTTATAAAAGCACCTTGGTGACGTCATTGGCACGTGTCCAAATATATTGGTAAGGACTCCTGAATAAAGGATATTGGATTCAATCGATAAGCTCAGTGAAGACACTCGCCAATCCTGATAAAAATAAAAAAAATTTTAAAAAAAAACCACTTTTGAAAATATATTCTCCTTAGGGCGACCATTTGAAACAGTTGAAATAAAATTATAATAAATTCATGCATAAATATCTTTTTGATATTCATATGAAGCCATCTGTTTAATGTCATTACAGCTTTCTTTCAGTAAAGGAAATTTATTTATAGTGAAGCAAATTCGCTTTCGAAAGTCACCTATCAGAGAAAATGACGGCAAGGAATTCGAGTTTCCGGAAATAGCTCTCAGAGAGATAAGAAGTACCATAAAAAGAATTCCCTTTCAGAATAAAAAAAAACAATAATACGTCACAGAAAAGAAGGAAGCAGATTCTCAATATTTTGAACAGGATCCATTTTTTTAAAATATCAAAAATAACTCGACAGTGTTGTATGTCCTTTTAATAGGTCTTTGAACGCAATTAGATTCAGTCTGGTGGATATATTAAAATGCAGAGCTATGCTTGAAGCAAGAACGGCAAAATTTACCTCGTTTTTCGCTATGTCTTCATCGAACGCTAAGAAAATCGTATCGCAGGTCATCAGAAGTTATCTCTTAATAACAAGAAACGCAGAAATTTTCTTATCAGCGCGGAAAACAGTTAGAAGAGAGACAACAAACGAACAATTCACGCCTTCCACCTCAAGCGTAATTCTAAATCTGCCTTGTGTTTACATCGCAACTTTTAGTACTAACCTCTCCAGCTGTTATCCGTATGTCATAGGTGCTTGGTATATTCTCGGGGAGGCCCCTCCTATGCATCTCCCACCCCAAATCCCTACAACTCTCTTTAAGCGAAGTAAATTCTGAGAAAAGGTTGAGGGAGGAGGGGGAAGGGGAGAGTCCTCGCTTTTATCAGGTTTCCAAAACGGTTCGCCGGTTGCCAATTTATACTCCTTAGGAAGAGGGGGGGAGAGGCACTACGAGTAAGGTGTTTCACACATGAACAGAAGTGTATGATCACGACCGGGTTATGGTCCGTCCAGTGCACTGAGAGAGTGGAAAGAGCATGGGGGAGAGGGGGTGGGGGAATGGAAAGTCAGACAAGCTTATCCCCCTGCTTCCCAATAAATACTCTTTTTCCATTTTTTTTTCTATTTTTAATGACACTGTTTACTTCTTTCTTTGAATGGCATATGAAAATAGACGGCTTTTGAGTCTAGTTTTTCTTTTTTTTCGAAACAGTATTTAATGCAAACGGTTATTTACACGAGTCTTGGGTTGATATAAAGCCATACTTGTACACACATGCCAAATCCACACATTTCTATCAAGAACACAGAATTGAATGTTATACGATAAAGAATTCCTAGTTGGTTATTTTTTCTCGCCACTTGCCATCATAACAACCAATAGCAAAGGTAAGGAGTAATTTAGCTTTTGTCAACATCGCGGCTGGAGTGTTAACATAGCTCCTCTTCACTGTACCACGATTCCACGCACTGGGATCTTAACCACAATCAAATCGTTATGCTCTCTACCATTGTAATTAAGATCAGAACCTTACAAATCAAGGGAAAATGAGCTGAGAGGTGTCATCCTTTACATTGCCACGCAGTACGACAGGGCACGAAAATTCAATTTGGAAATCATCATTGGAATCGAGGGGCGTGTATGAGGGATCAGTTCACTCAGTTCATGGTCTCTTGTAACAAATCCATGAAACGTTTGTATTCTTACGAGTCTGAATCTTATTCAGTAGATTGATGGAACCCGTTTGGATATGTTCTGTTGCTCAGCAACGCGTCCGACTTAGCGTTAGCTAGCATGCTCTCTAAAAATCGTCTAAGGCACTGAATTACCTTACTCAAAAAATTCTCGGGCAAACATTCGATCGAGTAGAGAAGACTACGTCTCTACCATTTTCATGATGTAATCATTGCATTGGAATGGACTCCGCCGCGTGCATCCGCTGAGCACGCTTCAGTTGCATACGCACCATATCACGTGACACTGATGTCACTTGCTCATGGAACACATCGAGTAGCTCTCTCAGTTCATCACGTGCCTGTAATAATGAATGATTAATTCGCTACGATTCTTGTGCAATGAGGCATGTTTTCACCCAACGAACACCGCCAACAAATGAATAGAAAATTGAATGGTGGGGAAAAGCAAACCAAGCTTACCTTCATAAAATAACCCCAACAGGAATTACCGTCCCTAAAATAGGGCAATTTTCACGGGAGTGTCCAAAGTCCAACGGAAAAGGACTGGTTTTGCAATACTTCATTCTATGTCTGGTCTGGAAACACGTGCCACCCTCCCAGCCAATCAAATGTTTAACTTTATCTATTCCTTTCTGGTTCCATCTGATATTTCCCTTTGTTCTGATTGACCTATGTACGAGCTTTACTTTTGCTTGTGCAGTACTCAACTAAAAAACAGTCTTCATACTTTTCACCCTAATATGAGCATGCATATTCTCCAAACTGTTCTCTATGCATTTCATCGAGAAGCTGACATGAAGAATTTGTTTAACAATCCAGTGCTTCAGAGTTGTTGATCATTTCCTTAATTCTCGTGCCCCTATTGTTTGATTCAGGGTGTGATGTTGTAAGGAGAAATTAGATGCTGGTCACAAAGGGCTAAGGAACCTTACCTGAGCCAGCTCGGAATCAGGTTGCACGTCCTTAAGCAGAACCAGCAGTTGATCCAGGGAAGCGTACGGAACCCACACACTGGGACTGGTGCCGTGCAAGGCATCCTGCGAATAAGATTTCTGTATTAATACAGTAGAATGACCGTTCAAAGGACACTCTCGGGATTAGAAAAGTTGTCCCTAAAATAGTTGTCCCTTTCAGGAAGGTAATAGATACAAAGATTATACGATGGAACTTTAATAGAGGGCACAAATTCAAGAATAGAAAAAGTGTCGCTTCAATTTACCTGTTCTTTCAATGAAGGTAATTAGTACAAAAGGGTTTATATAGCGGCCTTCATTGAAGGATACGCTGGAGACTCGAAAAAAGTGCCCTAAATTGCCACTTAAAAGATTAGGGGCCGGTTATTTACAAGAGGACTAACCCAAACCACTCTTTACGCAATCAGTTGGCTTTATAGGCATTATCTATGAGAGGGTTGCTTTAATTGAATTAATGTTCTTTACATTCATTGATTTTTCTTTGTGGTAAGCAGTGTAACCAGGTTAGTTTACCCTTTCCTCGGGATATTGTGCCGCTGCATTAGATGAGGAATACGTTTCCATATATTTTTTGGCCACTTCTGAAGAGTGATTTTTTAGTGGTTTTTCGTATCTGGAGTAGCACGGGTTCTTTTGTAGAACCCTTAGTTTTCAGTGTACATATGTTAGGATCATATTAGGATGCATATTCTACAAGACTGGCTGACTCATCCTAAATAAACTTTTCACATTGAAGAACTCGTCTGAGTGTGATCAGTATCAAAAATAACTAAAGGCACGGCTCACAGGTGAACTCACCGTCAGTCCAAAGTATTCTTTGCCCTTTCCAAGAACAGCTTCAATGTACTCAACAGCCAACATGACAGCCTCCAGCAGAAGATCATAGTTGATGTACAAACGGAGCAGTTCGGTGGCATTAAAGCGCTAGAGCAGAAACATTTCGAAATTTTGAAAAACAGTGACCACTGATAAAGGATGGTTTCATCTGGAGTGTCTATCAGTAAGGTACGTCACACAACTTGACGACATCTTCCAGCCCGTTAGCCAAAAGTTCACGCAAATTAGACATCACAGGATCGCCTATGTTTTAATGGCTATGAACGTTTCCGCTGAATAAAAGCTCTGAACTGCACATAGGCAGAGTAATAGTGTCTTATCTGTAAAATGACACTCAAATGGCAACAAACTGGGGAAATTTCCTCTAAGCATTACAAATAACTCTTTCAAACAAATTGTTGTAATCTTGAAAAAAGTCAGATCGATTTTCGCCCAGTAAGCCGAAATGAAATCCGTTCTATCGTCTTTTACCGCTTGTCAATGTTCTTCTGAAATCTTAGGTGCTTATTATGTTGAGTTACATGGCGCAACAGCAAATAAAAATAACTTTTTTGGTTTCCAAATTTAACAAAACGTCAAAAATTTTCATAAACGCATACAAATTTCTTGCAGCCTCAAACCGTAGGTCTTGATCACGTGACCACTTCCACAAGTCCTCTCACCTTATAATCATTCACGAGCCACGTGGGCAGAGTAGCCCCGGCTGACAGCAGTTTACTGGTCACACATCTGTAATACACGTGACCATCACGTGGACCAAGCTTGTCGAGGTACAACTTCAAAAGTTGCCAAGCCTGGTCAACAACACTATAAAAAAATCATGGAAAGTATAGCCTCAAACATTGCTTACTTTAAACGAGATTCAAAAGGCAAAGAAAAAAAAATACACAATACAAAACAAAGGTCTGGACACCGGTAAATTGACGCGTACCTCTTGTATCCGGAGACCTGAGCTTCGCCGAGGTCATTAGATAGGAGCCAGTCCCACGCGTCCTCTTCGGTTTTTCTGTGAAAATCAAAGAAATGATATCAAAGAGTAGTAAAAGCGTGGATTAACAACGTGAAAACTGAAATAGTGTAACTGTACTATAGGAGAAAATTCTGAGATTTGTGAAAACTGAAATACATCCATCGGATGGCTATTTTGTCGTTGTTGTTCCTTCCTTTTGGGAATTGGCATTACAATAGTTATTTCCTCACCGTGTTAGACCAGGACCATGGGTAGATAACTTGACACACCTATTGCAAAGACAAAAAAAGTCGCATTAGAAGTTAAAAGAGCAGAAGTGTTACAAAAAAAGGGAAAGGTACGTTTAAAACAGAATTAAAATGCTAGATATTAGTTACGTATTCATTTTGGTAGCCTGTCCAGATCACTGGTGAGTATTTCCTTTTTTCTCGAAACGTCAAACGAGCGAGGAGAGAGAGGAAATGTATAATTGACATTTGAACGATATGAGATTGGGTCGAGACTAATATGGCGGTCCCCCTTTCGTGGATCTGTCTCGTCCCAGTCTTTCTCGCGTTGAGCTCTCGCAAAATCGTCTAGACTCCCCTTGAAACATTTTAATGTTCATGCTTTCTAACCTTGAGGCAAGTCCTTCGAAGATCGTTTCTTTTGGCAAGTTGAAGTGGAAAGCTACAGTGAAGGCATTGTCAAACAAGCCTGCTTGAGTCAACAACGCTACGCTCTCCTGGGGTGACAACTGAGGGCCTGAGACCGAGCGGAAAAAAGAAAAAAAGGAAAAAGGAAAGTCAAAAGATTGCCATGGTAACGGCACTACACCAATCAGAGAATCAGAGCAGAGAGCTACATGTCTGACGTAACAAACCTATAGCACGAGTTGGATCTGCGTCCATTTTAATGAGCTGCAGCCTGGCGAGAACCAATAGATACTCTCCCTCCAGGTCCCTGATGTCTAACACGGTCACTTTACGCCGAGGCTTGGCCAGATGACCTGGGTAGAGTACCTCTCCTTCTTCTCCCTGCTTTCGTTTAGGTGACATGTTGGGCGGCTCCGCTGGTTTCTGAAAAATGAGCAATGGCCCGTTTGGTGAAAGAGGAAACTGATTACTCCGTTTTTCTTTGGGTGGGTGTTGTAGCTTTTACGTCTATAGATGAAACCCAGGTGAGTGATCATTCAAATGATATCTACTAAGCAGTACTCTCATGTGGTACTCTTAATCATGCTGTACGAGGTGGTTCGAACCTTTTCCTAGGTCTGTTTATGAGACCCTAATGCAAGCGGTCAAATGAAAGCTACAGAGCTGTAATTAAATGTAATGTGTGGTACTGTTTTGAAGCAAAAATATGTAACTTACATCGGTGCCTATTCTGTCCAGAGGTTTTACAATCCAGGCATTTTTCGGCTCGACGAGACGGAGTGAGTTCATAGCTGCTAAATAACATTTTGCCTGAAAGTAAATCGGAAATAGATGTTTCTCAGCGTAGAGGTACGTGTAGGAATTTTAAGTGTGCGCTAAGTTTTTCATTTCCTTGCAAATTGATTAGTGAGCTACCAAGGTCGTTGATGAGCTTTACTGAAAAAATATCAAAGAAACAAACCTGTTTTTGCAGACTGTCAAGCCCTGAAACTTCTTGTCCAAGTCGCAAGGCGTGTTCATACATTGCTGCCCCAGCTGGAGAAAAAAGATCCAACACAGTAATCTAAAACAAATGACATCACTTTGTATTTGCTTCATTACTCTGTGTATTTGTTTATATCGTCATCCTGCCTTTGGAAGATGTACTACACCCACTTCTTCTCATTAACCAAACATTGTCAAAAATAAACAGTTATGTAAAGTAAAGTGCGGTTTTTTTCATAGAGTCTTGATAGTATTCCCTGTCTGCATAAGTTCCCCTCTACTATGCTTTCTCATTGGTTCAAAAAAACACTCGCACCACAATTTTGACCAATCAGACCCCAAGCTTAAGCCAACTGTTCACTCGCGTTTTCCCGCGCTTGAAGCGACTTGTGCTCATTTCTCTGAGTTCTCATTGGCTCTTCATGACACCCTCCTTAGTTCTGATTGGCTGTTGTGATAACTTTTGGTTGTCACCTTTTCTGTAGTTTCCTCTGAACACGTGAAAAGCATAGAGTAGATCGTAAAAGCTGTGAGTAGTTATGTCCACTGTACGGGCATGAGACTCGATGATGTCTATAAACTAAAAAAACAGAACAACAGTTACAGAAAAGTTTTCTCAACGCCGAACACTTTATTCTAATCATGTATGAACCGTGTACCATATAAGGTTCCTCTAAACAGGTTTAAAAAAACTACCAGCACCACGTAAAGCGAACCGAGCAGAACGAACCAACTTTACCAACGTATCGAAATGAAATATCAAGACCGAGTTACGCCAGTTGAGTCTTACAGGCCAGAACATCAAAGGAAAAACTAACAATCAGTTTCAACGCGTTTCTCAGGCGAGCAAAAGCAAGCGTGAGGCGAACGTACGGGGGACGAGACACGCGCGACTCGCCCTTTGCATTTTCCTCGCGCCTTCCTCGCGCTTTTCTCGCACTTGCGCTCTCACCTGTCTAACAGGTTTGTCTTTAATCATAACGTTAATATTCACTAGAGCACAACGCAACATTAGATGAGAGATCTGGACACTAGTTATGATTTGCCCGATAGGTGCCTGGCGCGAGCCACTTGTAACAAGCTGTACTTTGCACATGTTTCTATCATTCTCTTACGAGGATGCTCGCCTTTCTAGGACAAATCTCTCGATGAAATAGACAAAGTCTTATCTATGATAGAAACATACTTCAACACGGATTGATCTGGCGAACGAGACACCGGTTGCAAGCGGACTACCCAGTAATACGTCGAACAGAGGAGAACGCGGCCATCGATCGCCGATCGACCGCCATCTTTGTTTTCTTCCCGGACTACAATAGTACGCAATGTCGAAGAAATACAAATGCCCATTCCCCGAATGCACCTACGAGACAGAGGAAGTTACAGACGCGCTCGCGGCCGTCCTTCTATCAGTGCACTCTTCGGGGGTACATGTCACTCCAGGAACAGTGAACACGATCAACCCCAACAGTAACACGAAACTCGAAAGAGTACGCCGTCCGACAATTTCGGCAGCGGGATCGAGTGAGGATTGGTCGTATTTTCTAACGCGTTGGGGCGATTATGTTGCGGCAACTAATGTCACCGGCAAAGAAAAGGTAATCCAGCTCCTCGAGTGCTGCGATGAACAACTTCGCAAAGACCTGACAAGAAACGCGGGCGGTTCCCTCACCGACAAAACCGCAGATGAGGTCATGGCAGCCATAAAAAAGCTTGCAGTACGGGAGGAGAACGCAATGGTCGCCCGTGTGCAGCTACACAACATGCGGCAAGACCGGGATGAGACGATCCGTAGTTTTGGTGCCCGCCTTCGCGGCCAAGCTGGTGTTTGCAAGTTTTTTAGTCACTTGCCCTGGCTGCAACATAGAGGTCAACTATACGGAAAACGTCCTTCGCGATGTCCTCACACGTGGCCTGGCTGACAGCGAAATCCAATTAGACCTGTTGGGGGAACGAAACCAAGACATGAGCCTTGAGGAGGTGTTCCAATTCATTGAGGCAAAAGAGGCCGGCAAACGGTCAGCAGGCCGCCTGTCACAAAGCCACAGTACAGACGCCGCACAAAGTCAGTATCGTCGTGCCAAAAATGATGAGGTCAAGCAACGTAAGGATGGGGACGCGAACGAACTGTGCTCTTATTGCAACAAGAGAGGGCATGGCAAGAGCGCGCCGACCAGAATCCGCCGTCATGACTGCCCAGCTTATGGCACCATCTGCGACAAGTGTGGACGGCAGAACCACTTTGCCAGCGTTTGCCGCAGCAGGGGCAAAAGCAACAGGCCCCAACAGCCGCCGACACCCATTGGCAAGAGCAGAGAAACGGAAAGCGCAATTTTTGACTCACTTTGCACCACAACTAGCCTCAGCAGGCCAAGCAAAGGAGTCATCTCACTCGACCACCACCTCTACTGCCACCTAACCGATCACTGGGTTCGACAGCCATCCAAGCCTCAACCGTTCATAACGCTTACAGCGACAGCCCATCCTGAAGACTACACAGCCCTTGGATACAACCCACCCAAATCACAGTTGGCAACAGCACAACTCTCTGCTATGGCTGACACAGGCTGCCAGAGCTGCTTGGCTAGCATAAAAGTCATCCGTCGCCTGGGCCTCTGTGAGAGTGACCTGATACCCGTCACTATGAAAATGCACGCTGTGAACAACAAAGGGATCAGCATCCTGGGCGCAGTCATCTTAAGGTTCTCGGGCAGGTCTCCATCCGGAAAAGCCCTGGAAAGCCGACAGATCGTATACGTGACAAGCGACTCAGACAAACTTTTCCTCAGCCGAGAGACATGCATGGCACTGGGCATTATCACTAAGAACTTCCCCATGTTGGGGGAGACCCTAAACACATGCAGCTCAATCGAGCCAGACACAGCCTGCAATGCAACTGCACCAACCCCGTCAGACAGAGATATGCAAACTTCTGAGGGCTCAGACAGCCCCCCATGCACCTGCCCGCGTCGCATCACACCGCCACCGAAGCCCACAACCACCCCTTTCCCAGCAACAGAGAACAGTCGGATGAAGATGCAACAGTGGCTGCTGGACTACTACCGAACCAGCACCTTCAATACATGCGAGCACCAGCCGCTACCCCTAATGGAGAGCATCCCTATGAGGCTAATGGTTGACCCCCAAGCGAAACCAGTCGCACACCACAACCCCATACCAGTGCCACTTCACTGGCAAGAGGAGGTCAAGGCAGGACTCGACCAGGACGTCTCACTGGGTGTCCTCGAACCAGTGCCAGTAGGAGAACCCGTCACCTGGTGCCACCGCATGGTTGTATGTGCTAAAAAGAATGGCAAGCCCCGCCGCACAGTCGATTTCCAGGCGCTCAACCTCCACGCGACACGTGAAACCCACCACACGCAAAGCCCCTTCCACCAGGCACGTTCAATCCCAAGCAACACCAAAAAGACCGTGTTTGACTGTTGGAATGGTTACCACAGCGTTCCCCTCCATGAGGACGATCGACACCTCACCACCTTCATCACTCCATGGGGTCGCTACCGCTATAAAACAGCACCTCAAGGCTACATAGCTTCTGGCGACGGCTACTCAAGACGGTTTGATGAGATCGTGTCCCACGTTCCTAACAAGACCAAATGCATCGACGACACCCTTCTCTGGGCAGACAACCTTGACCAAAGTTTCTTCCAGGCGGTTGACTGGCTCAACCTCTGCGGACACAATGGTATCATACTTAACCCAGACAAGTTCGTCTTCGGAGCCGACACTGTCGAATTCGCAGGATTTGAGATCACCCCAAGCTGTGTGCGGCCATGCAAACAATACCTCGATGCCATCCGCAACTTTCCAATCCCAGCCAACATCACGGATGTCCGCTCCTGGTTTGGCCTGATCAACCAGGTCTCCTATGCCTTCGCAGCGACTGAGCGCATGTTGCCATTCCGCCAGCTCCTCCAGCCCGGCACCCCTTTCCAATGGACCGACGAACTGCACACACTCTTTGAAGAATCCAAATCAGTGATTATCAGTGAAATCGAAGAGGGTGTGCGTATCTTTGACAAATCTAAACCAACCTGCCTGGCAACCGACTGGTCCAAAAGCGGCATCGGATTCTGGCTGTTCCAGAAACACTGCCAGTGCCCATCCCCCGAACCCTTCTGTTGTCGTACAGGCTGGAAGATCACTTTGGTTGGGAGCCGTTTCACACACGCCGCTGAATCACGCTATGCCCCAGTAGAGGGCGAAGCCCTAGCCGTTGCCGACGCGCTTGACAAAGCACGATTTTTTGTCCTGGGTTGCAGTAACCTGATCATTGCTGTCGACCACAAGCCCCTCCTAAAAGTGTTTGGAGACCGGTCCCTTGAAGATATCACCAACGCCCGGCTCCGCAACCTCAAGGAGAAAAGCTTACGTTACCGGTTCCGAATGGTACACATCCCTGGCGTGCGACACAAAGCTGCCGATGCTGTATCCCGCCATCCTACGGGAACCACCAAACCAGACCTGCTAGTCTTGCCAGACGACATAGCCGCGGCAACCGCAACCCTGGCCGCTCTCCCGCAATTAGATAACTCCGGACGCTCCTTCTTGGCCGGCATCCGCCACACCGAACCACAACCGGGCACTTGCTCCATCACCATTGACGACCAGCTAGCCTCATCAGCCTCATCGGCATTAAACACTATTGCCGTCACATGGGATAGGGTCAAGCTGGCCACAACAAGCAGCAGGGCAATGACCCAGCTAATTCATCTTATCGAGACTGGATTCCCTAAATCCCGTAACGAGCTACCACCTGCCCTTCGGGAGTACCATCAATTTCGCGAACACCTCTATACAGTTGATGGCATCATCCTCTACAAGAATCGCATCGTGATACCACCCTCTCTCCGCCAGCATATTCTGACTGTCTTGCACTCAGCCCACCAAGGTGTGACTTCCATGACAGCACGCGCCGAAAGCACAGTGTTCTGGCCAGGCATCACCCCAGCCATCATTGCCCTACGGGAAACCTGCAACCACTGCAACCGCATGGCACCCTCTCAACCGAGTTCACCGCCCTCTCCAGTTGTACCCCCAGCCTACCCGTTCCAATGTGTTTGCGCCGACTTCTTTCACTACAAAGGGGTTACCTACCTTGTTATCGTAGACCGCTACTCCAACTGGCCCCTCGTTGAGCGAGCAAGAGAGGGATCTACAGGCCTGATTGACTGTCTACGACGAACCTTTGCCACATTCGGCATCCCAGACGAACTCGCAACAGATGGCGGCCCTGAATTCACAGCAACAGCCACACGCCAATTCCTGAAAGACTGGGGCATACACCACCGTCTGTCGTCAGTGGCATTCCCACACTCAAATTGCAGGGCAGAGATTGGCGTCAAATCAGTCAAACGGTTCATCACTGACAACACCACCCCATCTGGTAGCCTAGATACTGACTCCTTCCAGCGTGCAGTCCTTCAATATCGAAACACACCCGACCCGAATACTCAGCTATCCCCTGCACAATGTGTCTTCGGCAGGCCAATCAAGGACTTCATACCTATCTTACCTGGTCGCTACCAACCACACCCTACCTGGCGTGACACCCTCGCGACAAGAGAGGCAGCACTAAGAAACCGCCACATGAAAGCTGCAGAGAGATGGTCTGAGCACACCAAGCGACTCCCACCCCTGGCCGTTGGTAACCATGTTCGCATCCAGAACCAAACAGGCCCCTACCCCACTAAGTGGGATAAGACAGGAGTCGTGGTCGAGGTTCGCCAATTCGACCAGTATGTCATCCGCATCGACGGCTCAGGGAGGATGACTACCCGCAACCGCAAGTTCTTAAGGAAATACCTCCCGGTACGGACCACACCGCCCCACCTAACAATTGATGACGACCTGCGTCATCTTGCTATGCTGCCACACAGACCGCCCAAGCCAATCGCCCCCACCCCAGCACAAGCAAGGATGCCCCCACAACCATCCCCTGCACAGCCACTAACTGGGCCAACCCCGGCAGCAGTGACACCTGACCACCACAGCCCCAGCCCAAAGCCAAATGCACCACAGATACAACTTAGCAACCAAACACCTTCCCCATCTCCTGAGCACCCCTCAACAGCAACTCCACGAACGCACGCGTCCAGCCCCCAAGCAGATCCACTGGCGCCGTCAAGCCCGCCGAAACCCCCAGAACGACCAAAGAAACCTCCCTTAGCCCTGCGTCGGCTACGGGACTTTAACTCCAAAGGACTATTGGAACAGTGACTTAGTCATTAGATCCATGAGACAGTCAAATGACACTATTCCATATTTAGTTTTGTTCTTTAATTCAAATTAACATTTGTGTTCTTATCAGTCTTCACTATCCCCCATATGCAAGCATGAGGAACACTAAAGACTTGGGGAGAGATAGAGCACAACGCAACATTAGATGAGAGATCTGGACACTAGTTATGATTTGCCCGATAGGTGCCTGGCGCGAGCCACTTGTAACAAGCTGTACTTTGCACATGTTTCTATCATTCTTTTACGAGGATGCTCGCCTTTCTAGGACAAATCTCTCGATGAAATAGACAAAGTCTTATCTATTCACCTCATTTTGAAGGTTGACAAATGGATACTCTACAAGCTCCTGAGTTTGACCTCCCTCGTACAGTGTTACCATGAGCTTATGAAGGCATACACGCCGCCTGAAAAAAGTCAAGAAAAGTAGAATGATAAAATTCCACATCTTCACAACTAAAACGAACGGAAGCGTTCAAAAACAGCCGATAGCGTTCAAAATCTGACGGAGATGCTGTAATAGGATAGGGGCGTCCAAAATATAACGACAGCGTCTAAAATCAGACTGAAGAGTCCGAAATCGGACAGGAGCACTCAAAAGCGGACGATAGCAGCCAAAATCGACGTTCATTGCACAATGAGAAGCAAAGAGCCAAACTGCGAACGACTACTTACAAAGAAGATAAACGAATAAAAAGGAAAAGAAAACTAAGAAAAGAGATGGGAAAATTACTTACCTAACAGGGTCAGGGTTAGCGGTCAAAGCTTCATATGCCAGGTCATTATGGCGCAACTCCAGATGATGTTTAAAAATGTTTGACCACAAGTCGGGCTGGAATAATTAAGGAGAGATAACATAATTAACAAAAATTACTCCACTCTGCCATACACTTGTACAATGAAGAAAAGAAAAAAGGAACAAAAATCACGAGTAGCCTCATAGTGCTCCACTGTTCGAGGTATGTGTTCCTATTGCGCATTTGTTTTTTCTCACCTGTAAAAAGGCGCCAAGCATATTTTTAAAGTCTTCCATGGCTAAACTTTCGGAAAATTATCAGAAAGTTATTGGAAAATTCTCGGAAAATCATCGTAAACTCATCGGAAAAATATCGGAAACATCGTTTTAAAAGAGTGTACGAATGACGAAGGAAAGTAAACGACTTCGCACGACGCTGGTGTCACCTCTGTGCTCGGATACTTCATAAGAAACGACCAATCACAGAGCGCGTTATATTCAGCTCCCTGAATGACGTAAAGTAATAGTCCGGGCAGAGTTATAGAAACCGTTTTTAACCCCTCAAAGGCTCACCTCTCCTAGCTACGACCGTTTTGTGCAAGAGTAGGAACAAATTTTGGCGACTGAATTTACAGCTATAGTCGTTTATTTAGCGTCCTGTGTTTGCAGTCATGTAACAAGTTATAAAAAATCGCTTGCGCTTCATGGTCTAAAGTTAAACTAGGGTAAATATTGCACTCTGAAGTTTTCTTTCATAAACTTTTGCCTCTTCTCCCTTAGTTGTCAAAAGCAAGTCTTGAGATGTCACGTGAACCTCCAAAAGGCCAGCTGTCAGCCTGGTTTATTTTCCTATTTCAGATCGCTAAATGGCAACTTTGAAGAGGAGTTGGACTCGGCGCCCTAGCCGGCTTTACTACATTTTCTTTCACCGCCTACCCCTCCCCCCTTATCACGTTATCCACTCACAATATTTGGATCATCAGGTGAAGCGAAATCCAGCGCTACATGAGCCACACGGATGACATAGTCGGGAGCATCAAACTGCTCAAACAGCTTCAACACCTGCGCGGGAAAACAGAGGAAATGATAACAGTCACACAATACAAGTGAACATAAGGGAACAGACAGACACGTTCCTAGTCCACGTGTTGGAATTTATCAATTCACTAAAGTTATTTGTAGACTCTCGTCTGTAGAACGAAAGTCTATTTTCCGAGACGTCTGCGTCGAGTTAAACCTCAATATAGTGACTAAAAGCAATATAATGGAGGGCAGCGTTCAGATTCATTTGTCGATGAAAGAAACTTCCAAAAAGGAAGTTAAATGGCATTTCTTGAGAGATAATTCACACTGCGAACGTCTGGGAAGATAGACTTTCGTTTCCGTAAAAGAGTGATGTAGAATGTCCGTGATTGTTCGTCAGTGTCTCCTAAATTTCGTAATGAAGAATTTCGTCTTGTTCGCCTGTGAGTTTTAATCTGCCTCACCTTTACGTAAAATAAAACAAGCAGTGTTGAAATATCGGTGGAATCGCTTTGAAGAACCTTCATCACAAAGGCATCCATTGAACCTAAAATCAAGAAAACTTAAAGTGAACAGTGATAGAAACAGAATGAATCGCACTTAACAGGCTACGCAAGCATAGAGCTCCTTTAGATTGAATGTCGTAAGCCTTTTCAACCCCAAGATCTCATTAGTAATTCTCCTCACTGTTTGCCAAACAATTCTTGTGATGTTAGTGGGAGAATCTGGTTTTGGATCAACTAATGATTCCCAAACTGATATCTTTATTTTTTGTCATCACTTATCTGTTTGATATTGTATTGATACTGTAGGGAGAAACTCTCTCTTGGTCACTCATGGGGTTGAAGGGTTCGTACCCTTTTTTCAGAAAAAAATTTCAAGGACTTTTCCAGGACTCAGATTGATTTTAAATCCTTGAACTCTTTCATTCCCTAGATTTCAAAATCAATTCTCCTCAAGGTTAACATACATTTCTTACAACGTAAATTCTGGAAACCCTATTGTTTGAGTTAAGCAGATTTCCAGGACTTTCCACGACCTCTAATCTTTTTCCAGGGCCCGTGCGAACCCCAGAGTTTATAGGGTTAACCAACGGAAAAGTAGTCACAACAGCAAGTTGGATCAAAGGAAATATCACAAGGAGCCTATAAAGTCTATGAAGCCAAAGTCAAAATGAAAACAAGGGAACTGGCTCGCATGAAAACGCGATTGCTCAGGGCGTGATTGGTTTCAATTTTGCATCCGTTTGGTTTACATGACATGGCGTGAATTGTCTGGATCAATCACAGAGCGAGGTAAAGAAAAACTATCATAATCCCAAAATACTTTATCATTTGATTTGATCACCCAGCAAATAATAAGTACTAAAGCGTCCTTACCAATCCCCTTGGCAGCCTTCAGGAAGCAGCTTAATGCCTTGTGATTTTCGCCCAAAGCCAAATACGATTGGCCCAGTAAGAAATGCCATGATAACTGACAGGTGTCACACCAATAGCAAATCAGATGCGCGTAATCTTGAATGCGAAGATACTGACACCGCGAGAGGAGAAATTCTGGGAAAATGACGCTCTCCCTTAGTGGCCAGCTATAGTTGGATTTGTGTCAAGTTAAAATAACGTAATGCAAAACACAAATAGAAGTGGCGGAGCTTTTTGAGACATGGGGGAGGGGAAATACTCTAGTCACTTGATGCTATGGAATCTAAGATAAACTCTGGCGGTGTTGGAAAAAAATAGCCCCCATGGAAACCACGTAACAAGATCTCAAAGCGTTCTCGCATCTCCTTACTGTTCACCAAACATTCCTTGCATTTAAGCTCAGAGAGACTTAGTGTTTAATAAAGCAACAGTACCTGGTTGATACTATTCCTTCCTCTCATCACTTTACGACTTAACATGGTGTATCACGGGGATAAATTATTTATACTTGCTTGCGGGAGTAAAAGATATAATCTCACGTAAAACCATCCGATTCAACAACAAAGTTTTTATGCTCAATGTTAGTTGCAGAAATAGGGTCTCGGTGTACTTTCTAATTCAAGTTCAAACAAAAACCGGGGAAAAAACAAAACAAAAAAAAAAGAACTGGCAATTACGATTATTTAAGTCACTAGGATACATTAGGTCCATCAGGATGTAAACAGCCCGGTTGAAAAATCCAACCCAAAGAAGAGGTGGCTCCTGATCAGACATCTCCAGTGAGGCCCTGATTTTATGGACCAGGTGCCTTCTCAGTTGTGTTCCCCCAACACCACATAGGAAGAGTTCCCCTAGTGTCAGAGAAGGATCATCTACAACGAGAAAACACACGTCATCAAGTAAATAGTCGCTCAAATAAACAATCATAGACAAAAAAAAACCAACGTTAACCTGGGCCAATTTTTTAACTCTTACCGGGGACTGCTTTTGAATCCATTCCATCGGAAATTTCCAGTGTAGCTAACTGTTTTAGGTTTGACTCTCTGTACGAAAAAAGTTTGCAGGATTGTTGAAACACGTCACAGTTTAATGGTAGGAGTCATGCACTCTTTGTTATTACTCTTTCTTTTTGGAAAACGAGTCCACTCTTTTGTTCGTGTTCGTATTTATATTAATCGTGCTAGTCTGATTGTCTGGGTGAGTGTAGTCCTGAGAGGGACTGTTGTCGGTAGTAATGACTGACGCTTTCACAACCTGAGCGGAAGTCATCATCAGAGTCAAGTGAAGAGTTGTTGTTAGTCTATTGTTGAAGAGATATTATGTCAACTTTGCTACCTGAAAAACCTAAAGCAAGAAGAACTGATGTACATACACAGAACTTGATGGTGTGGGCGTGACAGCTTGTTCAAGGATCCAGTGCAGAGCAACATACAGCCTGAGAAACTCAACTGTTCTAGGAATGAACACTGATGATACATCCTCAGCTTTTCTAGCATCCAAGCCAATCTTAGGAACAGAAAAAAAAACACTTGAAATGGAAACAAAGAGAATTAAGAATCTGCACTACAAGGTTCAGGGAACATTGGGATGATTTGTTAAGAAGAGATCATTGATGAACCTTCTTGGGAAATAATTGCAATCTGTAGTTCTAGGCCAAGGGGGGAGTGATATGCCAAGATGCCAAAGACGAGGAACGGGAAAAGGAGGAGGGAATAAAAGGGAAGAGACAAGGGGTCTAATTATTAAGGCATAGTATGGAAGGAAGGGGCAGGGGTTTCAAAATCCAGTTATTGGAAGCCTACCGTTGCCTTTAACACCCCTTGCTGTTGCCTTTAGCACCCCTTACCGCTGCCTGTAACACCTTCTACCGTTGCCTATAACATCTCTTACCACTGCCTGTAACACCCCTTACTGCTGCCTGTAACACCTCTTACTGCTGCCTATAACACCCCTTCCTGTTGCCTGTAACACCTTCTACCTCTGCCTATAACATCTCTTACCACTGCCTGTAACACCTCCTACCACCGCCTGTAACACATCTTACTGCTGCCTGTAACATCTCTTACTGCTGCCTATAACACCCCTTACTGCTGCCTGTAACACCTTCTACCTCTGCCTATAACACCTCTTACTGCTGCCTGTGACACCTCTTACAGCTATCTGTTCAGACTCTTATGTAAAAGTGTTGCCTAACAGCCCAGTCACCTATTGCACCATGGGAGGTCCCCCACAGAAAAAGTAATTGATGAAACCCCTAAACAGAAGAACATGAGAAAGTACAATGGGGACAGGAGCAAAAAGGGAATATAAATCACCCTTTCTCGCCATAATATAGTGTTTGGAGAGGACAAAAATACATTATTTTACATTCTCACTGTTTAATACCTTGTTGACCCCCAGCCTGGTCATTAAACTGAGCAGCACCAATAGATGTTTACATACGGACATTCTGGATGACGCAATTTGGTGAGCAGCCTTGGAGAGGAGAGAGCAGGTGAGTGGAGCACTGAACAGTTGATGACCAGTCATGATATGAGAGAAATCTGACCAACCTGTGATGAAGTATTTAACCCAGAAGTTAATAACAGGTATTATTCTACATTAAAGCTACCGTGAAAACTCTGATTTGTCGAGAGTGTACAGTCAATATACAATAGCATGTGAAGTTGACATGATAACCCAATATCTGCAGCAGACACCAATACACAAAATACACCAACTTATTAGCTACAGGGTGTCATCTATGTATGCCGTCAAAATGTATGGAGAACAGTATGGAGAATATGCACACTGATATTACTTTGTAAAAGGTTAGGATGTGGAGACTATTTTCCCATCAAAAAACACTGTTATCTTGTGACTAAATTTCTTGATAAAAACCCTGGTAAAGGAGGAATACCGGTACACGTTTTTTTCCCACAACCTTCCCCACTCCTTCCCAGACCTACCCAAATCAACTTACTAGGTTTTCCCTTCTTACCACTGACCGAGAGCCTGGCACTAGTCACAAAAAGTTTAGCAGCCAAAGCTCAATAGCTGCTAAAATGAAACCTCACCAGTCTGTTGCTCATAAGGAACATCCTGAATGAGGTCACTCTCTAACATCAGAAGAAGGAATTCCAAACTGTGGAAGATATTTGGTATCTTGTGCAAACTGTGGAAAAAGAAATAAATCAGTATTGAACACATACATATCCTGCCCCTCCCCTTCCCATACCCCCTCTCCCACCCCCTACCTTTCCAAGCTAAAACCTTGACTTGCCCACCAGCAGGTGACCAGGGCCCCCTTGCCTAAAGGCTGATTAGTGCTAACTCAAGGTTAAATTTTTAATCTGGGTTTCTTTATTCCTTAATTCAAAAGCTTTTTTGGGATAATTTTCCTTACTCTTTTTAGAGCATCCAATAATCGTAATCTAGACAAAAGGAATTCCAGTGAATTCTCTTTGATAGCTTTCAGATTTGAAGTCAGATTTCATGCTAATCCTGCTTATCCAAACCAGCTTTTTGAACAACCTGGCCTAGGACAGGAAGAACTTGCCTGTCCCAAATGACTGTCTTTTTTATTTTCCTTCAGGCCCTGAAATTTTGAAAAATTCTAACTTTCCAAAAAGCAGCTCCACTTCAATACTAGTTTCCTACTGGAAATAAAATACTTCTTCATTGCACACACCTTGTCTCCAGTTCCTGTTGAAACTGAAATAAGGCATTTGTATCTGCTTCTCCTTGATCTTCATCACTAAGCAAAGTAAACCAATGTAAGCAATTCAGAATTTTAGAGCACCACTGTATCACACTATTGCCTGTTTTTTTTCTTGTTTAATAGAGAAGGGGACAAGAGAAAGGATTATAGGAGAGAAAGCTTCATAGAGAAGTGTTTGGTAAAGACGCTGAGATGACGTTGTAAGGGGAAACAAGATGCTAGTCACTCTTAAGAGGTTAAAGGGTTAACCCTTTCACTCCCACAAGTGACCAAGACAGAATTTCTCCTTACAATATCAATACAATATCAAGCAGGCAGGTGATGAGAATAAAGAATATCAATCATGGGATTATTAGTTGATCTTACCCAATTCTCTGAACTAACATTATAAGAATTGTATGGCAGGTAGTAAGGAGAATTATTAATTAGATCTTGGGAGTGAAAGGGTCAATAAAAGAATACAATCAGCAGATGGATTATAAGGGGGAGGTGCATATTAAGAGTGGTGGGGAGAGGGTTTAAGGGAGGGGCCTATCAGGTAGGGGCTGATAAAAGAAAGAAGCTTTTAAGAGAGGGGGCCTTTTTGGAGAGGGGGCTAAGTAGAGAGAGAGGCTTACCAGAGAGAAGGGCTTATTGGAGAGGAGGCCAGTTAGGTAGGGGGTGATGAGAGAATGAAGCTTTTAAGAGAAAGGGCCTTTTTAGAGAGAGGGCTTGATAGAGAGGGGGCTAAGTAGAGAGATAGGCTTATCAGAGAGTGGGTTTATTAAAGAGGGGACTTATTAGGTAGGGGCTGATAAGAGAAAGAAGCTTATTAGAAAGGGGGGCTTACTGGAGAAGGGCCTTGTTAAAGAAGGGGCTTAGGAGAGAGAGAAGATTACAAAAAAGAGGGGCTTTTTAGAGGGAGAGGCTTCTCAAGGAGAGTCTGACTAAAGAAGTCTGGCTAAAGAGGAGTCTTATTAGAAACAGGAATCATTAGAGAGGGGGTTTCATACTTAGATATTAAAATTTTCTTGTGAGAAATACACTGTCGCTTCTTACCTCACATTTGTTAGAAGATAAACAGCAATCTGTTCAGCAGTTAATGCTGGATTCAGCTGGTACATGACATCATTTTCAAGTGCTGATAGATGCTCAGGAGATAGCTAAATTGGAATGGTGGAGAAAAAAATTTTTAAAAAAATTCTGTGTCAAGATACAAGTTACTGCATTGTAAGATTGCTAAATTTGATCACAACTAACTGAATCGATATTAAAATTTATAAGAACCTTTCTTAAATCACTGTATTGCAGCAACAAATTATCATTTAGGAAAATTGCATCACATTAGTTCACCTGATCTGAAACCATTCTGATGATGTTACAAAGATCTATGAATGATTCCTTCATGGTTTTATCTGCAAAGTAACACAAAAATGTAAAACTGACAAGAATATTATTTTCAATTACAACAGCTTTGATCTTCTCATTTATTTTGTACACCAGTGTCCAAAATGTGATTGTGGACACTAGCATCTAAAATCAGACAAAAATGTTTAGAATTGGACATATACACATGTCTAAAATTGGACACTAGTGTGTAAAATCAGACACTACAATTTAAATTTGGACTCAAGTGTCTAAAGTTGTACCCTAAGTCGGTATTTTTGCACTTCCTGTTTGGACCACAAATTGAAGAGGGCGAAGCTCATTCTACATCCTTCATTGCAGACCTCAACTCCTTTACTTTAGAGGAAGCTACACATCCATGTGAAATAGGAAACCTGCTAAACTTGGAACATTAAGATTATATACATACCTAGATGAGGCTCTGTGGCAACAATTGACACTTCTAGAGGTTCTTCAGAGAGGTGAAGTTGCTCAAACAGGTCACAGGGTCTCAGGAATGACAGCATTTCCTGTGTGACAAATGAAAACATAAAAAAATGTAATCTACAGAATTCTGTAACCAATAAAGGTGACAAGAAATTGTGTACTCATTAATTAATTTCTTCACTATTTTCATAATTTGTTCCAAAACCCACAATGAAACACACAATTTACAATTCTTTAACCTTTTCACTCTCAGAATTAACCAAAGAGGAGTTTCTCCTTACAATATCATTTCAAGTTTGAGTAGAAAGATGATGAAGAGAAGTAAAAATATTTCCTAGGGACTTTGATTGATTTGACTTCACATTGTTAGAGTAAAATCGTGAGAAATGAAAGGAAGATGGTGTGGAGAATGAACTGTTAAGGCTTGGGTGTAAAAGAGATAATTTAAAGGATATCTCCTATCAAAATAATATGAGTGAACAATTTCAGTTTACTACCTTTCGCACAACACAGACTAATCCTGTTTTAGTGTCCATGAAAATGCCCAAGGCTTTACCTCCAACCTGGAAAAAGAATTAAAGACAGTTATTTACACCTTCACCAAAAATCTAACTCACAAACACTGAGGGTGATACAACATTCTATCATTATCTTTCAACAGATTCATTGTTGTCTATTAATAAGATCAAGCAAAATAATTTGAAGCCCACAAAAATCAATCTCAAATCAACACAGTGACAAAACTCTTTTTCTAAACCAAATCTGATGCCTTCAACATTGTTGATTCTGCACCTACCCCTCCCCTAACCCAATAACAGTCAACTAGTAACAATTTAAGGTTTATGTCAGGTTAGGGGAGGGGTAAGTGTGCAGTTGTTCAGATACTGACTTTGATCTGTTGATTCTAATGGTGTGTAAACTACATGTACACAGGACACCAAACTAAGAAATTTGGCCTCTAAAATTTGTTTCTATGAACCATGGTTACCAAAATGGTGGCAGTTTGGAGCACCCAGGAGCATGGATACTTACTTGATGGTACTGTACAACACAGCTGTAGAACTTTGTCCAACATTGTAGCTGAAGATCATTGTACTCATGGTGAAGCATCTCATAATCTGGAGCTGACATCTGAATCTAAAGAAGCCAACTGTATTAGATTTTGTAAGTGGTAAACTTAAACCATTATGTATTTCCTTGAATAAGCAATAAGGCACTTATTTAAAATTTTTGCTACTGGATGGAGGGCACTTAATCGAGGGGGGGGGGGGGGGTGCCTATAATTCTCCTGTACTGATTACATTGAAAAGTAACAGTGAGTTGCCATGTTGGATCTGTATCATTTTTCTACAGTTCAAAACCTACTGCAACAATGGAATCTCAGCAAAGAAAACCCATCTCTTTTCAATACAAACCTCTGAATCAATGAGATTGATAACAGCCAGTTTCAAATCACTCCTTGAAACAGTCTCATCAAAATCACTGACAAAGTTTGAAACTGGTAAATGGTGGTATATCTATAAGGAAAAAGTAAAAACAAAAACAATAAACAATAAACAAAACAACAATTTGGTATCTGCATTCCAAACCACATCATTATTTCCACATGGCAAGTGTTGGAACAAATCAAAGACACAACAGAAACTGTGAAGCCACAGAATCAAATGAACACAGATATTTAAATAACTGTACCTGCATAGCTTTCAGAATAGAACGATTTGAAAACCTTCCAGGGTAGAAGAGCTGATCAAGAAAAACTTCCTGAGAAAATAATTTTAGAATGGTTACAGTGGGATAAACTTCATAAGAAAAATCTGCACTGACACTATTTTGAAGCACCAAAGAAATCTTAAAAATAGTTGTAAAATGTAGCCACATTTTAAACTTTTAGTTAACGTAGAGATTAATCTTGACAACATTTTTAAAAAGTTCTTCAAAATGGTGAACAGCTCATTGAATTGGTATAACTCCTATCACACCCTAAAAATTAACAGTGCAGCCTTGTTAAATCTTGGAGTGTATTTCTAACATTGCATATGGTCAAATTTTTCTCCAGACTATTCATTGATGTTCTGAAGTTCCTTATTTATTACATTCTTCTTTGAAGAATCAGATTTCCAGTATCTGTACAATAAACAAACTTACTCTTGGTTCTTTATATGGTGGAACCATGACATCAGAATTCTCTGTTGGTTTAAGGAATATTCTTTTCCAACCACATTCTTGTGCATCTATGCTACAAAATTGAAGTGAAACCTTTTGGCATTAGAAATGGACAGATTTACCACCAAGAAGTTCACTTCATTAAAAAATTCCTCAGAGAAACATTTCACATGTCAAATGTTACAATTTATAAACTTACTTTTCAATGGGAGTGAAGTAAGCCATTGTTTCACCATTTTTATCTGTCCATAAAGTCCAGATGTTCGATGTGGTCACAGCAAAGTCTATAAGATTTTCCTTTTTTTCAAAACAAAAAGCACATTCATCCATGAGCAAAAAGACAAAAGCATGGCCGTCAAAAAGTTTCAAGGTAGAAAGCAAACAAGAAACAAAGGGCGTCCAAGAGAGATCTTGGGCTACTAAATTCCCGGATGGGGTAATAGCAGTTCTTTCAAACAATCAATTCAAAGAAATTGGAAATAAACACAGTAAACAACCATAAACGCATTGCTTGAAGAACCCCAACTGGTAGGAGGCAGACCAGTCAGCTATAAACAAAGAGCAGCCAAGGAGTTGAACTCTCAAGGCACCTGAAAATAAATCCAGTGAGTAGCAGAATGGGGAGCCACCAGATTTCAAGACCAGTGCCCTAAATACTTGGTCAACCTGCCTCCACAAGTGATCAGTCAGTTTTGAGATTTTACCTTTGGAAAGTATGAGAAGGAAAGTGCAGACAAGCTTGGATCATCATCTGAAGATGGCACAACCTCATACACACAGAACTAAAACAACAATTACAAAATGTGTTATACTGATAACAGTTGTCAATCAAATTTTTCAATACTTTGATGGAGCAATTACATCCTCCAGTGTCATGCAGCCAATCCTGCATACTTTCACCCATAATAAGTTTACAGTCAACTCCTGATAACTCAAACTTTCAAGGGAAATGAAAAAGGTTTGAGTAATGGAAGTCTGAGTTATCTGGATTTGAAAGCAAAGCAGGAAAACTCCTGGAAGAGATCTTAGGAGTGAAAGGGTTGATGGGAGTAATTTATTTAACTCTCAAGACTGAACAGCCGCCTAATACAATCAAACCTATATTTAAACAGCGTCCAGCATCACCCTGTAGTGAGTGGCCAGCTGTCAAAGTCCTGAATTCGTTTCCCTTGATCTCAGTTATTTTCACCTCTATTAAGCAGTGATGGTCACCCTTTACAGAGTCCCAATGGTCTGCTTGTTTTGTTTTCCACTTGTATTAAATGGTCACTTATGGCAGATCCACTCAAACAAACTAAGAATAATCCTTTAAGTAAATTTTATCATGTTTTTCTCCCAAAATCAAAGAAAGTAGTATTTTTTGGCAAGATTCTGTAGAGTAAGTGGTCAATTATCACGTAAAGTGGTGTTGTGTATCATTTTTTACAATACCCTGTATCTATGGAACCTGAATTAAGTAGTCAGCCTGTATCAAGCAGTCACTCTGTCATTCACCATCAGTGACAGCTTAATACAGGTTCAACTGTAGTTTGCAAGAGGTTTTAGCGATAATTTTTCATAATATCAAGAAAAAATTTTGGACCCTTAGTGACTGGCAGTATTCTACTGGTAGCTTCTCCAACCTTCCCCCCCCCCCCCCCCTCCCTTCAACTTTTCAATTGTCCACTCACCTGTGTGTTATACATTAGGTTTAAAAACAAACCAAGATAAAGTTTGCCACTTGATGGATCTACCACTTTACGGAGTATATGACCCACAGCTGCAAGGACAAGAAATTCATTTTACAAAAGCATTATGTCAAGTTATCAAAAGAATAACTCCAGCTAACATGGATTTTATCATCTCAAAAAACCCGGAACCAATATCAGGTTGACTGACTGCTTCAACCTGATCTCCACTACAGAAACAATGACAACACAGCAGTAAACAAAAATAAGATCCATAATTTTAAAAACTGGACTTACCTGGAAAGTTTTGAGCATCCATATCATCACGAATATCTTCCAGAAGATCTTTGACGTAAATGCACGATTGAGTCTAGCAAAAATAATCAAAGTTGCAAATAACAAAAAAATACAAACAATAAATACTTAAAATGTAGCATTCAGTACATGGCAGAAATATAAAGAAACAATGTTAAAATATTTTAGGTAAAAGAAAAGTCTCAACCCTTTAACTCCTATGAGTGACCAAGACAGAATTTCTCCTTACAATATCAATACAGTACCAAGCAGACAAGTGATGAGAATAAAGAAAAATGCAAACTGTATTAGAGAAGGGATTGTTAGTTGATCCAATATAAAATTCTCTAAACTAACATCATAGGAATTGTATGGCAGACAGTAAGGAGAATTACTTATGGGATCTTGAGAGTGAAAGAATTAGACATACTTTTGAAAGACCATTTTGAAAAAAAAAACCTCAGAGGTGAATATTAAACAAATGCTTGGCGGAGAGTTTACTGGCTTTGAAAAATACTTATTGCAATATTTCCAAAGTACCTGGCAGGACCAAATCCTAAGCTTGCAATCTCGGCAAAGAGCAAACACACACATATGATTTCCATATGGATGGATTCCTACACTCAGTGTAGCATCAGAAGCCATTGTCTCTCTCCTTAAGCTTGAAGGAACAAGACCAGACCAAAGACGTTGCATCACTCCTGCTTCCTTTAATTCATACTGCTCAACTTGACCTATCATGATAATACAAACCAGAATTGATCAGTATGTAATTTCTCTCACAATGTCAATACAATATCCAAAACTGAACTCATCTTACCGCCACTCCCAGGAGGAGGCAATTTTATTAAAAGTATTATTCCTGAAGTTGTAGCTAAAGCAAAGAGACAATGTCCATCCTGGCAAAGCCAGCTTGCAAAAGTCACACATGATTGTGAAAAAGTTCCAAAATTTGAAGGACTTCTGAGCTGATGACTGGAAAAATCATTAAAGATGGACTGCTGACCTCCTTCACTAGAGTAAGACAAACCAAATCCCTAGGAGACAAAGTTAAAAGTGAGATGAACACCTCAGCCCAAAAACACAAATTTTATGGTAAAGTACAACGGACCACAGTTGGTAAAAAAATTAACCATATAAACCAGGGGTTGTGCAAATCAAGGCATGCAGTGCAGCCTCCAGAGACAAAACATGGAACACTAATAGCATTCACCACATAACAAGGTACTCCATCATTTTTTTAGGTTTCTGCCGTATACTGTAAACAACTCTTCCTAATACAAGACATTTTCATCACTTAAATAGCGACTTGTTTAATCACTAGAGGTTTCCTTTAAGCACGAAAGGAGCAACAATAAGAAGGGGGTGTCCCTCCTCTCAATTAAAACATCTGGTGCATTGTGAAAAACTTGCCAGTATAAAGGTTATGTCTGGAAAAGACCTGACATCTTCAACTTGATTCAGTCTAACAGGACTGCTGCCATCTAATTTTCTTTAAAAGACTTACATGTCTACGAAGTCTGTCTGGATGAGGGAACGCAATCCTGTGTACACTGTTGGTTGTGGCAATCAACAAGCTAACATGTGCAGGAGTTTCAAAGATATACACCACTGGTAAAAGAACACCGTCAGTAAACTGTAGTTCAAGGTGGTTTCCTGAGAGATTGTAGTCCAAGGACTCTTCAAATAGCTCCAGTACATTATCTGTTACTCTCCTGTACACGAAAACATTCGCAAAACATTAGGAAATTGAGTGCACAAACACCTACTAGCCTTATTTTAATCTAGTTTGTGGACAAAAATGGCTGTTTAAGATAGTTTAGAAAGCGGCATGGCTCCGTATGCATATTCCAAAGTTTCTTAAAATTTAATTAAACGACAGTTAAATCTCGATCTATCTATCTATCTACCTATCTAAGTATTGCTATTGTTTAACGTAGTTTGGTAGGCACTTTGAGTCTTAATTAAAATCAACGTGTACTGGTATTAAACCCAAAAACTTAACAACAAAAGTACAGGACAAAAATTGCCGCGAGTTACAAGTTTCAAACACAAATTTTCTTGTGAATACGAACCAAAAGATGTAACGATTTCGAGTAACAGAGTCGACAGTCCCGCACTCTCGATAAGCAAATCCACCTCCCGTATGAGGCTGAGCGTTTTCTTCATCCCTCACTGTCGTTGCTGATCCTATAGTAAAATTTATCACGTTTCCTTGTGGCTTTCCACTGTGATGCAAAACTTCTCGGAAGTTCCCACCACTCGCCATTTTGGATTTGGATCTAGCCGCCATGTGATCGTTAGTAGATCCCAATCTTCTCTCATCCTCTTGAACTGGAAACTGAGGCCGATAAACATGTTAATGCGCTTCCAGCAATATTAGAGGGGATGAAATTTGCGATGTGATTGGTGAAAAAAAAAAAACTATCCCTACTGCTATCGTTATGCGCAAGCGCCGTAAACATAATATGGCTATTTCCTACTAATTCAGGGGAAGGATATTGGAGCACATGTCAGAATTTTCCCTTAATTCGTGAGTACATTCGTGATATGAATCAATCAATCAATAAAGGGGGCAAGTTTCTAAGGAAACTGTGGTGCTGCGTCGGTGGGAGAGTATAGCAGGTAGTTTAGTGTTGACAACTGAGTTGAAAACGTAAATTGGCTACCTTAAAAAGTTAAAAGGCTGACGTTTCGAGTGTTAGCCCTTTGTCAGAGCGATTGATGAAGGGCTAACGCTCTGACGAAGGACAAACGCTCGAAACGTCAGTCTTTTAACTCTTTGTGGTGACCAATTTACGTTTTCAACTCAGTTGTTAACACTAAATTACCTGCTATATTATCGTTAGTTTGCCTCTAAACCTTGGAAGTTGATACCACAACTGTGCTCTGTGCGAGGTGGTGGTATGCACGTATCACTGTGTGATAAATAATTTCTGAAGCGCTTCAATTAGTGATTACTTCCTTAGTTACGAAACGCTCACATCTATAAATGTGAACCCTACGCTGATAAGATAAACGGCTTAAGTCTTATAACCGAGTGTTGTGTTTACTTTTCATACTTCGATTACGATCTTTACTAAAGGAGTCTAGGCCCAGTTGTTCAAAGGCTGATCAGCGCTAACCCAGGGTTAAATTTTAATCCAGGTTTCGATATTTCTCTGTTAAAAAGCCGTTTTGGAATAATTTTACCCATTGTTTTTAGAGCATTCAATTATCAGATTGTAGTCAAAAAGAAATAAACTGAAGTTGCTCTTCAAGCTTTCAGATCTGAAATCAGATTTCACTCTAACCCCAGGTTATCTTAACCCAGCTTTGAACAAAATACAGGATTCCCCGTCGGAAGTGATATCCTTTCCCGTCGGAGTACAGCGATCCCCTAGGGACTGACGTAGTAATTAAAAGCGTTTATTTATTGCACAAATTTTTAAAAAAGCAAAAAAGGAATCCTCTATTGTTAAATTGAAGATATCTATCGCAAAATCCTTAAATTTTTAAAAAGGCAAAAGAGAAAGCCTTATTTGTTAACTTAAAGATTCAACAGATAATTTAATTAACAACTTGGAGGGCAGAGAAACTTTGAAGAGTATTTCCAGAATTTGATTTTTTTGTGGAGAACCGAAAACTTTCAGACGAACAGACGAAACTAGTGCGTGACGCATAAACTTGAAAAACAATGCACAAACACCTTGGAGATTACTCTTCCTTTTGAGTTAAACCACGCGCTAATTATCACATTATATCTAATCAAGCTTTGTGCACAAGGAAAAGATGGATGAGTTTATCAAGAGAACACTGTCGAGAAACGGTTTGTAAATGGCCGGATTGTGAGTAATGTAATATAAAATTCCCCTTCGAACGGATAATCCAAGTTTCCCCCAAATGTTTGCAACTTGATATTGCTAAAAAAAACCTGAAAGAATGATGTAGTCGCTTTACGAAGATTAGCACGTTTTATGTTACTGAAGTGAAACATCTTTACTCAATTGTCCTATCATTGTATGAAAAGGACAAAGGTACGAAGCTGAGTTCCTTTTTTAATGGAAATAGAAACATACACTTTGAAAGCTTGGTGGTGTCAGAACACGAATGCAGACGTGCTGGGAACTCACTTAATGAACTAAGCATTCTGAAGCATGTTTGGAGTCAAACTGAGAGAATCAATGTCATAATTTTTAGATGATAAAAATTTCTAAGTTGAGACTTTCAAATCCTACTTGGTGTACCGACTTTTGTTAACTACCGTTTCTCACGCTAAATAGCTTTCAGCCAGTTATGATTGATCACTTTGTTATTACGAGCTGAGGCCGATCTACATACAATGCAACCAGTTGCTTTTTCTTGTCTCAGCAACGATGGAATCACATTCATATTGAATTGCTACAATGGCAAGGCACATCAGGGATCCAAAACTGGAAAAGAAAGGATTTAATTTGCAAAACTTACAAAAGGATTGAACAAAAGCCATGACACAAAAAAAAGCTTTTTCCATTGTGTTCTCTAGCTACTGTTAAGGTAACTCTTGCGAACGTTTATCGCATTGAATTACCGAAATTAGGACTGCAACGCCGCCAAAAATTGAAGGCATTGTTAGTTTTCAAATAGAAAAAAGACATATTGGGTATTATAACATATGTTTAGAATGAACTCTGTAGGGCACAAGAATTCTAGGCGCCAGAACAGTTGGTTATTTTTGTTTCAAGGATACTGTCAATTTAAACCCCTCTGATATGATCAGTGCCACACAAGAGACTGAGAACGAAATTCACGCCCACTTAGCGGCGTGATACTTTTGAAGTCTGGATGGAAGCCTTGAACGGGAAAAGCCCTGAGCTTTAAATTTGCACAAGATATACTACAGAATTAACGTAATGTCTGCTTCTTATGAAAGTCTATGTTCCTCTCATCCTAAAAGCAGCTACGATGCGGTGTGCGTATCTTGTAAAATTAAGTCTTTCCTTTTTTTTTAGGTTCTCCGTCTAAAATCCGTTCTAGTATTCGCTGCTCGTTGCCCATTCGCGATTCTTTTATCTTTCCGAAATAAATGTTGCGGTCTCCTTCAAGTTAAAATTAGTTTTGAACCTCGCAAACAATCAACTTAAAATGGCAAAAGATCGAGCCTCTTAGGATCAGTTCGTGTCTCTCCTTAGATAGTTTTTGTTGGAATAAAGACTTTGCGAGATGAATATCCACTTTAGTCAGGAATAAGAAACCTCATTTGGAAAGTTGCTCGAACAACGCATGTCACAATTAAGAAAATAGTGTATGATTCTGAGATATCGAGCATTTCACAACACCAGAGAGTCATTGATACACTTATGAGCAAATTTTCAAAAAAATCTTGTTTTATGAAGAAGTTTTCTTGACCAATTGGATAGCACGCTTTCTTTACTCCTTTAAAAAAAAGTTGTTGTTTAACGTATGGTAAAAAGTGCTTAGTCCCACTTTTAATAAGAATACTACAAACGCAGGTTTTCGGAAACAATGTCAAAACAGACGACAATGGAGTTCTCTAGAAATTCTCTTCTCTATTAAAAAAAAAATTCGTTTTGCTGCCACAATATTTTGAAACTGAATCAGGTTTTGCCTTTCAGCAGTGGGGGATCTTGACAGAACCGTATCGTGTTCCCTCTCTTTTTTTAAACCAGTCGTGTTATTTGCCTGGGTAAAAACAATGCAACATTAATTCATTTTGACAGCAGTTAGCGTGGTTCTTAATTGCTGAGATCGAGCGACACCCCTCAAATCTACAAGAAGTATTTGTTTTTCCTTGAAATGGAAACTCACTTTGAGAAGCCATTTAGTGTACCCGCATTCGTTCAAATAATGTTATTTTGACATAAAATGCCCGCGACATGTAAAATAGTCTCATAACTCATTTGCGAGACCTCATTAAGAACACAAAAACGACAATATGTTTACAGCTTGTGGAGGATTGCCTAGAATCACTAAGATTCGATCGTACATGGCGGACAAGGTTTGATCGCCTAAATTGCGAGTGTATAACCAAAAGATAACTTAACAAGAACATTTCAAGGTTGGGCTATGCAGTCGAAATCTGAGGCATGAGGGTTTGATGAAAACGAAGCTTTAATGACTTTACGAAATACTCTTTAATGCATACTCAATTATAATGTCTCTCGTGAGTAAACCATATTGTGCCTAAATAAGCTGTCTTTGAAGTCTTAATTGTTCTTTGAAACAGCTCACTCCGAGAGAATCTTCAAGTGCCACGTTTCATTATAGTGTCGACGGGAGAAGTCGAAATGACAGTTGCTTTTAAGACAAAAAACTTAGCGAAAAATTAACTCCTTAGGAACAAAGCGATCGACCTTTTTTTTCGTAAATGTTTTCAGCTATTTTCAAGTATAACAATGGAAAAAACCGCAAAAAAAAAAAATTAAAAAGGAAGAGAAAGACTCAAACACGAGGATATAGCAGTCTACGGATAATGCTACGTTTGAAAAAAAGGAAAGTTGTGAACAAAACTGAACAACTGAGCATGAGATAAATTGCGACTCGGAGAATTTATTTACGAAGTCTACATCTGCCAGAAACAACCTAATTGTTAACAAAATTGCTCTGAGCGCGGAAAGCTTTGCATTTGAGAATATAGTCCCTTTTTTTCAGTTTTTGTAACTTCATTTATAATGCGATTAAGTACCAACTTTTGATGTGTATTGAAAATTAATTTTAAATCGATTTCCGTTCCTTTAAATAAAACACAGAAGCCCTTAAAAACAATAAACGTTTTTGGCTGGTTATCCAGACTGCAACTGTAGAATATTGGTAATATTGTTAAGTTTAAAATAAGAATTGGCTTTTTGACAAAAATATCTTTAAGGACGAATACAATTTGATGTAAATACTGCGCAAATGGTCAGGGAAGACCGACCAAACTAGAGCTTATGGGCTGATATAAAAACTTGAATTAAATATTCGAAATTTTCTGTAAGCAACTCAAAGTTAACCATATTTGCAGCTTGTGGTTTACAAATTTTTATTAACTTATCGTTTAATCGTTTACAGCAGTTGAAAGTTGGTCTGTTAGGTAGATAGCGCGAGAATTTTTCGATTAATTGCAAAGACTATGAGAAGGAAGAGAGACGAAAGTTCTAGAGGTTTACATAAAAAATGAATATGATTCAGCGTTTAACCTACGTTTTGTGTGACAACAGCCTAATACCGGCGCAAATTTTATCGCAAATGGATTGCTTATCTACAAATACAAAAGACGTTTATATAACTATTTGTTTTTCGGATTTTCTTGTACATTCTCAGTAAAGGAATATCACATTATAATCATTTGAAACTAATATGTACTATGTCGCTGCGAAGATGTCTGCAAAATGCGAATGGTGTTCATCTTTTAAATCCTTGTGTTTGAATGACGAACCTGGAGAAAAATTAATAAATCACATTTTAAGATCCATTTTAACCTCTAATAAAAGTTTGCACTATTTCCCAACACGTTGTGGTGTTTCAAACGATGATCGTGTAAACGACATATCGTTCAAAGAGATAATTAATTCATCGAAACATTTCGAGGGCACAAAATAAAGCAACTAAGTCTAGTGCTTGGGTTAAACTGGAAGGAAATGTGGAAAATGGTTTTTGCCTCAAACATTATTTTCTATCGTTAAGAACGAAATTTTCAAGGATTTTTTTTACATCTTAAGAACTGCAAAACTTAACTTCCCTTTTCTTACAACGCAGTTGAAACGAAATTAACTTGAGGTAACATACTCAATTTTTTTTAACGTTTTTCGTGAACAATTCATGTAGGACGGCTTCTTAGACATAAACAAAACATTGAGTCGGGCCAGACGTTAATAAAACAGAGAGTAATTAAAATTTAATTCTTGAAATTCGATTTTGCGTTGCCAGTTAGGTTTTGGAAACAAAAAGAAGAAACGAACCACGTGTGAGTTCAAAAAGGGCTAACGGAAACTAGTGATATTCTCAACTGCACTGGACCTTAATTATTCTACAAACGACTTCATATTTCTGTTTTAATGACACGCCATCATGGGGCCTGGTTTTGTGGAAGCTCTCGTCAGCAGAAAAATAATGTTGTAGATCTGACAAACTTTGATTGATTTACAGGCAAGCCAAAAATAAGATGGAAATTTCCAAAGGAGGAGATAACAGCGAAGCTAAAGAAGAATTTGAAATTCCGTTTGCTCGTTCTCTTTTAGGCTGTAAAGAAAACATGTTTTTAACGAAGCGAAGCTAGACATGGGTTGAATGAGTTAAAAGCTATTCGGCTCTGGATTAGGGATTTTCGAAGGGCATCGAGGTGCAAGTACTTACATCAATTGGAAGAGGTGTTTTAAAATGAACTGGGTCAACAGCGATTCCCATCATGTTGGTGTTGCGGGGAACAGTGGAGTTTGGCGGCTGGTGATGAGGAGCGCATCTTGAAACAGGCGGCGGCTCCTCGTTCAAGACTTCGTTCAATGCCTTGATGTAATTTATAGCGAGACGAAGAGTAGTGATCTTTGCCATATGTCCGTCGGCAATATAACATGGCAGAGCGTCCCGAAGCGCCTGAAATCCGTTGTTTAAAACACGCATTCGGTCGCGTTCCCGCGCATTCACAAGAAGACGTTTCTTCAAGGAGTTGCGCTGTCGCTTAGCTTTGACGGGCGGAGTGGGGCCAGCTTCCTCTTGCTCAAACTTCGGCAGCGCCGGAACATGAGTGAGAGCTCCTCTCGGACGCAAATTATAGATACCTTTGGCGAAGTCAGAGTCGTTGCCTGTGTCTCCGTCAAATGTGTTGCCATCTGTGAAACAGCCTGTGCTTGTTCCAACCATAATGTTATCTGGTAAAAACGGCGGTGCTTCGCGGCTAACTTGCAAGCTGGTGTGCACGTTTTGATCCATTCGCTGAGCGAAACTGAGCTGGTTTGTGTTTGGGGCAAACATTTGATCTTTATGTGTTAATGGCAACAGAGCACCTGAATTGAACTGAAACGAAACTGTAGCGTGCACCTGAATGTACCTTGGCTTATGGGGTTTAAATACTCTACCAGGCTTTTTTTCCAACTTCCTCCCAAAGTTCGCGCATGATCTGACTATAATTTATTCTGTTGCTATAAAAATGGCAGCGGACAGAGCATTGACTTGCAAATGTTCTAATTCATCCCGCATGTATGGAAGAAAAAAAGTCCATTTTTGAAGAAAATATTTATCTTTAGTAATCCTAACAGTGAGTGGTGAAATAAATTCCCTCTGCATGGAAGCTAATTTTAAGAGATGGTTATTTAAAGCCAGATAAAGAACTCTTGGCATAAACAAAGGCTTTTGTGGTTTACAGTTGTGACGTTCAAAATACGAAGTTATCTTTGTAAACTTATTTCAACACTGATTGCATCTATCTATTGCCGAAAGCCACTTTCTTTAAAGGTAATTAGATGTCGTTTAAATCAACAAGACTTTAATTCCTCGAAACAAAAATCTGCAAAAAAAAATAACTTTTAGTAAGACACGATCTTAACGGAAAAAAGTGAATTCATTTCCACAAAATCAGTCATGAAGCGCCGCAAAATTCGAGTTGGAAAACAGCTGTAACCACATTGGCCATGAAATTTCCTACTTCGCTTTTAATTGCTAAAATGTCATTAAAAGTTGATATACTCGGAGTTCCGTATTAACTTGGTTGAATCGCACGCTGTTTCTAGTAGGAATGGAGTTAATTCTTGCTCTTTATGGAACGCCGATCGTGAACGAGGAAAAATTTTTGACAAACCATTTATAGCACGCCGAAACCTTGGCAAAAACTTCAATAAGTGCCCTTTATTTCGATATCGTAGATTTACACCTGGACATCTAGGAGAACTGGCTTTTTCTTTGTCGAGATCAATACAATATGAATATTGGATGCAAGGATGAGAAGCCGATCGAGGACTGAAAGTCAAAAACATGGAATTGAACCCACGTGTCAGAGGTGTACAAAACGTAACTCTGGCCGGTTTCGAAACAACTCTACAATTTTCTATGGAGAATTTTACAGGACAATTACAAAAAACGCCCCCAATTTAATTTTTGAACAGTTACTGGTTTATCAGATTTAGGGTAAAACACCGGAGCTGTTGAGATCAACATTTTGATGTGAGGTGTGGAAATTCACACGTTTGAAGGAATGTTTGACATAGTACTAGATGTATGCAGGAAAAATCGAAAATTTTCACTAGGGCATGTTACTCTCAAACCCGTGAATTTCTGAAAACGCCGTTAGTGGCTATAACACGCGAAATAAGGCGTAGGTTGCATAATCAATCTTAACCAGTGGCTGAGGAAACTATTACCAGTTTGAGAAATAAAACTAGACCTTTCTAAGGTTGTAAATAATGGAAAATGGGTTGAATGTTTTTGGAGAAAATTTCGAGGCTCGATTTCGATAAAACACTTTGTTATGATTTGATTTAAACTGCGTTAATTCGAAGAGGAGAAGGCATCGGTCTTAAAGTGAGAACTCTCAATTCTTTCTTTGAAGCAAACCCTGTATCTAATGAGCTTTTAGTACAACATAGGAACCAATTGTAATGAAAGTGGGTGAACAACTGTCTTGTTTGTACTTGTTTTCGGTACATTTTAACAAATGAGAAGCTTAAAAGGTGTTATCCCGAGAGATTTAATGATTGAAAACAAGAACACATTTTTATTTCGCTTTTAATGCTGTTGTTTTGGTATTTTTTCGATTTCAAACTTTCAGGCTTTTGCGGTGCAAATTTAATGTCCACTTATGTCTATATAAACACCGCGTAGGTTTCTCTGTAGGAGAACTTTTTTTAATACCGATTTAAACATTGGCTTTAATGGAAAACTTCCAGATCACGTTTTTCTCAACAGAGAAAAAAGAGAAAATAAATCCTTGTGGATCAATGGAGCAGGTACCTGAAGGTATAATTGAATTATTTCTGTTATTATAATGTTGTGGAACAAAAGGGGACAGGAATAAACAAAATGTCTTATCTAATTACAAAAAGAAAACGGGTTACACTTGTTTAATTGCCCTAGATCAAAACAAATCCTGAGGAACTTTCCTATCCAGCGATCGACTTTGAAGGTAACATATTTCTCTACCAAAAATATTTCAGTCTCTTGAAACCATCGATCACTCGCGGCTGGGAAAGACACGGGAATAACATGACCTCCCAGCAGGTAACCTGTATTTCCAATATAAAATTTTTCAACCTGCTACAACAGTTTGGGTGAAAAGGTCGCTATGCGAACGTTTTTTCTTGTGATATGATTCAGAATACACTGGTCAGGTGTCATAGTTGAAAACATCGTCACATGAAATCTTGACTGCACGTATGAAGCTCTGCCAAAGGAGGGCACATTTAGACGGCCGTCTTGAATCTATTGTTAACAAAATGGCTAATTTTATGTTAATAGTAAAGCGGTTTGCTTTATTTAGGTTAGGGGAATATCACGATATTCACTTTGATGGAGAGGTAAAAGTGTTCTTTCAGCTTCTCTCTAAAGACAATAAGGGTTAAAAGTGAAGGCCCAATTAACGTGTCAAATTTTTTAAGATCCACACCTACGCCTTTTTAAAAGGCAATATGCGTGGGCTTATGTCTGTGTGGAGACAAAAAAAAGGCAAGCCTTTTTTTCTCAAGATTCATAACTGTTTCTTAGGTAGGCATTCTGCAAAAATCAGTCATTTTTAGATTTCCTGATAAATGGTACTGAAACACTTTTTTTACGGCTGATCTTATTTAAAATTCTGGTGAAATTGTCGTTTACAATAGGCAATTTTAGAGACAAAGCTTTTGTGTAACGAGAAAGGGTTTTCATCGTTTGTCTCATGATAGAGTCATTTTGGCAGGGTTTTCAATTAAAGTTGGCAACTTTTCGACTGTGCACTTTAGTAACCCGCGGGTGTTCAATAGTAATTGGAATACTCTGCATTTTAAATGTCAAGTCCACAAAAAGGCTTAGCGTTTCATAATACTTCGCCTACTGGCACAACCACAGCTACTGCACCATATCAAAGCTTTTGTGATTGTGAACACTGTGCATTGGCTAAAAATAGAAAGAACAAATTGTCGGTTTGTACCCTGAGTAACAAATGAAATAGATCCCCATGATTTATTTCTTCTAATTAAAGAAACATGTTTCGCAATGGTCACGAGCGAAAAACAAAGAAAACAAGAAAACTCTTGGTCCACCCACGAAGATTACCACTCCTGCCCGCCGATTTCCCAGTCGAATGCTTTCTCAACCGAGCAGAAGAGCGCTGAGTGGTACACTTCAATCAATCGCAGACAAAACTGTTGTTTAGACAGCGAAGCGTAAGTACTCTTATTTTCAATCCAGTCCCGTACATCATAAATCTCCTCCACCCCACACTCCCCCCTTCCCTCGTCCAATGTTGTTTCTAGACTGTCATTTTTCTTCGGTGTCTTGAGATATTTGCGTGAAAAAGGTGAAATAGCATCATTGAAAGGAGTGGGTGGAGGTGGGGGTTGGGGGGGAGTTTCTTCTTTTCAATGCCATTTGGAGAAGTGAAACTGTCTTACGCCGTAAACAAACTGTTTCAACAAGTTTTTTTCTCTTTGCTTGTAGGTTCAAATGCGACAAGACTCTTGTACACACACAGCATTGTTGAGAGCGAAAAATGTTAAAGTCAAGTTGAACTGCACCGTCAAATTAAGAAATACATTTTAAATACCTATTTGAGAAAGGCTGGTTTTGGAATAGACGTTGCAAATACGGGTAGAAGAGCAATTACTTATCCTATAGAACAATTCACCTTTTTGCTAAAAGAATGTTTTGTCTGAAATATTCAGTTAGGAGAGAAAGAGAACAAACGAAATCGGTTATCATTTTTGTCGCCAAGAGGCGAAATAAATCACCAAAACGTAGACAATGACCGGCGAAAGCGCAATTAATTTGTTTTTAATAGTTATGCGATTTTAATCTTGTTTTGACGCACACGTGCTAGCAAAATAGAAACATATTATAAGTACTTTGTTCCTGAACCATGTTTTAATTTTTAAACGTAAAAATTACCCTTAGTTTGAGAATGAAAAGATCCCAAGCAGATTTATTCTCGATTCTCCGCCATATTGGAGAATTCTCGAAATATTTAAAGACGAGCAGTCCCTCCTTTTCCGCAAAGTCCCTTATGCAGGTAAAAAAAACATCGATGTTTGCTCACCGCGTAAAGCTCTGGGGGTAAGGCGTACAAAAATTCAAACTCTCTGGTCTAGTCGTGGTTCATAACTTTCGTGTGCCTCACTCTCAGATTTCTGTGCGGCACGATAATAATATTATTTGATTTTTTTTACCTGCGCGACGGATTCGGCGAAAAGAAGGGACAGCTCTTGGTGTAAGTAATCAATAGCTCAGTTATTCAAATGTAGTGGTCATGGTTCCTGGAGCTTTAAAAGGACACGTTCCTACGTTTCCCGACGAACATTTTTCGTGTCGGAGATTTCTGATCTTAGTTTTCCACATTCAACGCAACCCCCCCAATACTCGGGTCAAGATCGCTTTTAGTGAAACTATAGGCAAGCGCAAAAAAAGAAGAAAATATTGCAAATAAGCTCACTTTATTGGCAAGAATTTGGCTGAGAATATTTAGTATTAGTGCCATTTATTTTTTAAAAGCGGAGGATGATGGAAAGGCTTGTGAGTGCATGCAGAGAGCTAGTCAGAATCAACTAATTGATTCAACTGTTAACTATACCCAAAGGCTTGACGTATCTAGCCAGTCAAGACAAAACCGCTGGGCTTAAAACGTCAGCTCTTAATAAGAATACAAGTGATGATGAGATACGCCCCTTCTTGGCAGAATATTTTATTTCAGAGAAACACAGCTAGTATCGGCAACTTACAGTTGACTATGAACGTTACGTGCTTTAAAATTTGGATGATTCCCTAAGCAGTGAAATACATTATTGAGTAATACATTATTATAAATATACTAAAAGCTACTTGTCAAAATAGCAAAATTCGATTAAGTCGTCGTTCAATGGTGCTGCAGCTTTGTTAAGAAAAGTTCGAAAGTTCTCGGATTTTCCGACTCACACCGATTACGAACAAAGCACGAATACCGAAAGCAACCAAAGCTTGCAACATCGTTTCCAGGATATCTCTTCACCCTGATCTCAGTAGGAGAGGAGAGGAGAGGGGAGACTGTGAACGAGATTACAAAACTTACAGCACAAAGGGGGATTGCGTGACAACTCTACACCTACCTAAAGACACACCAACTTTTCATAAAACGTTGTATTGAAGGCCTTGCACGCGCACAGCAATACCAACATATTAAAATTAGAATTGCAGTACAGAGCAAAATGCTACTACTTCAGTAAGTCTATAAATTTAGATAAATAGCCTAAGAAATATGTTCTTGTTGATTATTCAAAGCATTTATTCCACATTTAAGAAAAACTTCTAATTTCCCGAAATAATTCTACCTAAGTTTATAAACGGCATTAGTTGTATGGTTTTCCTGTAGGTTTTTAGACCACTTAACATATATGTTAGCAGCCACCAGGTCAAACCAGTTTATCCAGTTTCTCGTTTGACCAGTCTAGTGGTTAGACCTGTTATTTCTTACGATATGTGCGTTAGTGTACTAAATTCCTAAAAATAGTTAATTCGCCCAAAATTATGATGAATACTTGTAAAAACCACGGGATTTAAAACGTTGCACCCATTCTCATACTAATAATGTACATGAAAAAATTACGCGCTAATGATTGGTTGAAGACGAGTGCATCCTCATGTAATACAAGTGCAGCGCGCGCACGTTTTCAAAATTTCGTCTGTCTTAACTTTCTGTGATGTTTTCCATGTACATTATTAACAAGCAATCACATGATTTCTCTTGCAATATGGTGTAATAAGCACTTGTAAATTTTTCAAAGACTACACATTGCACTTGCCCTTTGGGCTCGTGCAATTTTGTTGCCTTTGAAAAAATTTACCTGTGCCTATTTCCTCCAAATTGCACTCGAAATTATATTATTACCTCTACAAATTGCATTAGTGTGTGAAAATGTTAATATAAATTGAGTTAAATTAGCGGTCGATACTTTTGTTCTTTTAGAACAGATCATTGGTTTTCTTGACTTGGTTCTTCTTCCATTGTGGTACACCTTCCCATTCTTTCTTAGACATTTTGAAAATTTCTTCAAATTTGGCATCCTCCAGATGAAGCTAAAAACAAATAATAATAAATATACAGCTTCACGCAAGCCTAAAAGCAGAGCTCGCATTTTTTTTTCCCGCACGTCTCTTCAACAAAACTAAAGCCCCAACTGCGGATAAAGTGCGTGGTAATATTAATGGTTTTCATTCGCAACTTCTCCGTGTCCGTATAGAGGACTGATTATAAGATAGTACCCGCGGTACAGTTGGCCGCGCATGCTAAAAGTAGCACCTTGTACGGTCGGTCGTACGGTCGTACGGTCGTACATCCAAATTTTTTCGGCTTGATGGGTTACTACTATTTTGTATAACTACGGGGCTACGCTCTGCAAGCTCTGCTATAATTGAAGGAAGTAAATATTGACCATTCAACTCGCAGCGGTGACTAACATGTTAATCCTCCTTACAATTCCGGTACATTGTCCAGCTAAAAAGTGACGGGAAAAGCAAAACGAAACAGCTTAAAGGTGAGAGCTTCGTAAGCAACCAATTCTCTTGACTAGTTTTCAACGAAATATGTAGCGGATAGAAGGGAGAATCACTCTACAGATCTCGAGAGCTACAACGAAAAAATCAAAAGAAATATCAAGAAGACTACATGAAGCTATTAAGAACTTTCCCACTCATTCCAATGCACGCAGTTCAAAAGGTGTCTCCATCATCTATATTTTACAAACCGTTATTAGTTGTACTCAGAAGAGATACTTTAATTTGAAGAAATAATGTTGTATAAAATCATTTCTTTTTCCTTTGTCTCTGTGAAATAATTCATAATGACCTTTCCTGACCAACATTCAAATTCCATAACCATTTGAGCCCTGCACAACAGGCTTCACTATCTATTTTTTCAGATTTTGACAAGGAGAATTTGGACGTTGAACATACCTCTTTCTTAGTAGGGTCTACTTCTTCAGGAAGGTCCTCTCCTTTCTTTTGTAAAACTTCCAAGGGGAAAAATTTCGGCTTGAGTTTCTCGTCCCACTCGGTCTGCAAAAGAAGTGGATATCAACACCTTGCTAACAAAAAGGTTTAACTTTCCGATGAAGAGTCTGCTGCTGTTCCTGGCGGCTTGGAAGTCTGCAACTATGCCCATGTGATAAAACTATCTTCAAGGACTTTGCGTGACGACCTACATAACAGTTGGTAACGCAGCTCTTCTCTAAAAAGTTTGCATGACAAACAACAGATCTAGTGGTCACGCAACCATTTTCTCTGAGGCTTGCGTGACGATCCTCGCCACTTTTAACAGTGCTTACCAAATGCCACGCGTTATTATCCACTTTCTCATTTTCTTGTTTGACTTGTTTCATCTGTTCTTCGTAACTCATTTTCTTGTTCCACATCTGCGGTTCCCAGGCCACGAAGTAAGATTTGAACCCCACCGGCTCAGCCCCTTGTTTAATCACTGACATCGTCATGTTTGGGACGCGCTGACGAGGATCTGTCTTAACGTATTCCTGAAATTATTACCAAGAACTTTCGTTACAACTTTACTTATAAATTCGGGGAATAAAATTCAACTGCGCCTGCGTGCTTCACCTTCTCATAGTGCACGCTAATGACGTGTACTTTTCTTCTCTCTGCGATTGGTCTAGAAAGTTTGTGCTCCTCTATCAACCAATCAGCCTGTAGCTGACGGAACTTTTACTGATCGAAAGTTTAAATTACTGTTTCAAAGATGTTATAGTTAACAGCGTGCGTCTATCGAGATACGAAACACGCAAAGCTTGAAAAACACTTAAATAGCTAGAGCTAGGAGTGTTGCACTTAAACAACTCCCAACACATCTTCCACTTCCTCCGTACCTTATGACAAGGCACAGCCCATGCATGACACAACTTTCAATTTAGAAAACAGTCGAGAAAGTGGGCTAACTCTGTCGACCGTAAATTTTGTCGCACACATTTGATATAATTCGTAGTACAAAAAGAGCAATTTTCACTGTGTCAAGTCTATTCTGGGAGTTCATTTGGATTTGCATTGCATACCCTTGTATTTGGTCTGGAAAACTCGCGCGATTTCTCGTTATTAGTTTGGCTTGACCGGTGTGTTAACTTTGGTTCTGGTTTTCCGAAATAATAAGAAAGCGCTCTACTTGTGGGTTTCTGGACAAAATCCTCAAAATAAGGTAGAAAGAGAAAGATGGAAGCATTAAAAGTTGAACATAACTTACAATATTCAGGATGGAAGTGGGTTTCAATATGAAGAAACTCGACTAAGCAAAGTAAGATTACCAGAGCAGTCCTGATAGCATCTTGTTTTTCTTCTCTGCGTGCAGTGGCTCCAACCCATATAAACAGCTGCGACCAGGCATCGAGGATCATGACATCATCTTCCTCTAAATCCTCCTGGCCGAAATCAAAAATTTCTTCGACCATGAACCTGCCACTGGCGTTTGAACAATGAAACAATCGGGGTGGGTAACCGCTGCTCTCTTCCTCGGCCTAAAATATTTCAGGGACGATAAAAAGATACAGTTACGATCCCTCGTAAAGGTTTAACAAGTATCTCACTGCATGAAGTCCTAGTCTCCTTCGCAGCTGTTCTTTTGGATGTCACGTAACGATTATTTTGGCGGTTTTGCATGACATTCTACAGAATGGCTGTGATGGAGACCAATGATATCTTAGTCACGCGATGATTCGGAGATTTTGAAAAGTCTGCTCACCACAAGTCACTAAATTTTTGCGATTTAAGGGGCAGAAACTTATGGAATTTGATAAAATGAACGTCTCATTAAAACTAAAAAGACTTTAAATTATACCGAAAATTAACCCTAACATCAGTAAGCATATTCTCCATACTATTCACCATAAATTTCCTGAAATGCTGACAAGGAGAATTTGTTAAACAATCGAGAGTTGCTTCTGTTGGCATCAATCTTTGATTCGCGGGTGATATTGTATGGAAACATCAGATGCTAGTCACTTTTAGGGTTCAAAGGGTCAATTCTGAGACGTTTTGCGTGGTTCATCTTTCTTGCGCCTTTGCAAAACAGTTTATGCATATCAGTTCAACCTTTCGCTTTCCGTATGGTAGACTAAACAAAAAGAGTGCCTGGATACCTACCCAGCTTTGCTTGGCTGAGCCATAATCAGCTTTTCCTCCCAGCAGGTTCCAGAAGTTGTCACGTTCCTTACCCTCCATAACTAGATCAGCATCGTCTGACTTCCAAATGAGCCGTACTACCTCTCGGGCACACTCCCGTTCATCACCGATGCTGCCTTTGCCCACCCAGATGAAGCAGTGATGAGGGTTGTGAAGCACGAACACATCACTGCTGTTCAGAGATTGAGCCACCGGGAGAACCTGAATAAAGATCAGACATCTTCGTTTCAATCAGTTTTCATCTCCTCAACCCTTTAGCCATCTTGTTCCTTCTCAGGTATCACATAATAAAGTTAATTTCAATCCATCTTTGCTCCTTCTTGCGTTATTATTGCCTATCACCGAGTGAACATTTTTGTAGTCTCATTTGAGACAAAGGTAATTTTGCCTGGCATAAAAACAAATGATCATTTTGCTTTGAGATTTTTGGCGGGAAACTGGCGCGCGGCTGCTCAAATTTGATCCCATTACGTATGCCCGAAATCTGACCACTTTGTTGGTCTTAAGAATCTGACTCTCACCAAAACTTACCTCGACAATCCTAGAATTGTTTCCAGTGACGCGAACCTGAAGGAGGCGAGTGTCTGAGGCATTTCCGGAGCTTTCAACGTTTTTGAACCCACTAGCATGGCCACCCTACAGGCAAACAAATAGTTGGGTGTTCAATTCTTGAGCGTTTCACCCCCAAAATCTAAACGTCAATTCTCTGCATCACCTGCCATAAACTTCTTAAAACTTAAGCTTTGAGAATTTGGCGTTAACCCTTTTACTCTCACAAAAAAGCAAAAAGGAATTTCTCCTTGCAATATCAATGCATTCCTACACGGAAATGTGACGAGAAGAAATAAAATTGTCAAAGTAATCACAATGGCCGATTAGAAGTAAGGAAAATACCTTTAAGAGCCAATGAGAACTCAAAAGTAAAAACAAACAAGCTGCCTAAAGCGCGCGAAAACGCGGACGACCAAGTCATGATAAGTTTTAGTTTTGCATCTGATTGGTTGAGAAAGGGGCACGAGTTTTTTTGGACCAATCACAGAGCGAAAAACAATACAATCCCGGATAACTTTCGACACTCAATTGAAAATTGCTTTGACGAGGAGTTCCTTTTGATCACACCCGGGAGTGATGCGAAGGTGCCATAACCAACTTCCTCTCCGTTGACACAGTGAACAACTATGTTAGACCTCCCTGATACAAATTTTCTTTTCTTTTTTAACCTAAAATACTCACTTGGTAAATAATGAGTCGGTGCTTGAAAATCATAAAGAAATGCAACGGTTCCTTTCCTTCACACAACCGAACCTGAGATAATAGTATGCAAGAAAAATTATGAGGGCTTACAACCATGAAACGGTTAAGGATGCATTCAGTAGCACACTAGAATTCCAGACATAACACACTCAAACACCAACGCGATATAACACCTTTTAAAAACATGCGCACTCACAAAGGCGACGCGCACTTTGTCTGTTAGGTCTGTCACTGCAACTTCGTATGATATTAGAGAGTGATATGAATAGCTTTGTCAAATGCTTGAGTTAAAGAAAGAAAATCGTCGCCCACGACGAATCGAACCCCAAGTCTTCACAATTCGAGCCTTGATGTTGTTACCAGAAAACAGAAGAGGCACCACACTATCGAGTTTTCACTTGAACATTGATCTTAAGTGAAATAATAATACTCCTAGCACAGAAGTGAGCGAGAAAATCTATGCCAACGAAAAGGTACTAACCTGGTATGGTTCCCCTGAAAACTTGTCATCAAGGGCTATAGCACCAGCTGCAGCAGCTCCTTGTTCATCAGCTGTACTGTCGTTTCCCTGGTTGAAGAATAACAAAACTTTCTAATAAATTTGTTTCTTGAGCCCTATCCATCGACAGTACGGATGTTAGGTATTAGTGCTGATTATTAAATGGTGGCACCCTCATAAAGAGCACAAACATACCTAGCCTTGAAGCTATTAACTAAACTAAATTATAAACCCTGCTTCTTAAATGTAATTTTTTCAGGGGAGCAGAAATGCCTTATTTGGCCCTCCACCCGGCGCACGTGACACTTACTGCACACGTGACATCTGCTGCGCGTGTGACATTTGCTGCGCGCGTGACATTTTCTGCACACGCGACTTTTGCTGGGCGCGTGACATTTGCTTTCACGCATGACATTTGTTGCGCGTGTGACTTCAGCTGCTTGCAGTTGGTCTCTTTCTCTCTCATCCATTTCTAACCTCACCCGAACCAAACACCCCTTGCGACGCGCAAAAAAATCAAAAGTGATATTACACTCACCAGCCAAAAGTAGATGATGTGCTTTTCTCGGTTGTTCTTCAAGTATGTGTACAGAATAACATAACAGTCCCCAGAGTAGAACACACCATGTGATTTTGGTGGTACCTCTTCAAGCTCAAAGCCTTTAATTCGCCAAACCTGTACTGTGCCTGTTCCATCATCAGGAAGAGTGCTGGTCACGGATGCCCTCCTTTCATGCATGGATCTCACTTCAAACTTTGGTCTCTGGTCAAGTTGTTCTGAAAACGTGAAAGTGGTAAAAAACGTGTATTTCTAAAACACCAGCAATGAATTATTAGCGATTGTCTCACAATGTAGTCACTTCCATTGTGGATTCCAAGTGGACCTGCTGGGTGTCAACTTGTGAAACCAAAAAACCAGTGATTATGACCAATTTACCTTGGTGCGTGGATAAGACTAACAGTATACAAACAAAATGTCACTATCTACATCAGAAGCGACAACACTGCGAGACAGATAATCATTATAACTGGCATATTCATCATGATAAATGGCCACAACCTTTCTAAAAACGTTTATTAAAACAGCCTTAACTGATTCTACCCTGAAACAAAAGATATTAGAGGTACAACTGAGAGGTACAATAGCATACAAATAATGAATGTCATTGTGGAGTTTATCTCAGTTGCTGTTTTACGCTACTCCTACCAACTGGCATACTAGTCTATGAAAGGTAACATCCCCAATAATGGATTGCCAGTACACATTCATATTTCACTTTAAATTCCACACTTCACATATAGCACTTCACACATAACACTTCACACAAAACACTTCACATGTACCACTTCACTTTTCACATTTCACATGGATGGAGGGAAGTACTTTGAGAGGAAAATTTCTTACTCAAGAACACAATACAATGACCGAGTCAGCACTTGAACCCAGATCTCTCCACCTGGAACTCAGTGTGCTGACCACTTTGGTACCTTGTCTTAAAATGAGACGAAAAAAAAATTGAACTTAATTCATTCATCATAATGAAGTGGAATTGTGCCTTGATAAACAAACTGTAACCTTTTCCTTATCATTTAGCTAAAATCAAAATCAAAGCTGAAACTCCCTCTGACCAACACGCTACATCAGAAGAAGAAGATGAATTATGTAAAGAACTTAAGGATGGTTCAACAGAACACCATTACTTTAAGTTAGTAATTGGACTTGCATACCTTTAGACACAACTCCTTTACCAGCTTGAAAGGTCTGTGTCTTTCCAAAAGGTACAACAGGTTCCCATGAAGAAAAATACTGTTTAAACTCAGATGGCTCTAGATCCTCACCAATAATTTTTATGGATGTGTTTGGATTTAAGTTCCTAGCAGATAAAAAACCCTGGCAAAAGAAAGAAGATGGAATTTTATCAGTGTGTTGCATAAGCTGTGGAAAGGAAACAGTTTCCAATTGGAGGTAAATTTCATCCATTAAAATGTGCAATTACACAGACATCTTTGAGGTCTTTGTTAAACTGATCTCACACCAAATCATTGTAACTAATTTACAGGGAAAGAGGGCAGAATTATCAATCAGATCTTGGGAGTTAAAGGCTTAAAACTGTTACTTACCTGGGCATCCTTGAGAGCTTTATCTTTTTCATTTCTGCTTGATTTTTTCCCAACCCATACGTAGACACCTTGGCCAGTTTCCAAGATGAAGCAATCCTGGAACGCCACAAAAAAAATAATTGTTTCAGTTGACTACAGCCTGGAGATGAAAAAATTCATTGACAGGTACAGGCTTCTCAGGGGGGTGGTAAGACAATCTGAGCAACTGCCCACCTACCCCTCCCCTGACCCAACCACAGTCAACTGATAACAAGTTAGGGTTAATGTTGGGTTAGGGGAGGGGCAGGTGCACAGTTACTCAGATACTGATATCAATCCCATAACCCTCAGTAAACCTAGAAATCAATTAACACATCATGCACGCCACCAAGAAGGATGGATTGGGAAACAGAGACCATAGAATTCTTTGACTTTTCCTACAATTCTCCTGCTCAGTTATGATACCCCAAGCCATTCTTTGTTCAGATATCAGCAGTTTTAAAGCAAATTGTACTATTACCTTACACCAGCCTCTACTTTCATATCAAATGTAATTTATGAAAATCCTGATAAGAATTAACCCAGTCACCAAGGAGACTTACATCTGTGTCAAGATCATCAGGCTTCAAGGGTTTACTTCCAGTCTCCTTCATTGTAATATTGCCAGTTTCATCCTCTTTGATCCTGAAATTCAATACAAACACAATGTACCCATCAACTTTGCATAACATTACCTCTCAACAATATTCAACATTTTACCTGTACAAATTAAGTGAGAGGGATGCATCATGTGCCTCATCACTTTCAGCTTCTTTTGTGATAGGAACAATTACTTTTTTTCCAGTTAATTCAAAGAAGAACTCTTCTTCCTCCTCTGGTGTGACTGTGAGAAATGCAATCATTCAAAAATCAAAAGTTATCTACACTTCAGTTGTATGCTTGTATCACAACATAGAACTACATGAGGTTAGAGTTACCAAAATTAAATAATGATAAAGTAAGTGTATAAACCTATTCAAAAAATCTTCTATTGTCCTTTACAATCATTAAGCTAAGGTTAAAACCAGAATCTAAAAATACCAAGATAAATTACACATAACAAAACAAAAAGATTCAATTTATATATCAAAAATAAATGTTAAAAGTAATAAGCTTCTTTAAACAGGTAAGTCTTTAAAAAAATAGGTATTGATGGAGACTTTCAAAAGCTAAGAGGCAATTCATTCCATTGCCTTGACATTGCAGTACAGAACACTCAGTCTCAACAAGTCTTTAATATCAGTACCAATAAAAATAACATCATTATTACCACCTTATATTTAACATACAAAATGATAAGAGGCACTCACCAACAATAATAACATCAGCAAGACCTGCTCGTTCTTCATCACGTAGTTCACGTGCAAACTTTACAGCCTGATATAAAAACAGATATTCCAGTCAGAAATTGAATTATTCTGACACTTCAGAGAAACTTGACAACAAACTTACATTAAAGCTCTCTTTTTTGTTGCTTTCTTTTCCACACCACACATAGATTTTTCTTCCACAGTCAAAAACAAAGCAATCCCCAATGTTCAGCGAATCAATGGTAGCTGGTACCTAACCAATGAAACAATACAAATAAACTAATTTGCAAGAATATGTGGAGCAGCAAGAGGGAGAATTATACTCGGATCTGGGAAGTTAAGGGTTAAATATTCACAGAAAGCCACTTACCTGAGAAGCATAAATTTTACGTTTCCCTTTCACTTGCATTAATGCTTTTGTAAACTTTTTCTTTCCTTCTTTGAACCCAGAAGCATGGCCTCCATCCAAAAACCTGTAGAGAGAAAGAAGCAAGGAGAGTCATTTCTATTTACAACATCACCCCAGAATCACACAAATCAGTCTTGAGAATCAAGGAAATGATCACTAACTAAAGTTCTTGATTGTTAAACAAATTCTCCAAGTCACCACCTTAAGAACTGTATAGAGAACAGTATGGAGAATGTGCATACTAATGTTAGGGTTAAAATTCAAAAGAAGTCATACTTTATCCCATCTTTAAAAAGCCCTTTGAACTTTGAATCTTCATGACCTCCAACCTTAGCGAAAGGGATAAAAAGATTATTTACATTTCATTCTTAAAAAAACAAAGCAAAAAGGAGGGGGGCATTGGGATTTTCAGTTTTGTGGTTTTGGCTATTTTTTAGATTGGTTTTTCGGTTTTTGTGCCAAAAAACTTTGGTTTTTTGGTTTTGGTGTTCACTGTGGTTTGCAGATTTTCCGTTTTTTAACACTCGGTTTTCGATTTTTGCAAGAACTACTAATGGGTTTTTGGCTTTGATATCCAATGCGGTTTTCAGTTATTCCTATTTGACCTATTTGGGTTCCGATTTGTCTTCCATCTGAGTGGCAATTACACACCTCCACTGATGTCGAATAGCCGCTAAACGCAAATGTTATCGAGAGGAATGCATGACAAACCAACTGAAATGTTGCAGGGATTTCTAGGTAGCCTACGTGTAGCCGTACCCTCCCCCCTCCCCTAGTGGGGGGGGGAGGGTATGGCTACACATAAGGTATGGCTAAGCATGGAAAATTGCCAGAGTTTCTTTATCAATGCCACTTCGAAATTGGAGACCAAGTTACAGGCCACATTTGACTGATTGATTCAACATTCCAGTAGAGTCTCTAAACTTTCAGGTCTTAGTTTGCGAATTGAATTGTTAGATTAGGGATTTTCGATTAAACTTTCCTGAGCTATAGCTTTTTGCAACTGCAAAATTGCAATCCTATTGTGGACTTTTGTGCAAATTTCCATAATTTAAGAAGGCTCCATTACCACTGCTGAGTCCATAGAGACCAAGCTCGAGGTCCTTGAGAGAGTAGCTGTTAATTTAAGCAGATACTAGAAGATACAAATGCCAAGTCCATGGCATTCATAAATCCTGTAATGAAATTAGTGTAGTTGACTCTGTTTGCTCCACTTGTCACTGCTGTATTGGATCGATCAGGGTTTTAATAACTGGGATGTGAAAATGTATTGGTTTTGACAGTTTTGCAAGTGCTTTTTGGTTTTGACTGAATTTTTTTTGGTTTCTTGGTTTTGGATGATTTTTTCTGTGGTTTTGTAGTTTCTAATAGGTCCCAATGCCCCCCTCAAAAAGGCAAGCAGACAAATCAAATGCTTACCACTCGATGCTGCACAGGGAAATCACCTAATTCTGTATCAAGTGTCACAGACAGGCTGGCAGCAGCTCCTTGCTCATCCTTAAGAAAGAAACATTTTAATAACATTAACAAATTATCTAGTAAATAATGATGTAAAAATGTTACTGTATGAACTCAATGGTCTTCATAATAGTAAACATAAATGACACATGTATTATAAGCATTATGCAGGGCGTGAAATTGCGCCTAATTTAGGCACCAATGCGACTAAATTATTCACTTTGGCGACCAAATCCTGAAAGTTAGTCGCCAAATTGGCGACTAGAACGTTTCACCATAACCTTACCAAGAGATATAGTGAATTAAAAAGATTTGCAAAGATAAATCCGCGGCAAACTTCCTCGTTAAGTTTGTTTCCAAAACGTAGCACATGCATCTCGATCGATAACTAGACGCCATCTTGGATTTAGATGAGCCTGAACATTGTATATCATCCATCCTAGTGTCCACTTTGTAGCACGTTAAAGATCTTTTCCCTATCTTAATTTTGGAGGGTCTATCTAGAACGCTGACAGCGTAAAGAAAGATTTTTTTTGTCTTTGAAAATGGCGACCAACTCTTTTTTGAATTGGCTACCACTTTGAAGAATTTAGGAGCCAAGTGGCTATCAGAAAAAAAAAGTTAATTTCACGCCCTGTTATGTATGCATCTTCCTGTTCTACTTCTGTCTAATTACAAGCACAAAGTGTACACTGTCTAAGCAATCACTTTGAAAATAAATTTGCAGAGGCAGGAAGCTGGAATCAAGGATTGAACCCTCTAGAGGATATGGCATGTTGGTCAAATGAAAAAGGAGAAGAAATTAACTCCCTTATCTCAATTTTGTCATCTAAAGTAACCATACTGCTTTTTTATCAATTCTATCTCATAATCACTGAACATTGGGAATTTTTAATTCAATTTTTAAAATATTCTGTCAGAGAAAAAGGAGCAAATAAGCTATTCAATCACAGGAATTAGCTTCAAACAACAGTGCTGCCATATCTCAATCAAAAAGTATAATCCCTACACAATGAAAATGTGCTTTAATTATTCTTTGCTTATCATCACACAGAAAATATTTCCTTTCAAGTTCAAAGCAATCCTATCATTGTGGATGAAGAAATTTTTTTATAGCTCACCTGAGTAGTCTCTGGTCCCAACCAAAAGTAAATATTGGCAGTCTTACCAACAGTTATTGTCTGAAATATAAATTTAAATAACAATCTGTATACAAAAATATTTTATCACAACAGAAACAATAAATGCATTTTTCTAATAATTATTCAAAACTAGCCTGCATGGCTAATTAACTCTCCATGAATGGTATGTATTCAACAGACAGACACTTTTTGTTAATTTTTAGCCTGAGAGTGATCCTTTCAGGTGCTGATGAAAGCAACCAGTCATTAATAGGAGGGTAATTTGGTTTTATTAACTGAGTTGATAACGCAAATTGGCCTTCGTAAAGAGTTCCTATGCTGACATTTCGGCCCCACTCGCTCCAATGAAGGGCTAACACTTGAAAAGTCACCTTTAGAACTCTCTACCATGGGCCAATTTACATTATCAACTCAGTTTATAGTACCAAATTACCCTGTTATACTCTCCCACCAATGCAGCACCACAGGTTCTTTACAAATGTACCTACATTATTCACTTGCCATCAATAGCAGCCTAGTCTGAATCCTTAACCCTTTAACTCCCAAGATCTGATAGTCAATTCTCCCCTTTCAGATACTATATATATTTCCTTTTAAATTAGTTACAGGAATTTGGTGTTAGATCAAGACTTTAACTTCTACTTGATATGTTTGAGGATTTCTCATTACCTGTTTGCTAGATAATCTGTGGATATTGTAAGGAGAAGTTGGATGTTAATCTCTTCTACGAGTTAAAGAGTTATCAAGAAAATCACTATAATGATTGTTGAAATACCTGAAGTATGATGTATGAATCACCCTTGTAAAATTTTCCATAGTCCTTGGGAGAAACTTTAACAGGCTTGAAAAACTGCAAGATGAACATTTAAAAAAATTCAGTATTAACTGAAAAGAAATCAAGTAAGGACATTAAATAATTTATAAATACATATTTCTTTGCAGGCAAGGAATATATACCATTATTGTCCCTATTAATAAATAATGTTGTTATGGCTATTGTCAATCTTATCGTTATCATCACCAACATTGTGTTCATCACCAGAATCATTATTATCAACATCACCTTGTAACAAGTCCTGTAACAAGTCACAAATTTCTAACCAGCCTGAACCACAAGTGTTTAACTCTTAAAATTCAAAAGATGAGTCTAATGAATAATTTCTTGAATGATATAATTTATATAGATAGATATAATTTCTCAAATGGTAATTTTTTTAGATATATGAATCCTGCACCAGTATCACAAAGGTCATGGGTTCAAATCCTGTACGTGCCTTAATTTTTTTCAGGTCCTATTTTCAACTACTCATTTCAGTAGTGTTCTTAGCTGCAAGGATCTCTGAATAATTTCTCCTTAAACAAAAACTGTTAAATCAACATCTAATGTTAAAACATTAACAACATGGGAATAAAGGAAATGATCTTCAGCTAAAGAAGTCTCCTAATCAATACCCCAGGAAATGTACAGAGAACCATATGGAGAAAAAAAATACCGAAATTAAGGTGTAAAGAAAGAACTAACCTCAATTCTCCATATTTCCAATCCTGGTTTGGATCCTGCTCCAGGAAAGGTCCTTTGTCCATTTTCTGCGACTGGCATTTTACAGTTTTAACTGTGAAGTTTCTGTACATCAAAAATAAAATGAATTATAAATATTTAATTCAATAGGAAGCATCGCTCCAACTAAAATCACACTTGTCTTTTCTTTCCATCTCTCACTATAATCCATTGCATTTAAAATTTTCAAAATATTTTCCCTTGTCTCTATAAAAGACAGAGGAATACCCTTAAAGATGATGTCAACTGTGCTCACCTTTCCTAGAAATTTTTAAAATTTCCTGTGCAAATAGGTAATGATAACTTTTCAAAAAGTAAGAATGGCTAAGTTAAATTTGATGACACACGATGTGAATCACAAAAATTTTAGAATCTTTATTTAAATAGAATATATTACAGAAACTTGGCAACAGAAGAGATTGAGGGAAACGCCAACCTTAATTCATGTGCCCTCTTCAGTCCTAAACCTGTTGCTGTGAGCTTTTTCTTACTGGGCTACAATGATGACAATTTCATACAGAGGAGAAAACTCTGTAATTTTCTAGATGAGTTATACAAATATGTAAAATAATAGCAGTGATCAAATGTCTCAAGAATGCCAAAACAGTGTTCTGGCCACTTCCATTAATCTTCTAGATCAATTGACAAAAACTTGTAAAGGTGATCAGTACAAGAACATGCATTTTAATAAGGATAATAATTAACTTTTTAATTCCCAGCTGGCGTTAAAACATAATCCTCGTTTTCATCAAGCTTGTGGACCATAAAATATGTATTTACACCTTCAATAATTACAAAATTTCAGCATTGCTTTAATTAGTAGGATGTACAACCATGTAAAAACGCTAAAGAGGGTACAAAATCGGAAAAATGTTCACCCATTCGTCACTTAAAATGCGGAAAAAACGATGGCATATTTAGAAATCAACTCTTACTTTAAAATCCAAGAATTAATTACGATTTTGGAAAGCTATGTTCTCCAAATTTCGAATGCATCATTTTAGGGTTTGTTACAAGGTCAATGAAGGTAATTCAAGGTTCACTGGAATTCGACAAAGAGGTAAATTCGAGAAATTTAAACCCACCAACGGAGAACGAGAAAGCGTAACCACAGACACTATGGCAACGGAGAATATAATAATTACCGATTTGCAAAACTTTGCATGAAGTTAGACGCCATAACATTAAACGAACCGCAAATGCGAGTCTATAAGCCGTGAATTAGTGAATTAAGAATTCATACGGGAAATTTCCTATACAAAAAATACATCGATACTCACTAAAAAGGTGTCTTTACAAATATAAACGCTTCTGTGCTTTGCATATAGGCTTAAGTTCCGTTTTCCAGTGATTAAAAATTCAAAAGGATGGCTGCGACTCGAAACCAGCCGACTCAGATCATTCCCACAAATAAAAGCAGCATAAACATCGCAATTCGACGACAATGGCTCGCTCAAAAGTGTACAAACTTGCAAAGCAAATACGTTGAAAACTATAGCAAACATATCACAGTGTGCAGGCATGAAAATCGAGGGTGTCAACTATCGCTGTTGACAAAACGCTAAGAAGGAATTCGCTCAAAATCCCGGAGAAAAGTCTGCCAGGAAATTGCAGTAAAGCAATGTGGCGTTACAGCGATTCGGAAATGACACGCATACCAGAGACTTCACCTTTTTGATGAGCTTTTCAGCGAGGTAACTTCCAGGTCCGAACTTGAGTAGAGCTAATAGAGAGCAATTCAGCTGTAAATAGTCTTCAGACTGAATCTCATATCCGGGACATCGACCCTTAGTGGGCGTGAGAAAAATACACGGCGTGCGCTTGTAATAACATATTCGCCCCCACTCCACTCAAATATCCAAAGACAAATTTCCTTGAGGATAAAACCTCGCAAGAGTTAAGTTCATAAGTGCAATATTACTCTGTCTAAGTTCTGGACAGTTTAATTACTTAAATTGTGCCCTATTCAGACGCCCAATTCCATCTAATTACATCTAATGTTTTTGATATTGGTGGCAAAACCAAAAACATTTTGATGAGCTGACAAACATGTTCAGTAGGGCATGACTAGGCACCCTATGAAGTGTGCAAGTCCGTAACGGGATATTTTTAAAAGTCATTATTTCTATTGTGTGACATTAAAGCTTAGATGACGTAAGGGTAAGAAAAAGCATACTAATATTCTTTCGTCCGATTGTAAGAGTATTCTACACAATCGACCATCGGAAATAAGTTGTTAAGCCTTTTCATTTTAATATAATAGAAAAGAAATACGCGAACAGAGATTTCGAGAATGTACTATTTCATGAGGTTTTTTTTCCCATTTTGGTAGATGTAAACAGCAAAGGTCAGAGACATGGAAAATAACTTGTTTTGAATCAGACATAATAAATATTTTATGGTCACCGGAAAAGAATAATATTTTCCAGTCTGATTGGTTAGCCTCAGCCAAGGTTATTTCTCTGATCTGAAATGGAATGTTTATAATGAAGCATATACTGTAAACTTATTTGTAATCTCTTGACAAAGTACAATTGTAAGTATACGGACTTCACTCAGTTCTTGAGCTAAACAATTTGTCTATATTCCAGGCTCTTGATTAAAGAACAACCCGATGGAAGGCCAAGGCCGCGAGGGAATGGGACCAAGGGGGTAGTAGTCACTAATAGTCACTAAAACACTAAAACTACAACCCACAAATATTGCAATTTCCATGATCGTAATCTTCCCCGTCGTAACTGTCGTTGTCGTTATCGTATGAGAGTGGGACTAAAGAATATTCCTATTATTCATAATTCCAATGCCTTAGCAGCGGGGAGCTGGAAGAGGCCGCTCTGATTTAACAATGCCCGTATACATAATTTCATTATCTCTTTTCAGCTTATCGGCTGGAAATCTGTAACCCCTACCACTCAGGTAGATTAAAAAAAATTCAGTAAAATGAAGTCACTAATTTGCGAGCACGTCCTCATTACTATCACTTCGGTACTAGCGTTGCATCGCCTGAGGAAAAGTATGAGGCCTTGGCATGAGCAATGCGAGCCAGCTTTTCTAGACATTTTTAGCATTTCCTGTACAAATGAGTAACGATAACTTTTCAGAAAGTAAGAATGCCTTGGTTAAATTTGATGAATCACAAAATTTCAGAACCTGCATATAAGTAGAATTTATCAAAAAAACTTGGTAACAGAAGAGATTGAGAATGTGAACCCCTATTCATGTGCCCTCTTCAGTCCTAAACCTGCTGCTGTTAGCTTCTTCTTCATGGGCTGCAATTATGACAATTTCATACAGATAAATGTGGTCACTAAGCTGTGAACTGAGCATGTCCTCATTGCTAGCACTTCGGTCCTAGCGTTGGATCGCCCGAGGGAACGTATGAAGCCTTAAGCATGCGGGCCAGCGAGAAGTTTGCCAGCGGTCTAATACAGAAAATGTCTCATTTATTAGTGCCAGTAACTCCTCACAAATGAGAACAAAATCAACACGATGAGAGATGAAAAATAAACACAAAACAAAATAAAAGCTAAGAAGTAATAATGATAATAATAATAATAATTATAATAAAAGTTAATAAAACTACAAGGAAAGTTTTGGTTCCTTTGATTACCGGCATTCCTGCCAGCCTGAGTAACTTCCCTTAATCGGAATTAAGCAAACCTATACAATGAATTCATAATCACAGATAATGCCTTTTACCTACAATCGGTAGAAGGGATTTTTCTCTCACTGGGGATGAAAGTCAGTCTCCAAGCTTTCAGATGTTCGGTTTCATGCAGTGATTAAGCGAGGAACATTATATTTCTAATCAGTTAGCATGCCGCTTCACTGACAGCCGTGTTGAGTAAGAGTTAAAAGAGAGGAAGGAAGCGCTAAAAGTGGCATTTAGGAAGGTGAACGCCTTTGGAAGAACAACCTTTAGAGAGCTCTCCGTCTAATAATAGTTTCCAGTTCCCATGTGTGTCGTTCGGTGGGCTCTCATGTCATCAAATCAAACCCTAACTTAGTTAAAGACAAGTCAGCATTTATCGGCCACAAGTGTCCAAATTCCAAATTCAGACCCTACTGTCCAAAATCCAAAATTGGCCACTAGTGTCAAAAATCCATAATCGGATACTAGTGTGCAAAATCCAGAATCAGCCACTACTGTCGATTTCGACCCTAGTGTATAAAATCCAAATCGGCCACTAGTGACCAAAATCCAAAATCCACAAATCGGCCACCACTGTCGAAAATCCACATTTCGACCCTAATGTCCAAATTCCAAATTTGCATTCTGGTGTTCAAAACTCAAAATCAGCCACTAGTGTTCAAATTCCAAATTTCGACACGGTATTGTCCAAAATTCAAAATCGGTCACTAGTGTTCAAATTCCAAAATCGGCTTCTAATGTCCAAAATAAAAAACTGGCCACAAGAGTCAAAATTCCAAATTTGCGCCCCAGTGTCCAAAAACCAAACTCGGCCACTATTGTTCAAAATCCAAAATCAGCCATTAGTGTCTGAAATACAAAATCAGCCGCTACCGTTCAAATTAAAAATTTCGACTCTCGTGTCCAAAATCCAAAATCTGCCACAAGTGTCCATATTCCAAATTTGGACCCTAATGTCCAAATCTAAAGTCGGCAACTTGTATCCAAAATCCAAAATCGGCCACTAGGGTCTAATCTTCAAAATCGCCACTAGGGTCCAAAATACAAATTCCAAAATTGGCCACGAGTTAAAATCCGGAATCGGCCACTAGGTCCAAAATCCAAAATTGGCCATTAGGGTCCACTGGCGTCCAAAATCTTAAATCGGCCACTAGGGTCTAGAATCCAAGATCCAAAATCGGCCACTAAGGTCCAAAATCCAAAATCGGCCACTAGGGTCCAAAATCCAAAATCGGCCATTAGTGTCCAAAATCCAGAATCGGCCACTAGTGTCGTACACACAGAATCAGCCACTAGTGTCTAAAATCCAAAATTAACCACTTGAATCTAAAATCCAAATTCAGCCACTACTGTCGAGAATTGAGAATCGGCCACTAGGGTCTAATCTTCAAATCGGCATGTAAGGTCCAAAATCCAAAATCGGCCACTAGGGTCCATAATCCAGAATTGGCCATTAGAGTCCAAAATCCAGAATCGGCCACTAATGTCCAGGATTTCATATCGGTCAACAGTGTCCAAAATCCAAAATCGGCCACTAGTGTCCAAAATCCAAAATCGGCCACTAGTATCCAAAATCTAAAATCGTCCACTAGGGTTCAATATCCAACATCGGCCACTAGGGTCCAACATCCAAAATCGGCCACTAGGGTCCAAAATCCAAAATCGATCACTGGGGTCCAAAATCCAAAATCGCCGTGTAGTGTCCAAATCTAAAATTGGCCACTAGTGTCCAAAATCCAAAATTGGCCACTACTGTCAAATATCCAAAATCTGCCACTAGGGTCCAAAATCCAAAATAAGCCACTAGAGTCTAAAATCTAAAATCGGCCACAAGTGTCCAAAATCCAAAATCCAAAATCCAAAATTGGCCACTACTGTCAAATATCTATAATCGGCCACTAGGGTCCAAAATAAAAAATAAGCCACTAGAGTACAAAATCCAAAATCGGCCACTAGTGTCCAAAAATCCAAAATAAGCCACTAGAGTCCAAAATCCAAAATCGGCCACTAGTGTCCAAAATCTAAAATCGGCCACTAGTGCCCAAAATCTAAAATCAGCCACTAAAGTCCAAAATCCAAAATAAGCCACTAGAGTCCAAAATCCAAAATAAGCCACTAGTGTCCAAAATCCAAAATAAGCCACTAGTGTCCAAAATCCAAAATAAGCCACTAGAGTCCAAAATCCAAAATCGGCCACTAGTGTCCAAAATCTAAAATCGGCCACTAGTGTCCAAAATCTAAAATCGGCCACAAGTGTCCAAAATCCAAAATAAGCCACCAGTGTCCAAAATCTAAAATCGGCCACTAGTGTCCAAAATCTAAAATCGGCCACTAGTGTCCAAAATCTAAAATCGGCCACAAAAATCCAAAATCCAAAATAAGCCACTAGAGTCCAAAATCCAAACTACTGTCAAATATCCAAAATCTGCCACTAGGGTCCAAAATCCAAAATCGGCCACTAGTGTCCAAAATCTAAAATCGGCCACTAGTGTCCAAAATCTAAAATCGGCCACTAGTGTCCAAAATCCAAAATAAGCCACTAGTGTCCAAAATCTAAAATCGGCCACTAGTGTCCAAAATCTAAAATCGGCCACTAGTGTCCAAAATCCAAAATAAGCCACTAGAGTACAAAATCCAAAATAAGCCACTAGTGCCCAAAATCCAAAATCGCCACTAGTGTCAAAAATCCAAAATAAGCCACTAGAGTCCAAAATCCAAAATCGGCCACTAGTGTCCAAAATCTCAAATCGGCCACTAGTGTCCAAAATCTAAAATCGGCCACAAGTGTCCAAAATCCAAAATAAGCCACTAGTGTCCAAAATCTAAAATAAGCCACTAGAATCCAAAATCCAAAATCGGCCACTAGTGTCCAAAATCTTAAATCGGCCACTAGTGTCCAAAATCTAAAATCGGCCACTAGTGTCCAAAATCTCAAATCGGCCACTAGTGTCCAAAATCCAAAATTGGCCACTAGAGTCCAAAATCCAAAATCGGTCACTAGTGTCCAAAATCCAAAATCCAAAATCCGAAATGGGATACTAGTGTCGAAATTCTAAAATCGTCTATTAGCGTTCAAATTCAAAATTTGGACCCTAGTGTCCAAATTCCAAAGCCGGCCACCAGCCTCCAAATAAAAAACCGGCCTTAGTGTCCAAATTGTAAATCTGGAACCTAGTGTCAAAATTCCAAAATATAAGCCACAAGTGTCCAAAATCCAAAATTGGCCATTAGTGTCCAAAATCCTAAATCGGCCAATAGGGTCCAAAATCGGCCACTAGTGAGGCCACTACTGAGCCAAATTTGGACTATGTAGACAAAAATAATTTAATAATAACTAGGGTCTCGGCCATTAGGGTCCAAAATCCAAAATCGGCCACTGGGGTCCAAAATTCAAAATCCAAAATCGGACACTAGGGTCCAAAATCCAAAATCGGTCAATAGGGTCTAAAGTCGGCCACTAGTGAGGCCACTACTAAGCCAAATTTGGAGTATGTAGATAAAAATAATTTTATAAAAAACAGCAAGGGATTTGCTGTGAGGCTAATTTGGTCTTTGAATAATAACAATTTTGACCAGGTTTCCGGCTTGAATGTTTGGAATTGAAAACCGAAAATTCGAACTCGCCCGCTTCAAAAGAAAAAGAAAAATAGTCCAAGTAAAAATCTAAGGCATTGATTTTGTAGGCTAAGAATGGTGAAAAAATATTCGTTCAAACTTTGGCTAATATTACCTAAAAAGTTGCCAAATTTTATGACTTAGTCATCAATTCCTGTATTTCCTTGGAAGAACGACAGCTACTTACCATCACGCTAGTACTTAAGAGGGATTTTCGAGGGCCTTAAGCTTAATATCACACCTTAGAAAAAAATACAGGTTTTTAGATTTAACCTTAATATTTAATAAGTAAGTCTGAAAAGTGTCAGGCAACGCCTTTAGCTGGGTTTTAAAAAATCTGTGAAATCCATTAATTTTTTAACGACAAAATCTTACAAATTTTTTTAGAACAACTAAGTTATCGAAAAGTTTTCTCTAAAAAGTATTTCAGGCTTCTAGCCAATATTGAAAATCTAAAAGCTATTTTTCAATTTTGATACTGATGTTGATTTAGATATTTCATTTTCTTATCTCTATTAAATAGGTACAAGAAAGTCAATTCAGTCCTTGATTTGAATGTTTGATGAAGCTACAAGACACTGGCGTAATCATAATCTTTGGCGAAGAATAGAAAAATTGAGATCACGTTTTTCTACCGTGGGGGTGTCTCGTCTTATTTCTACCTAAGACTTTTAAAATCAGACGTATATTTTCAACAATTTATAGTTAGAATCCCTCACATCTCCATAATCCGGCAAATATATTCTAGGGATTATTTTGGCCTAATGTTTTGTTACGGAAATAATGGCGCCAAAATATTCAAGGTCTCCGTAAGCAGCGTATTAGGGCAGTCATGCATGAATTATTGATTGACAGCTACGTATAACAGAACCCCGTGTGTGGTTACTGTTGATCGGAAGTTCGATATGGCGACTAGTTGAGTTTGTTCTAGCCTGATAGGGCCTTCGGGGCTTTAACCGCTAAGCGTTTTAAAGTACGATGGCGAAGTGGGATTCTAAAAACTTAGAAATTCGTAGCAAATCTGTGGAGCAAACTCTGGTGCCCCTTGTGACTCAGGTAATAATTTTTCTCGGCGTTATTTCATCCATGACGGCAGCAGCGGTGTTTCAGCGGGGACTCAAGCTTTTTGTAAACGACAGAAATTCTACATGTATTTGATCTGTGCGGTTGTTTATTCTGATCTCAACGTAAAGTAACTCCTCTGACTTTCATGTTCCACTTGTCACCTATAGTGTTGTGTTTATGTTCTAAAATTCGCAGATAACTACGCTTGTTAACCACAAAGACCATGGTCGGCGATCGGAGAGAGCTTTGAAGGCGATTCATGAGATTGGACGAGTTGTAGCAATTGCTGTCGATCGCTTTGTTAGTGTTGGCGAACAGATTGCATCAGAAAATGAAGATGTTGCTGAAGAAATGCGTACAGCATGTGAAGAAGCCAAGAAATCTGGACAAACAATCTTTAATCTGACAAGTTTTACGTGCGATTCTATTAACGGAGATGGCGTACCGAATGGAACAGATAAAACTAGTATGGTTCGTGCAGCACGATCATTATTATCTGCTGTAACAAGAGTATTAATAATTGCAGATTCTGTTGTTGTGAAGAGACTGCTGGCAGCAGTTAAAAAGGTACGGGTTGCGAAATATTTGTTTTCGGGAAGTCAGCTTTGTGATAGTTTTGTCTAGCTGTCTCGGCTTCAGTTTGAAGCGATTAATTGGAGATCTTTGTTCAAACTTTGTTTATTCTGTTCCTTAGTTCTTCTTTCAGAAGTGTGTAAACAAAAAGAATTTAAGAAATAACAGTTGATTTCTCCAATTAGAGAAGAATTCGGAAGGTTTTTGCGTGACATTATTTTGAATAAATGTCTTACCGCAAATTCATGATGAAAAGGAATGCTCTCCGCCAATTTCTGCTAAACGCTTTTCTGTCATTCGACTACGTATTTGGTCTGTTTGAGAATCTTTCAGCGGCAAGGTCACTTGAACATTTTCGAACAGAATTAACCTCATTTTCTCATGGTGGAAAAGTTTATTTACAGTTTCTTTTTTTTAAATTTTGCCTTCCGTCTGGGAATTAATATTGCATGTTGAAAACCTGCTGAAAGTCAAAAAGCCGAAATTATTCGATATGTTTGAGAATGAATGATCGGAACGCAAAGCGGTTGTTCAAGTATTCGTTGATTGATTACAAAGTTATTGATTACTCACCCATTCTCGCGATTACACCTATTAACATTTCCCACATAATTTCCTCGTGCCTCAATTGAAACTCGACACCACAAAAAAATTTGTCATTGTTCTTAACTAGCCATCCAATTTCTGATAACTGAGTTGGAAAAAATGTGAGATTCAAACACTCTTCAAACCCCCTAAAGAAGTGTATAGCTTTCCCACAAATACCCCAATCAATTGTCTGTAAACAAAATACAACTAACCCTTGAAAACTGCAAAGTTTGTTGACTTTATTTTAGTTCATCCGCTTTGTAAGATCAATTTGTGAAACAGGTATTTTCTTCACGTTTGTTGATATCGTTTAGCAAGATTGTTAAAAAAACGAACTAAGGTGTTTTTTGGCTTCATCCATGGTTGGAAAGTTGTATATATTATCATACACTTCATTTTGTCAAGTGACCTTATCAATGGCTTCATTGACTTGATGTTAATTACCCAGTTAGGCAGGTCAAAGAAAATTGCATTTTTTTTTTTTTTTTAATGAATGATCACCATGTTGTTCCGCCAATTATTTTTTGACCAACTTGGTGGTTTTGTTAGACATCCTGTTTAAACCTGAATGGTTTATTTAATTGTATAGGCACCCTACATTAGTGAATACTGAAATGAACCCTTTCTTAAGATGCGTAGCGTGGGAAAGTGTCAGATTTGTTTATGTATAATTAGGTTAAAACACCAGAGTTCTTATGAAAGATTATTAATACTCAGTCCATTCAAGATTTTGTACCCTTCTCTGCAGTAAATATTTCTTTTAAATTGGATAGCTTCAAAATGATTGATCAAATCTTAGAGTTTCCTCTCTTTGGTTCTTTCGCTAGGTTAGAAAGTTGAAATTTTAATTTAGACTTACATATACATTCATATACATTCATACTGTGGTGAAAAATAATCTTATGTGTTAAACATGATTCGTGAGTTCACAGCACACTAACAATGATGAGTTATCAGAGTTATTTTTTAATATGATATGTTAAAATTTTGTATGCAGTTTGATCAGTTCTTACTTATGATCTGTTAGAAGACAGATGCATAGATGAGATCACCATTCACAATATTTTGCTTTTTTATCTTATAAAATATAGTCCAGGTTTTTGTAGGTCTGTACTACATTATTGGATCATGAAAGACATCAGAATGTTGTTAGAGTATCTGTGACACACATGCTTATGCCTTGTGTACCACTTTTTTGTTCTTACCACATTTTGACCTCATTGGGATCTGTTACTGAACAGATGCACAACAACATGGTATCTGTTTGTCAACTAGACAAGAGAATTATTGTGTAACAGGGTAATAGTAAACTTGAAAATAAAGGGGAGGTTGACCTTCCATTTTCAGGTTGATGACAGGCTTAAACAGCTGGAAACTGTGAACACTTTTACAGATTTTGTGCAGGCATTTAGTCAGTTTGGATCTGATATGGTTGAACTTGCTCACTTGTCAGGTGATAGACAAAATGTAAGTTGAAAATAATCTGCGTTTATATATACATTATGACTCAGTGAGGGCTCGAATCAAATCTACAGTCTCCCTTGCTTGTAATGAGGCATTAAGCCTCTCTTTGAGTGAAGCTCTCCTAAGGAGTCACTTCCTGTTGTAATCACTTCAGTCTGTGAGTGCTTCCTGTCTGCGATCACTTCCTGTAAGTGAGCACTTCCTGCCAATGATTACCTTTTCTCAATGACCTTAAGTTTGCACAGAAGTTACTGACCCTTGAAGTCATTTTGGGCTAGTGTTTTTAATGGAAATTTTCTTTCGTGTGCAATCCTCTGAAAAAGAAATTCATGGCATCTTTTATGGCAAGTAAAACAAAAAATTCCTATCTATGTTAATGTAGCCATTTGTGTTTGGTATTTTACTATATTAAGTTTTATTTTTTTTGTAATTGAACACCCAGGATTTAAAAGATGATACTTTGAAAGCTGAAATGGGAGCTGCCCGGTCTATTTTGGAGAAATCCACAATGATGCTGTTGACAACATCTAAGGTAAACCCTTAAACACCTCCCACAATGGCTCTGTCAAGTAGTGTTATATTAGTATAATAGTAACCATTAGTAAAAGCTTAATTGGATTATATGATCATAGTTTTGTTTTTTATCATGATTAGACGTGTCTGAGGCATCCAGACTCCAGATCTGCCAAAGGCAACAGAGAAGGTGTTTTCAAGAAGATGAGAGAAGCCATGGCAACAATCACGTCAGTGGTCCAAGACGAACCTAAGGAGGAAGAAGGAGAAAAGGGATGTTTGGCAATGGATTTAGGACATTTTGAAGTGAGTTTCAGGGTACAGAGTACTCTTCAATAAACGTGATTCTAGCAAAATGGAGAATGCTTGCCGTGTATAAATCCAGTACATCACCAAACTTGAGTTCTCTGTAGGTTAGTTACCATTGCTGAGGAAAGTCCCTCAAAATCAAAACTGAGAGGGGCTTCGATCTGATATTCTTTTTTGATTTAAGCATGATGGGTAAAATAAATTTTATAAACTGGCAGACCAATCCTTTCACCAATTAAATTTTCAAGAATCTCAAGTGATTTTAGTCGGCAATAAGAGGTACTTTGGGCAGTTACTGCCTGAAAAGGAGAACACTGCAGATTCTAGCACAGAATTTTGATTTTCTGTTTTTTCTTCTTGGACAGGCTTGCCTAGAGGCATACAAACAAAGCTCACCAGATGACAGTGAATCCAAGATACAATTTCAAAGGGCATTTGCAAATATCCTTGACGATGTGCAGTCCGTTATTGACTCTCCTCATACAAGGAAAGAGAAGAGAGAGAAAATTGTGGCCTTGTGTGAAAATGCGCAGGATATCATGAAAGACATCTTAGAGAGACAAAAGAACAACAAGGTATCCTTGTACTTATATCCACAGTTTAATCTTTATTTTCTTAAATCCCAGGATCTGTTTTGAAATTCTCCTTTTTTTCCTTGTAAGTTAAAATGGAGAAATTTATGTTTTGTTGTTGTATTACTCGCTGGCCATAATATTTGTTTGGCTTAACCCTTTAACTCCCTGATCAAATTTGTAATTCTCCTTACTTTCAACCATGTAATTCTTATAATGTTAGTTCAAAGAATTTAGTATTGGACCAATTAATTATCACCAATTGATATTTTTCTTTATTTTCATCACTTATTTAGTTGATATTGTATTGATATTGTATGAAGAAATTCTCTCTTGGTCACTCATGGGAGTTAAAGGGTTATTAATGTAATCACTCACTCACTCACTCATGTCCATTATGCGGTGTGGCACATAGAGCGATTTTTTGCCGTTTCCGTAACATGGGTGCTTTACAGGACAGGGTTGTTAGCCCTGTGCCCAACCCCCTAACCTGGAGGACCGGTGGATCATGCTTCATCAGACCTCTACCCTTCAACCTGTCCAGCTTGGGTGGCCCTACTAGGAGACAAAGCTCCCGTCAGCATAGCTCTAGGGGTCTCCGAGGCACTCAAGCCCACCAACCACAACAAGGTGGTGATCTTTGGGGGTATTAATGTAATGACCTTGTGAAAAGACTTGCATTTGAATCATGTCTGGAAGTACTTGTGCAGCTTGAACTATGGTTGGTCTTAATTTAGCATGAAATATTAAAGAGTTCAATTTGTATTTCTCCAGAATGAAGATGCAACTGGTATCGACACATTAGATATGGCATTGCAAAGGATTTGCAAAACTTCAAAAGATCTTAGACATGAGGTATGATTTCTGCAAAGATTGTAAATGAATATCTTGTCAAAATGATTTTCAATGAATTGAATTGTTTTCTCCTTCTTAACCCTGAGAGAAACCAACATCAAATTTCTCCTTACAGTAACATGGCTGAATCATTCATTAAGGTCGTGAGAATAAAATAAATGATCACTAACTACAGAAGCTTTGATTGTTCAACAAATTCTCCCTGCCAGGACTGAAGGAAATGTATAGAGAAGAGTATAGAGAATATGGACACTGATGTTAGGGTGTAAGGGGTTAATACTGTTACATACTGTACTCCTTAAATGAAGAAAAAAAACATATCAAACTAATTTGAAATCATTTCTCCATCACTGTTTCAAATGCTCAAACTCAAATTGAGCTTCTTTCCTCCATGTTTTCAGGAATTAAGAATTGATTTTTAAGTGGTTTATCAACCAAGATTTGAGCATTACTGTTTATACACATACTGCAATGTTCATATGCTTACAAGGGAAAAGCTTGTAACTATTGACAACTCTGATGACTTGGATGAGGAGTTCTCTGAAAGGGATTTTTCTCAATTGGTAGTGGTTGGAGAGAGCAGTGCATTTTAACTGTAGACATCCCTTTTTTCCCAACAGGTCCATCAAGTTGCTACAGATCAAGTGTTTGAAACATTTTCACATTTGGGTCATAAAAAGTCTTTACCTGCCTTGAGGAATGCAGCTGCATCTGGCAGTTCAGCTCAGCTGGAGAGTCTAGCCAATGTTTTCACACAAGATGCAAAACGACTGCAAGAGGTGAGAAAGAAAGGCTGTTCTCCCTAAACTCATTCATAAAATGTAGAGTATTAAATTGGCAGTGGAGATTAGAGAAATTTCCACTGCAAATGCAGACTTGTCTGTCTAAGTTTCTATTGAGGGCCAAACTGCTAAGACTCTTAAATCTGTGGACAGGACTTGGAGTGCATTCTTCAACACATGCACTCAAAAAATTTGGAAGGTATCTGATGGGTCTTTTCGCCCAAAAACTATTTTTTCTCAAGTAATAAACTCTTCTGTCTACTGTAGGTTCAATTGCCTGACAAAATTTTTCTGGTACTTAATACCATTTTCCTTTTCCACATTTCTTATTAAAACCTTAAACACATGCCCTGACCCCCAACATGGTCAGGCAATTTGAGGTCTTTGTGGGGTCCCCTTTCCCTCTTTGGCTAAGAAAGTGACAAGTCAGCTTCCTTTTGTTCCCAAGTGCATGTTGGGATTGCAATGCACTAAAAGCTTACTGTTGATTTTTTAAAATCTGTTTTAGGTATCCAGGGTTACAAGAAATATGGCGTCCAATAAACCCATGGCTATCACAGCAAAAAAAGTAGAAGAAAATATTGATACGCTTTGTCCCCAGGTATGAATTTTGTCTAGCATTGACTTAATGATTGGAAGATATGTTAGTGTAATAGTCACTGCATTGGACACCAGATTTAAGGGTGCATGCCCTTGCATCAGGTTGTGAGGCAAGGTACTAGACTCTAACAGCTTCTCTTGCTACTCAGGAGTTTGAATGGGCACAATTTAATTGTTAAAGAAGCTTGAGAAAGTACTGGAAGGTCAACAGTGATGTACTAACATCTCTTCTAGTTAAAGTAACAAGGCCTTAGTTTGCTCCATGTCATGAAAACATTCTTTGAGTTTCATGTGGTCTTTCACATTGACTACATTTTACAAACTCAAACCTTACTCCAGTTATGATGATAACAAACTATGAACACAAGTTAGTAATGTGCTAGTCTAAGCACCTTTCTTCTTTTCAATTTTGGAGCACATTCTTCCCCTGTTAGGTTATACATGCTGCAAGAACATTAGCAGCTCATCCTGTCAGCAAGATTGCTCAGGAGAACATGGAAGTCTTTGTGGATGTTTGGGAAGCACAAGTTGAAGAACTTGGCAAAGTGCTGAGACTCATTACTGCTGGTGGAGACCCAAGTAAAAGTAAGTGAATTGCAGAAAAACACAGATGGTGTTGATGAAAGGATACTTTTAGAGCTTCATCCTTATGTGACAACCAAATTAACTTAGAGAGGGCCTGGAGGATGTGAAGGGGGGGGGGTAGTGTGTGAAAGAATATAGGATGGGAAGGGTGGGGAGATTAGAGAAGAAAAAAAAGGCATGAAGCAAAAACTTAAAGATAGAAACCTTTTGTAGTCAATGATTAGCAATGTTGCAATGTTTTCCAGCAGAGTAAGGTTGGAGGGGGGGCAACAGGGTTAGGAGCATGAAGGAGTAGGGGATGGAAGGGGTGAGGAGATGAGAGAAGAAATTGCATGAAGTGGAAACTTTGTTAAAGAAACCCTTTTTAGTCAGTAATTAGTAATGTTTCCCAGTGAATGGGGGAAGGGGAGTCAAATGTGCAGCAATAGGGAATGTGGAATTGGGGGAGATCCCCCCCCCTCCGAAAGTTATATAAAGAGAATGGAAGGTAACTATCATAGTGAGAATTATTTGTGAGGTTAGTTATGAATAAATTTCTTGAATCATTAACAGTTACTGCTAACTATTACAATCTACTGCTAACCATTAAAATCAATTTTAATTTAGAGCCATTTTGCTTACATGAAAGCCTGAAACACTTGAGTAAACTCCACTCAATTCGCCATAATTATGATTGAATTTTATAATGGCATATAGTTTCTGAAATTTATTGTTTAACTTACACTTTTTTTCTGTTATCAACTCTAAACAGGGTTGTCTTTTAGGATGGAAACATCTGTATAAATGTCATCATTTTTAAATTACACCCAAGATAAAATGACAGTTAAAAAACCTAATTTTTTAAATTTATATGCAAGAAATTTGCAGTTTGTATGAGATCTTAAATGTTGTTTAATGTAGTAAAATTTTCAAAATTTTTGAGTATTTTGTAGTATGAAATATTTTGCCACTTTTATCACCGTAAATAGATTTTATCCTTAAAGAATTGCTGCACAAAATTGTTTGAATGATTTTTAAATCTCAGATAATTGTGTGAGCCTATAAATGTTGTGAATCAATTTGAACCATTTCTTATAAATATACTTGACTACACAATTAGGTAAACTATGTTTTGACAACATTTGTACGTCTCTAATTCCATGTCAAAATTTGTATTCAGTCAATTAAATTAATTTTTTTTTTCTCTTTTTAAGAAGCCGTAACCTGGGAAATATCAGTAGTAGCTTTTGATAAGAAAATAGGAGTCATGAATAATTTGAGAAATTGTTCTTCCTTCTAATTTACTTTTGCAAAATTCACAGCTCATGATTTACAATTTCTTTTCACAATGGCTAAACATCCTAAATGGTTTATGATGTCAATAAACTGACAGAGAGGATAGTTAACCCTTTAACTCTTGTGAGTGACCAAGACAGAATTTCTCCTTACTATATCAATACAATATCATGCAGACAAGTGATGAGAATAAAGTAAAATATTAATTATGGGATTACTAATTGATCCAATGCCAAATTCTCCAAACTAACATAATGAGAATCATTTGGCAGACAGTGAGGAGAATTACTAATGAGATCTTGGGAGTTAAAGGGTTAATTGCTGAAATTAAATAGTTAGGAGTTTACAGGCACCACTAGTCATAGGTTTATAACCACTCAGAACATTCTTTGGATAAGAGGTAATTTGAGATTTCTGGACACAAGCTAAGTTCGCTCATACTGGTTATTTTCCCTTGACAGAAAGAAAGAATTAACTACTTGGTTAAAAATATGTTTCTCTAAATGTTTTTACTCTTAATGAAGCTTTTTCTCACATTTTTCGAAGTAGGTTCCCAGTTAAAAAATTTATGCAAATAACCATTAGCAGTAATTTGTTATTACAGGGATTAAAACTTAAATCATTGTTAAATTACATCTTCTTTTACACATTTGGTATGTGCTCTTTGAGACTTTTGCAATCAAACTAAATGTCTTTGATTTTGATTAAAGAAAGCTGAAACTCTCTGAAGTTGCGATAAATGTTTTATTTGAAATGTCTCAAAATTTGCTTCATCTTGTATGTAACCACTCAAAACCTCACCCTCACTGATCCACTGACACATTTTGCTGGCTCTGAAAATTACAAATGGCAAAATAACAATCGCCTCTTGTAGTTTTTATAGATTGTGTGCCCCTCACTTGAGGGTTGCAAGGTCTGAAAGGCCTCACAAGGTAATTTTTGCCTGTAAATGTATTTTTGCTTTTTTTTTAAGAAAAAGAGCAGTAAGACAATTGTTAAATATCTATGCACCAAAAAGCTTGAATGCCATCTTCAAACAGATACTGTGGATCAGATGTCAGCAACTATTGTTTCAAAGAAATGTTGCCAAGAAACTTTCGGCCTGAAAACAATTTTTTTGTTTGACTTTGATGAAGACTTCCACTATTGTCAACAAGAGTTTCCAAAGAGTCCTTTTTCAGGATTTTTCTCATTCAGACGACCTCACATTCTTGTCAGTGTTCACTATACACTGAATCGTGTTTTCTTCATTGTGAAACATGTTGATTCAGTTAAAAATCATTGCGGGAAGTAGACTTTTAAGAACAGCACAGAGAAGCAGCCGAGGGATTCATCAGCATCACCGTAAGTCCTTCTGTAAGCGCCCTCCTCTAGGCAGGCTATTAAAAATTGCTGGGCATCATTATCTTTTGGAGGAGTAAACACTCCAATAAATACCTTTTGCTAACCAAGTTTGAGGTCTGTACTGTAAGCTTGTGGACCTAGTTTTTCCCACTTGGATTTATGGCTCAAGCACAAAGTGCATGGGGCATAGATCTCAGCACAATGAAACAACGTTTGTAACTTACAGTACTGGCAGAGAAAAGAAGGTTTGTAAGATATTTTATTATTGGATTCAAATAGAGAGGGAAGATTTTGACTACAAAAAATCCTTACTTTTCTCTTACAAATGAAAATCATGAAATCATTTGCAACACAAATTATTTTGGCCTCTTGGTCATTCTGTGGCTAAGAATTTGCGCCATAGGGGAAGGGCGCTTACTAGAGGTGGGTGCTTGCACAAGGAGTTACGGTGAGTTCTTAAACCTTTACACCCTAACATCAGTATTCATATTCTCCACACTGTTCTCTGTACATTTATTAATGTGCTGACAAGGAGAATTTGTCCAACAATCAAGACTTTCTTTAGGTGGTGATCATTTCCTTTATTCTCATGACATTGATGTATGATTCAGTGCTGATATTATAGGGAGAAATTAGATGTTAGTCGCTCCTAAGGGTTAAAGGGTTAAACTTCCTGGCTGTAAATTTGTTTTAGTGCTGGAAATGTTTTTATTGGTGATTTTCTTAATTGCACTTGTTACAGCACAACACATCTTTTGTCTTATGTATTAACTGGATCTGTTTTAACATGCAACATAACCTCTAACTAATGCTCCTGTTTAAACTTGTTAGGAAATCTGTGCAGTGATTCTTAACAACTTTTGAGCTGAAATAAATTGTAAATAACGTAATGTAAAATAACAAAAGCTCTGTGTTTAGCTAACATCTATTTAACAAATAACATCCTAATCTGTAACAATGGTTATCTTTAACCCTTTAACTCCCAAGATCTCATGAGTAATTCTCCTTTCTGTCTGCTAAATGATTCTCGTTATTCAACCCTTTGACTCTCATGAGAATTTGGTATCAGATCAATTAGTAATCCCATAACTGATATTTCTCTTTATTCTCATCACTTGTCTGCATGATATTGTATAGATATACTAAGGAGAAATTCTGTCTTGGTCACTCATGGGAGTTAAAGGGTAAACTTTGCACTCTCTTTTCCTTTAAGCTTCTATATCAATGTAAGTATCTGAGCAACTGTACACCCACCCCTCCCCTAACCCAACATTCACCTTAACTTGTTATCAATTGACTGTTGTTGGGTCAGGGGAGGGGTGGGTGCCCAGTTCCATAGGTAATGACACTGATGCAAGCTTCCAATACTTGGGGATGCAGTAAACCAAATGTGTTTTTTTTTTTAATGAGTTGTATGTTGGTTAATCAGGGGCAGATTCTATTATCTCTCCCTGGAACCAAATATCAATTCCCCACACTGTCTGCCCTACATTTCATCTAATTTTAGCCCTGAGAATTTGCTGTTAAATCAACCAAAATACCTAGTTTATGAATCTATTTCTTCTCATCACCTTTAAGCATTAACTCTTTAACTCCCATGGGTGACCAAGACAGAATTTCTCCATACATTATCAATACAATATCAAGCAGACAAGTGACGAGAATGATGTTTATAATGATTAGTTGATCCAACACCAAATTCTTAGTACTAACATCATAAGAATTATGTGGCAGATAGAAAGGAGGATTACTACTGAGATCTTGGGAACAAAAAGGTTAAAGTGGTTTGATACGTCATACCTTTCACTACCAAAATATCAGTAGTGATTCTTCTTACTGTCTGCCATAAATTTGTCATACTGTCTCGCTGACTACCAAGAAACTTTCTTGAATAGGAAACAAATCCCCTGGTCTCTTACACTACTCATCCCTTTAACTCCCATGAGTGACCAAGACAGAATTTCTCCTTACAATATCTATACAATATTAAGCGGACAAGTGATGAGAATAAAGAAAAATATTAATTATGGGATTACTAATTGATCTGATACCAAATTCTCCAAACTAACATAATAAGAATCATTTGGCAGACGGTAAGGAGAATTACTAATGAGATCTTGAAGATTAAAGGATTAAATCAACAGTGTGCACACTGGGTACATGTGTATGAGGCAGGGTTGTACAACTGAGTTTGAGGACTCAAATATGCTGGCTGTGTCAAAGAGCGCTTCTTGATTGAGTGGCATAAAACCAAACCCAAAGTAATCACTGACCAACCAGAAGACAAGAAAGTAACTTTGCAGAGCAATTGAGAATTCATAGTAAAACTGAGCAAACTGCCTAAAGTGCAGGAAAAGGTGTGCAGTAGAGTCATGATTGGTTACAGCTTTGCATTTGATTGGTTGAGAGAGTGGCATTAGTGTTTTGGACCAATCACAAAGTGGAGTTAAACAAAAGAAAACAATCTCTGCCTACTTTTGACACTCAATCAAAAATTGCTTTTAATTAAAAACAGTCACTATTTGGGTGGGCATCAGATAGCATTGACCCTATACTGATAAAACACGTCGTAGCCATGGCATAAATGGATTATTAAGTTTTTATTCTTAGAGATATAATTTCAAAAAATGAATAATACATGATTATGTTATTAATCAAGTCGTTTAATTTTTTCAGGAAGTCCTGGCAGCCGCCATAAAAGAAGTTCCTACAATGCTGTTTATGCAACTCTTTAACGGCTGCTGAAAAGGACAACTGTCTGCTGACTGTTGTTTGATATATCTTGTAGGCATTGCTACTGTTATAATTCTGTGTTCCCTGAAAATTACTTTTACTAAATACAAAAGAGGAAAATAACTATTTTTAATGAATATGGTTAATTTATATCAATATGAATATTTCATGGTTTAAAACAATTTTTTTTTTGATAAAAAAATGAAAATATATTCATAGACAAGTTTCTTTTTTTTAATTTTTTTTAATGCCACATTTTCCTGGTGCAAGGTGCAAAAAAGGACATTTTAATTTCATAAAAAATTAAGCTTAGCAATAGTAGTGTTTTATTTGCCTGTTGTTAATTCCATGGCTACCTCCACCCACCCTTGACATGTGAGAGATGAAAGCCTAGTTTCTCATTACAATTTTCATGTTTTACTAAGAAAGAAAGTAAGGAGAAGAAAAAGAGTATCATAATCCTGTGTGTCAGTTTTGTGGGAGATAGCTCTGCCTCATCCACTGACTGACTGTGGTTGCTAAATTTTAAATTTTGCTCATTTTCATCATTTATTGGGAAGAAAAACTTCAAGTATGGTATCCAACAATTCCAAATTTCATCTTTTTCTATTCCATGTATCCCTAATATTTGATGTCTTTCTTTTATTTGGTATGGTTTGATACCCAACTTGCAAAATGTTTTTAATTTTTCTTTCTAATCTAGAGGAATGGTAGTTTCAAAAACAGATTTCTTCTAGAGTATACATGCTAATTAATTTTTCAATTGGTAGGCATGCAGTGTATGATAATTTTCTTTAAAATTCTCACATTTGTGACAGTTCTATACTTATATCTGAAATTTGTTTATGAAATCCTTTAAAAAAGATTCATTTGCCAATCAGATATCATTGTAATTCTGTCTTATTATTTGTTGAAGCTTCAATTTTAGAGAGTTCTAACATTTTTCAAATTTTGGGTAGGGATAAAAAATAATCATCTTCCTATATATACTTTTGGTAGATCTATTGTAACTTTTAGTAAAAATGAACTTTTTAGGAAGCTTTACAAGAAATGAAAATAAATTTAATTGTTTTGAATGTTTGATGTTTGATTTGTATAATGTCCTTTTATTGCATCAGGCACTTTTGTTAGTTGTGTCTGGTCTTTTCATGATGGGCAACATTGGGAGAGATGGGAAGAGAGAAGAGGGGTGGGGTGGGGTGGGGTCAGTTGTCACCCCTTTCCATACTGCCTTTGTGGTTTCCACTTCATTGCTTGCCTCTTCCATTGGCCCCTTCACCCTTGCATATCTCAAGGACCAGTGAAGGACTGGTTTACTGTAGGTACCATGTTAATGTTTGCAACTAGTAGATTTGATTTGAGAATTAATTTCACAGTTCATGTATGATTTTAAGACATAAAAACTGGAGAACATTAGATTACAATGCAATATTTGCATCACTATCAAGTCTGAATATGACAGTGATCTTCACAGTAATGAACACTACTTATTGAGTAGTAGTGACATACTGAGCTGAAAAACATTCAGGCCTGTATAGGAGTTGAACCCATGACCTCTAAGATACTGGTGCAACAGTGTTGAGTATGTTATCTTCCTATTATGAAGAAACTTATATTGAAGTATATTGTCTTACAAAACATAATGGAAACCTGATTAGATTTGTCAATGGGAGATTCTTTCTTTAACCGCTAAAAACATCTAGCATCTAATTTCTCCTCCGACCCTACCTCACCCTTGAATCAAACATTAAGGCGTGGAGAATGAAGGAAGTAATCCCCAGTTAAAGAGGCTTTTTATCATTAAACAAATTCTCCCTGTCAGCTTTGTAGGAAATGTAAGGAGAAGAGTAAGAAGAAAATGCACACTGATGTTAGGGTGTTAAGTGATAACTGAGAAACTTGTGTCATGTTGGAGGATGTCTTGTAACACTTGGGTTTCTTCATGTTATTCTATGTTAAGGGCAGTGTTGCTTTTACTTTAGATGTTTTGGCAGAAGAAGAAAGTCAGGGGCTAAGGAAAACAAGTGAATCTCGTGTAGAGCAACTGCTGGTAAGATGGACTTTGATTTGATTTCACAAACACTTTTAGTGTTCTACAGTTATTCAGCATTTGAAGGGAGGTCTGTTTACCCATACTTTGAAGTGGAGAGTTGTATCATGAAAGTAACCATGAAAGTAAACAATTGTTTGAAAACAATGGTTATAAGCAGCCCTAATTAGTTTCTGGTTTTTAAGCTTTGTTTATGTTAGTTGGTGGTTAGGCCCCTTGCTCCTCCTTAACCCTCTCACTCCCAAGATCTCATCAGTAATTCTCCTTACTGTCTGCCATACAGTTCTTGTGATGTTAGTTTGGAGAATTTGGTATTGGATCAACTTATAATCCCTTAATAGATATTTGTCTTTATTCTCATCACTTGTCTGCTTGATATTGTATTGAAATTGTAAGGAGAAATTCTGTCTTGGTCACTCATGGGAGTTAAAAGGTTAATCTCCAAGATCTCATTAGTAATTCTCCTTACAGTGTCACTAAGAGTCAGACATGTAAATCAAGTGAGTCCAGATATGCTATGATAATGAAAACTAAAACTAAATTATTGTAGCATACCTGGCCTCACTTGATTTACACCTCTGACGTAGTATCGCTGTTTGGATGTTTCCTCAAGTTATCAGAAAAGTTAACAACAATCCTGCACAGTTATTGGTTTTAAGGTATCCTGAAGTTTATTGTGATTGGTTGGTATAAGATATAATTTAAGGAATCATACCAGGCTTCATGCTAAAATGTCTTGTAACATTTGACAGCAAAAGTCGTCCAGTAGAAGAAGTAGCAGTGCTTCAGTTGAAGAAAATGAGGAACCTGAGAAAGCAGTGGTTGATTCACAGGTAAATTTTATGGGAGAGCTCTAACATGGAATAACCATGGGAAAGATGATATTCATAATTCATTTTTCTGTGCCACATCTACTGGGGCCTTTATATGCATGGGCAGATCTAGGGAGTTTTGACAGGGGTTCCAAATGTTGATACCCTCACAGACATGTGGAATTAATTTAGTGTGTTTCAATCAAAAATGAAAAAAAAAATAGCCTGTTGAGCTAGATTTTGACCTCCTATCGCTGAAAGAAATTTTGGTTTCAGTCATGCCATAAAAATATTCATGGGCCTGAATGGGTGGCGGGACCCACCTTAATCTGCTACCAGGCCTAGTTTCTTGCCAGCATTCAGGTGGATGCTGAGCTGTTTTATTATATTACAGCTTCTTTTAATTTTTTTTTCCATGATAGGGGGGATATGAGCCCTAGAGTAACACCTTATTCCCCCTCCCCAGATGCACCCTTTGTATACAGGCAGCTGATGACTATTGAGAAAGACTTGAAACAATAAAAAAAGAGGTTCAGAAAGAGTATGAAAGTAATTTTTTTTTACTTAGGAACAAGAGAAGCTTGGCAAACTTATTACTAATGTTAACTTAATGACATCACAACTTGAGCTGCACTACTTTGAAGACACAGATAACGAAATAGTCATTAGAGCAAGAGAGATGTCAGAGATGGTCAGTGAGATGTATCTCTTTACAAGGTATGACTCTTTGTCTCTCATGTAACATTAAGAAAAATAGGTTTGCCACAATTTCTAGTTGCAGATGTGGTCACTGCTTTAACCCTTGAAGTCCACTAGTGACCTGGGGAGAATTTTTCCTTACATTATCAATACAATATCAAGCAGACAAGATATCAGTTAAGGGATAACTAGTTGATCCAATACCAAATTCTCCAAACTAACCTCATATGAACTGTATGGCAGACAGTAAGGAGAATTACTAATGAGATCTTGGGAGTTAAAGGGTTTAACTTTCTTTCAGCCATACATGCCCATTTAAAGAAGTCAAGTGAATTTGCTGTTTTTTTTTGTATGAAACATCTTAGATGGCCCAAAATCTGATAGGCTTATCAAGCCCTCCTAACTAGTCCAGCTTCTTCCAAAACTGACCATGGAATTTTTTCTGCACTATTCATGGCAAAGGGGAAAAAGACAAGCCAGCAGAATTAATTAACTGTAAGTTAAAGAAACAGAGATGAGTTCTTAATTGAGAGCTTGTGCTAATCACCAGATTCCTTTAACTTACAGGGGAGAGGGATCTCTTAAAACCACAGAGGATCTATTTGAAGCTTCCCAAGTGAGTAAATTGAATTATTTGGACATATATTTTGTATGATGTAATGCGCCGAGTTATGTTTGGTCATACGTGCTTAATGTCCTGTATAATCTTAGAGTCTTCCAAGAAAAATACACCTGCTCTTTTTCTATAGTTTGCTACACCTCTCAGATAAAAAGTGAATTTGGATCTGTTTTCTTTAAAGAGAAATCATTGAAATGCCATCTCAATTGCAAAAAGAAAAATTATTACTGGATTCTTTTCCAGGAATATTTGTATTTTTGAGAATTTGTTTCCATTTAGCAACCTTTACTTTGTGGACAGAGACTGCGGCAAAATTGTCCTGAAATAAATTTAGGGGCTGGGGCCTAGAAAATGACCCAAAATGAAAAACATTTTCAGATACCAAACTTACAGAGAATTTGCATGTTTGATATTTCAACCCATTAGGAAAACTACTAATAGAAAGAAGATTTATTTTAAATTTGTGATCTTAATATTTTGTCTACACAGAACTTTGCAGATGCAGGCAAGGCACTTCACAGAGTTGCAAGAAAATATGCCTCAAAGGTATTTAAAAGAACTGCTGGTCTCAACAATTGTTACCAAAGAAATTATGACAAAAATTCCAAAAAGTTTTTCTGAAGTTGCCCATCGGTTAAGGGATCTGGATTTACAATGTTTCTATTGGTTTCCAGGCAGAAGAAAACCCAATGAAAAAAGAGCTGTTAAGATACGTGGATAAAATCCCTGCCTATTGTCATCAACTCTTGTTCACAAGCAGATCACTAGCAGTTGGGCAGTCAGCTTGCTGTAGAAAGGTATGTTACTAAACCAGCAGTTTTAATTAAAAAATGTCCTCAAAGTTATTTATTTTACTTTTTCAACTTACTTTTTGACTTATCCTGGTGGAGTGCCACCTTGACATAACTTGCCAGGAGTTCCACCCCATTCATCCCCAGGATTTTTCCCCCAGGATTTTGCCCTCAGAATTTCACCCTTAGGGGTTCATCACCCTTAAGGGGTTCGTCACCCTTAGGGGGGTTCATCACCCTTAGGGGGTTCATCACCCTTGGGGGGTTCATCACCCTTAGGGGGGTTTCACCCCAGGGGGATCTCACCCCTAGGGGTTCCCCCACTGGAAATGTTGTCAGTTTCTTAAGGTAAATTTGCATGCTACTTTGTTGTTGTATCAATTGTCAGGAGACATTGTTGTTTGTTAATGTTATCCACCCAATTGCAGAGTGGTACAGGGGAGGGAATGTAGATAGGTTTAACTGATGTTTAGATGAACCTTTAGCTGCTACACATTTCCTTGTAAAGCAGTTACTAGAATTTGATGTTAGATCAAGATAACAACTTTATGTGATACACTTGAGTATTCTCATTACCTGTTTGCTGGATAATGTATGGGTATTATAGAGAGAAATTACGTGTTAATCGCTTCTGGGAGTTAAAGGGTAAGAATAAGGAGATTTTCAGCAATTAAAATGTGTTTACAGTAGGTTGGCTGTAACTGACTGGTGTAAATATTTTTGTACAAGGATTAAGACAAATTGAAACTTTCCATCTACAGGTGTGGGGAGTAATGCATTTAACAAAGAACGTAATAAAAATTGTGGCACGAGTTGTCAACAGCTGTTACCTGTTAGCTGAAAGGGTAAGTTAAGTTAAAAAAAATTAATTGACAAATATGGGGCCAGAATGTTTTATGTGTATATACAATGGCAAACCATAATTTCATGACTATTTTCCACACCCCAGAACAAATTGAAAGATCAGCCAGGCTTCTGACTCAGCTTGTTCACTTCAGTACTGCATTTAAATAAATAAATAAATAAATACTTATTCGGCGCAAGTATCTATATGAATATATTCAGATGCGCCTTACAATTTACAAACCCACCCAACCCAACCCAGGGGAGGACATCCATCACACAGTAATCTCGTGCGTGGGAAATTAACGTCTCCTACCCCAAACCCTGCAGGAGACGGGACCTCTGGCTTAACGTCTTATTTTGCTTAAGGCCACAACGTAGTGCCCCATCCAGGACTTGAACCCGGGCCGTCCGACCCAGAGTCCAGCACCCTGACCACTGGGCCACTCACGCCTCACATTCAATGCATTCAATATTTTACCCTTTAAAATTTAAAACTTTAGGTTAAATTTCTTTTCTTTGTAGAATTCTCCTCTCAAATTACCCCCAGACCAAAGATTATGGCAGATAGATGAGAGTATTTTCTCAGAAGAGTCTTCATTAGGAACACTATCAAGACGTTCTTCACTACAGAGCCTGGAGAACAATGAAAGTGAGCTAAGAACAACTGTGGAGGATTCAAATGGAGTTGTGATGAAGACAGAACTGTAATGTTAAAGCTAGGAGGATAATGCTCAATAATTAAACTCGTATTGTCCAATGAGAAATAGCTCATCCGACAACTATCTTGTTGCCATGAAAAAGAATCATGTGCTTAGAAACATCTTCAATGCAACAAGCAGACAGAGTGTTAGATCACAAAAAAAATATTCCCTCAACAGAAGACAGTTTTTGTTCTTCCCAAATGAGCCTCATTTTTTAAGGGGACTTCCCAGAACAGAAGTGTAACATTTTGTTCTTTTTGAGTAAATATGTATGGCACATACATAGGATGCCCTTTCAGCCATGTCCAATGCATCCCAACTCAAAAGTAAAAACAAAAATGACCATCAAAGCAAATATTTGAAGTAACAGGATTTTTCCCCTTGCAATATTTTAATAAGATAATTTGGTTTTACCAAGTGAAATAATAAGGTAAATTGGCCACCCTAAAGAATTTCTACAGCTGACATTTCAAGCAATGGCCCTTTGACAAAGGGGTAACACTCAGAATGTCTACTTTTGAAAGTCTCTATGGTGGCCAATCTACATTATCAACTTGGTGGATAAAACCAAATTATTTTGTAATACACCCCACCACCACAGCACCACAGTTTCTTTGGAGACTTACCCCCTTAAAATATTTTAATAAGTAAAGCTTAGTATATTGAGCTTTTGGAGTACAATACTGAGAAATATGTTTATAAATTATCATCCATTAGGTTCGTATTTACTTTCATCTTCAATATCATTTATTTACCTCTTCACTTAATACCTTATTTTTATCCATTACGGTACAGTTAATTTCCTGCTTCAGTTGGTATTACTATGTCTTCTCTTTTCCTGTTGGTCTCAAATTCAATTTAGTCAAAACCCAGATGAACTTGTTAAAATTTAATTTGGTTTTGTCATCTGAGTTGATAATGTGAATTGCCCACTGTAAAGAGTTTCTAACACTGATGCTTGAAAGTCAGTTTCAGAGACTCTTTGTGGTGGCCAATTTACATCATCAACTTGGTTGATAAAACTAATTTGAATTGTTATACCTCCTGATAATGCAGCACCACAGGGTTTTTTAATAAACTTACCCCTTTTGAACATGTTAAAGTTGGGTTTAAATATTTCAGTAATGTACTTACATTTTCATCACAAGAGAAATTCTATACAGTGGCCAATTTTATTTCCAACTCAGTTGATAAACCAATTTAAATTGTTATACCCCCTGATAACCCAGCACCACAGTTTCTTAAGAAACTTACCCCCTTTGAACATGTTGAAGTTGGGTTTATACATTTCAATTTTGTACGTTACATTTTCATCTCTGAAGAATGGTTCAGGACAACTTTGTTGCAATTCACTTAATGAGTAAAACATCTTTTTCATAAGAATTTGTTTTGAAAAAATAATAAGTTCAAATGCAATTAAGTTTGAAGTTATGATCAAAGTGAGCTAGGAGAGGTTTGCAAGGGGTCTGGCTTTATTAATGATCACTGCTAAACCACTTGCAGGCCTCTCACAGACTTACTTTGCCCAAGACCTTAAACTTACTTGCAGGCAAAGTACTTGTGCTGCAGCACTGATAGCAAGGGCATGCTCATAAGCTAGAAATTTAATGTCAGTTGTAACATTTTGCATATGAGTATGAAGGGACATTGTAACATTGTTGGTGTTATTGTATGCAGTTGTAACATGATTGTCGATCAGTGTTACTGTTCTCAGGAAGTTAACCCCCAGTTTGAAAAAAAAAAAAAATTCCTGAGCAGTGTGTTGAGTATTTGTGGCATGAAATAAATTTATCAACATTTGCAAATGGCTACAGGATTTCATTATCGTACTGTGAATGACTTGTGTAGAAGTGATGTGGAATTTTTATCCCAGTTTTGAGCACAGAGGAGCTCAGAGAACTAATGATGGATTAAGCTTACATCAATACATGTCTGTTATTGTAGTTTTCATGATCAATGTCATCACCCCGATAATTACTAGCATCAACCTTGTTACCAACATCAACATCATTATTGTTATCATTGTTATTCCTGACATTATCATTATCAATACACAAGGAGGGGTAAACATTGACTGCTTCATGGCTTCATTCTATGCCCCCAAAATACCTGTATTTCTGTCGAAAGTTACTTCAGAGAATACATTAAACAAGCACATTTTTAAATGTTACCAAAGTTTATGTCTTATGTTTAATAAAATAGAATGGTGCACTTACATTAATACATGTCTCAGTTAATACAGGCACTCAATTGAGTAGCCTGTATCTCACTTTTGCACTTGGGACAGAATTCCAAGGGGAGAAAAGCATTGTCCATAACTTACAGTACAGACCTTGAACTTGGTCAATGGGACGTATTTACAAGTTATTTGTGGTTATCCTATCTTTCCACAAATTTCAACACAATACAAGAAACAAGCTCACAGTTTACACACTTGTGCATCTTATGACTTGTAAATTACCCCAGGCAGAACAGATAACATTTCAAACAACAAGTTGGCTGCTGTTAGAGCTGTTGTCCCAGTTGTGTCATAGGGTGGCGAGACCTAAAAGGAAGAATACCAAAAAATATAAATTTTTTTAAAAAAGAATTCTAAAATTTACTTCAAGCTTTTTGGTTTTTATCTGAATACAGATAACCTGGTTTCTGTGATCTCAGCTAATCATAGAGACTGTTTCCTTTTAACCCTTTCACTCCCAGATCATATTAGTAATTCTCTTAACTGTCTGTCATACAATTGTTATATTGTTAGTTCAGAGAATTTAGTATTGGATCAACTAAGTATCCCAAAATTGATGTTTCTCTATATTCTCATCATTTTTATGGTTGATTCTGTATTGATATGGTAAGGAGAAATTATGTCTTGATCACTCATGGGAGCTAAAGGGTAAAAGTTTAAGGTTAGAGTGATTCTTTTTCAGGCAGGCCATTCATAGTAGCCAAGATGAAAAAAAATGATTCTTACCTCAACCAAGTCTCCGCCAACAATGTTCAATCCATGGCACCCTCTTACAATCTCTATGCCTTGTATAGAGGTGAGGCCCCCAATTTCTGGGGTTCCTAACAATTGTAAAATACAGTAAAAGTTTGGGTGGCTTGAGTGGCTTTCATGTTCAACTGGTTAAGTATCATCACACTGGTATTGCTGAGGGAGTAGGTTCCAATGTCATAAATGTAAAATAATTTTCAGCCTTCTTTTTCTATCCGCTCAAATTCAAATTGAGAGTTTTTTTTCACAAAGATCATTTCTTAAGTGGGGTGTCTCATTTCTTGAGTAAGATAAGTGTTTCATCTATCAAGACAGGAGTCTGCCTGATATGAATCTAGAATCAGCAAGTTTGTAATATAACTCAAGGGAGAAATATTATGCTCTGGTACTGTAAAAAAGCATGCATTTTTTATGTTAAAAATTAATTTTCTTCTCACATTATACAACCAAGCAGTTTTTGCCATTAAACTTGTAAAAATTCTTACCAGTTCCTGGTGCAAATGCTGGGTCCAAACTGTCAATATCGAAAGATATATAGACTGGGCCACTTCCCATCTGCTGACGAACTTCAGCCATCAATGGTTCCAAAGACTTGTGCCAACAATCCTTTGCAGACACCAACCGAAAACCCTGCAGGATCAACCAGCTTTTACTCGTTAACTCCTAAGAGTGACTCACATCTAATTTCTCCTTAGATTATCACCTCTGAATCACTTGTTAAGGTCATGAGAAGAAAGGATATGATCACCAACTAAAGAAGCTTGATTGTTGAACAAATTCTCCTTGTCAGCTCTTTTAAAAATGTACAGAGAACAGTATGGAGAATATACATACTGATGTTAGGGTGTAAAGGGTTAAGCTTAATCCTTTCACTCCCAAGATCTAATTAGTAATTCTCCTTACTATCTGCCATACTATTCTTATGATGTTAGTTCAGAGAATTTGGTATTGGATCAACTAATAATCCCATAATTGATATTCTTCTCAATTCTCATCACCTATCTGCTTGATATTATATTGATATTGTAAGGAGAAATTCTGTCTTGATCACTTGTGGGAGTGAAAGGGTTAATATGAAGCAAGGTGGAAACAGATCTTCTAATGCCTGTTTGAAATACAGGATCAATGTCAGTATATGAGTGAATGCACACCTACCCCTCTCCCAACCTAATAACAGTTAACTGCTGACAGATCAGGGTTAATTTTGGGTTTTTGGGGAGGGGTAGGTACACAGTTGCTCAAATACTGACATTGATTCTGTATTTCTTTAACTTCCAGAAGTGATTAACATGCAACTTCTCCCAATAATATCCATACATTATCCTGCAAACAGGTATTAAGAAAACTCCATCTTATCAGGTAGAAGTTGTTATCTTGATCTAACATTCAATTCTCATACCTGATTTGCAAGGAAATGTGTAGCAGCTAAAAGGGAGAATTAACAATCAGATCTTGGGAGTTTAAGGGTTACAATCAAGATGTTGATAATGATGATTATGATGAAAATGATGATAACAATGACTAACACTTAAAATTGTGTGCGAATTGGCAAAAGAGAAAGTTATCATTGATTTGGAAGTAGCAAGAACTTCATCTCAAAATCAAGATTTTGATACCCAGTTACTGCTTTTGTTACAGAATTACTTATTCCATGTTTTCCTCAATTAAAAGCAAAATGTGAAAAATTTAAACAAATTTGAAGTCAGTAGTAAGATTCATACTTGTCCTATTGCTACAACTATTTTGAGAAATTAACCAAATAATTTTTTCCTTCGTTATGCAGTTTATAGTTATTAGCATTTTTTTCCACCCTATACCTGATCTTCTGCCCAAGCGTAATCCTTTCCAGTATATCCAGAACCTCGTAAACCAATCTGTACTACACGATCACAATCCAACAGCCCTTCCTCGACTGCTCTGCGGAATGTTGTTCCATGGGTAATTTTTTCCCCAAACATGACATCATTTGTATCAGAATGAGCATCTACATGAACAAGACCAACAGGTCCATGCTTTTCCTATTTGTTAACAAAAAAAAAAACAGAAATCATGTGGGAAATGATTGGTGATGTAATTTACAAAAACCACATTTATTATCTTAAGCACCCTGGGCACTTATTAAATTTTTGGACCTTGAGAGTAGCTACAGGGGTGGATCTACAAATTTTTCTAAGGATGGGGTGTATCAAGGAATCACACAGCTGATTTATGCCTGAATGAATAAAAAGGGCTAATGCTCAAAATATCAATGTCAAATAAAATTTTTAACCCTTTAACTCCCAAGATCTCATTAGTAATTCTCTATATTTCTTTCCCCCTTTTTTCCGAAGATATGATTTCCGTTCCAATGACAGCTTACTCCTTGCTCCTTGCAGGGGTAAAACACTCACCACGTTCAGCAATCGATCTTTCCATGCCGCTGCCCCTAAATTGTGGAATGATCTTCCGGGCTCTATCAAAAACACCCAATCTTTAAACAAGTTTAAGAAGGCCATTAATACTTTTTTATTTGCCAAAGCTTTTTAATTATTTGTATCTAATTTCATATTTTTACATTTTCTTGGTGATCATGTTTTAATTTATTTATTTATTATTATTATTATTATTTATTTTTTATTTTTTAATTTTTAGTTTTGAGTATCTATGTAGGGGTTGAATTTTTAACAATTGTAATGCGCAATTGAAAATTCTTATATTGATAATTGTGCAATATAAGTCTATAAATTATTATTATTATATTACTGTCTCCCATACAATTCATATGATGTTAGCTTGGAGAATTTGGAATTGGATCAACAAATAATCCCCTACTTGATGTTTTTCTTTATTCTCATTACTTGCCTGCTTGATATTGTCCTGATAGTCTAGGAGAATTATTTCTAGATCTAGTGGGACTTAAAGGATTAATGGTGTTTAACATATATTCTGCAACCTCATATCATGTTTTAAATAATTAAATAACAAGACATGAACATGTATGATTGACAGTGAATTTAGAGATTTTAAGTCAGAGGAGAAATAATAATCAATAGTCCTCTTGCACACTTCAGTTTTTCTGGGGAAGGGGGGGGGGTGTTGAGAGGGGTGATAGTTAACTTGTCACTTTTATTAAGTTTTATTCAAGGTTGGGTGCTTATTAAGCTTTTAGACTCTAAGAGTGACCAGCATCTAATTTCTCCTTACAGTAATACAGCTGAATCATTCATCGAGATCATGAGAATAAAGGAAATGATTGCCAACCAAGGGAGCTTTGATTGCTAAACAAATTCTCATTGTCAGGACTAAAAGAAATGTGTAGAGAAGAGTAGGTAGAATTTGGATACTGATGTTCGTGTGTAAAGGTTTAAAACTTTTCCTACCTACAAGGTGGGTGGTCATTTGAGGTTAGGTGCTCAATCAAATAAATCTGTCAAACTTTATCCACTAATGATCAGTCACATCTCTACTAACCTTGATTCCCTTAAGAATAGGATATGAAATAGTGTGATCACCTCCCAAAACTAGAGGTACACAGCCATAACCAGCAATTGTTGCAATATGTTTATGGATGATTTCCACGGTTGCAGCAAGGTTGTATGTATTAATAGGAATGTCACCAAGATCGGCAACCATGAGAGATTCAAATGGTGCTGCTCCTGTGGCATTATTGTAAGGGCGAAGCAAACATGATTCTGCTCGTATTTGTCTTGGGCCAAGGCTAAAGAAAGTGGAATGGATATTTCATGTTATAAAGAAAAAAAAATTTCCCACTTTAAGACTGATCACTCCAAATTTTATGAGGTAGCAATAGAATTTTTCAGTTTTATAACCACCCTTTGGTTGATGAATGGGAGTTTTTGTCACCCTTCTCCAAAAATCAGCTTTTAAAATCTCTGCTTTTAAAAATGCAATGAAAATGAATAGAAAAATCTTGGCAGTGCAGAGCCTCATCCACAAATTTCTCTCTTTCGCTAAGATCATAGATCAGTGGAAGATTCTGTGGCCCTAAAGATCAGGCAGCTGTACTACAGACATTTAGTTAATCTTTCTTTTTTTGATAGGAAAGCTTAAGCATAATAAATGCTTCTTGGCACAGCAGGCCGAACGGAAAGGGCAGAGATTTTGGCAGATTTCCTCACTCTTCAATTTCACATACTGATATTTAAAGAAAGAAAACAGTGGGTTAAAATTGATTATGTAACAAAATAATTCGGTTTTATCACCTGAGTTGATCATTGGCCACCTTAAAGAGTTTCTAAAGCTGATATTTCGAGCGTTAGCCCCGCGTCAGAGCTTAAGACGAAGGGCTAACCCTCGAAACGTCAGCTTAGAAACTCTTTACGGTGGCCAAATTATCAAGTCATACTCCCCTGCCGACGCAGCACCAACGTTTCTTTAGAAACTTACCCCGTTTATTCATTGGAAAATTAATTATCTCTGATAACCAAATGCTTTGTTTTAGAAGAATCTGGGGTTGCATGGAAATCTTTCTTCGACGAGTAACGGTGAATTCAAACACAGCACAGCCCCATCTCGTGACATTGGAACAAGTATAAGAAGTCACTTTTAGCGTGTAGGTATTTCACTGTTTGCATTTCAACAAAAGAAAGGATTTGTATGAAATCTTCTCCCTATGCACTGACTTTTAGCACCCACCAAACCTACGCAAAATGACAACAAAATCCTCACCGAGTTCCGGATCTGTTTGAAGTTCCAGAGTCCAGGGGAATCCCAATAAAACAAACATTCAGTCCCTCGGCAGTTTCTCGTACAGGAAGTCGCATCATGGAAGCTATTCCACCGGCACGTGGCATATCGTTCGGGCTCATCGGATAGATGAAATCTCTCGATAGACGACTGCAAACGGTGACATTACGGGAATGAAGCCTCGGTGCGTTTGAACAAACCAAAAAACGCAAAACACGGCTTGAGCGATTCATAATAAATGGTCTTTGCTTCTCGCGCGCGTTTGGAACGAGTAGGCCCGCAGGAGGAGGAGCAGCGGCTTTTACGGCTAAGTGATTTTCTCTGAAGACAACAATCACCCGTTATCTCCCTGATATCATCTCCAAAGAATAATCATATAAAAAATAAATTAATCAGAAAAAGAACAAACAACAAAGCATTCGGAAATGGATTTTAAGTTATGTCCCCTCGACCTAGAAAGGTGTTGATTAACAGCCACAAACAGCATAAAAACTGTCAGTCGAGCAGTGTACCTCAACCGCGAGGCGAAATCAGACGGGACCATCCGACAGCGGTCCGAAGCCGTCCGATATCGGAACGGCACAGTTCGAAAATACGACGACCAGTCCGAAATCAGACGAAACCGTCCAAAATTAGACGGAGCCCCCTTATGTTGACCACACCCAATTTAGATGGAACTGTCAGACAAGATTAGACAAGCAACCCCATCCAAAATCAGCAGATATCGAAAGAAACCGTCAAAAATCAGACTGAATCTTCCGATGTCGGAGTGAGTCATCATTTATTTAGAGCCCTTCGGTTTCGGATAGAACCGTCAGAAACTAGACGAAAGCCTCTCAATCAAAAATAGTCCTCCGATATCGCACCACTCATCCGAAATTTGACGTAACCATCCGAAGTTACACGAGAAGGAGACGGAACCTTCCGGAGTGTAAGATATCTCTGATTAGACCGACTCACCTGTTTCCGGACATATCAAATCAGCAGGAACTGACCAGAATCATAGGAACATCCAACGGAATATTTGCAGTCGGATGGAGTCGCCCAAGTTCAAAAGTAATTTTCTTAAACTTTTAAATCGGATTAAACAAAGAGGTGTCCGAAATCAGACGTAGAAGTTTTCTAAATAATGTTACCTGTCTGTTTGGTGCTGTCATTCCCAGTAATTATAGCTCTTTCCTTGCTCTGCCTGAGCTCTCTGACCCTTAAAATTTGGAATGGTAACCATCAAACAATAAATTTCTAGGAAATGGTTAACTTATACAAAAATGTCGCTTAAAAACGATTTAATTCATGAATCCAACTTACACTCTCGTAAAATGTTTGCACTTTTTCACAAATTTCAACGACTCAGAAATAAAATTGTAACATTTAAGTCAGGTTTTTGAAAAAGTTACAAACTAATGTCTCAGTCACAGAAATGCGACTTGTATCAAATCCTTTTTTTCTCGTATCAGTAAAACTTGTCTACTCGTCAGCTTTCTTCACGTGAGTCATTCCAAGTACAGCACAGTGTTGCCTCTGTCCAACAATCACTAAGACCTGTTTGGTCTGGTTTTCTTCTTGATGCCTCAACCGGTATCTCCGGTTTTGAAACCAGTTTCTGATCTGTACTTCCTTAAGCCCCAGTGCATTTGCCAGCACCCGTCGTTCGTCGCGGGTTAGGTAATGTTGACAAGAAAATGCATCTTCTAAATACTTCACTTGCATTCGTGAGAAGCGTGTGCGTCTCCTTTTGGGCAATTTTTGTGTCTTACAGTCTCTTGAAGAAATTTGAACCGTTCTTTTCTTGGTGCCGTTTTCTAGGATGACAAATGAAAGTAGTTAGACGAAATTTCAAAATAGCCCGCGCGGCTGGGGCTAGTTTGATTTCTCCCTCTCGCGTGTGATACACGTAACACACGCGAGAGGGAGAAGACACGTTGGTAGGAATTTTCTCAGCCTCTCTCGCGAGCGTAAATTTTCGCTCACTCTGCTCACTCGTGTTAACACCTGTTACGCAGAATAGCAGACTAGTGCCAAACTAAAACTTGCTGCAGTTTGGAAGAAGAGCGTGTTTTAAAAAGAGCCCTTAAATATTCTACTTATGAATCACTATCTACATTGGTAGATCTTCTCTAGATGTTAATGAATTTTTTTTAATGATAGACTCTGTTATCCTGAAATACTTTCTCGCGTGAGAGGCGATGTGTTTAAAAAAAAAATAATAATAATAATAATATGTATATACAAGTTTTGCCCTTTTCCGTCGAAAGTTTCTTCATGGCGGAGTTTATCTCCTTTGCAAATATAAGGACACGATGTGTCGAAATAGTCGTGATCATTTATTTAATGGTTCAAAACGGATGGTCCTAAAAGCAATTTTGAAATGCCTTAGAAAAAATCAAATGTTGCTATAAAAATGCTCATCGTTACATGTAAAAGTTCGTTAACCATTCTGGAATTTGAAGCGACTTGCGTTCTTTTACTGGTATCAGAGGCATCTAACAACGGTCTTTATTTTTAGCTTGTGTAGTAAAAAGTGAAAGAAGTCACAGAATGCAATGAATTTATAATGCACTTACTGATTGTATTCTTACAAATGCATTTTTATCGTACAAATACTTCGTTGCAAAATATCATTGATAGCTAGCTACCTTTAAGCTCTACATTCAAAAGACTTTGTTGCTCTTCTTCGATCCCAACGAAGTCGGGTTGAAGAAATTCTATGCAGCTTTCCAGCGCATCCACATGAGTGCTGCATGCTCCATTCCCATCCAAAGGTCCTACTTCATCGCAGCGGAAGGGACGACCTCGAAGAGGCTGGCTTCTTCTTTCGAATACACTTTCCCAGTTTTCTTTCTGTGGTTGCTCTTGCACAATCGGAGGTAATTTGCTTACACGTGACGGATCGGGAAAGTCTGCGCGGAGTATATTAGCGATGGAAAATGGCAAATTCTGGGCCATGTCGAGTTCTTTTAGTTCCACTGATGCGTACTCAACAGAAGTTAATTGTTTACGCCGCTCATACCCGGGAATGACCACAAGGAAATTTTCCCCTAAATGCCAGTTATAGAAGAAGCGTAAAAAGAGGGGAAACAAATCTTAACAGAAAGATATTGTTTGATCTAAAACTTACTTCTCAGAGCCGAAATTATAAGAAATTTTTCTCAGACAGTGTAAAAAATTGATTTTTAGACCATTAGAGTAAAAGGGATTCACGCGTGGTTAAATTTCAATCCATCCAATAGCAGCTTAGGACTTATTTGTGGTTTGCACGTGCAAATTTTGCAAACTCCTACAGGGTTTCAGATAAAAATAGGAGACAAATAAATTTCCAAGAGAACTGAAGAAACCATTCATACATCTGTCTTTTGATTGATATTAGATAAAATTGCATTCTTTTCCAGCCTGTTTGTTCGAAAGCTGGATTATGTTATCTGCCGGATATATTTAAATAAAAGGAATATGCTAAATCTTTCCAACAATAATAGTACTTCGGCATTTATTTCCATTTATTTTTCGAATATTTTACTGATATTTAACCAGCTTTAAACTACTTTGTTTTGGACGAAAATAATTTGCACCTTTAAGGCGCAGATTGCGAAAGTGTTGTGAGATTCTTTTCACGCTCGTCGTGTCGAGACAAGCATGACAGCAAAGCTGAAATTGAACCTCTCAGGCTTAAAACTCAAAATCTGATCCAGGGGGATCTTTGTAGACTACTCCTGGCAAAACACACAGCATCTCAAATAGGAAATTAGCGGCGAGGATCGAGGTTGCTCCTTGTAGATCAAACATAGGCGAAACCTGCAGATATGTGGTAAATCTCGTGTTAAAACGTGCTGTTTACAAACAAAAACATAACTGACATTTTTCTGTTCACATGTCGGATTGTATATTGCAAACTTACACCGTCTTTGTTGGGTGTTCTGCGATCCCGGTCTGTTGCTCGACAGACTTAAAAAACAGGAACCCCATGGACCCTCTCGTTGATGAGAGGAACTTGTTAGAAGGGGTGGAAAAAGACTGAATGCCACAGACAAACAAGCCTTTGACCCTAAGAGTGACTAGCATATAATTTCTCCTTACAATATGACCCCTGAAACAAACATTTAGGACATGAGAATAAAAGAAATGATCAAAAACTAAAGAAGCCCTTGATTGTTTAATAAATTCTCCTTGTCAGCACGTTAGGAAATGTTAATAGAGTAGTGTGGAGAATTTGGATACTGATGTTGGGGTGTGAAGGGTTAACACAAACCTCTACTAAGTCTCCACCAATGATGTTCATTCCTCTGCAGCCCCTGATTATCTCCAAGGCTTGAATTGACGTCAAACCTCCAATTTCGTGTGTTCCTGAAAGGAATCAAATTAAAGTCATTATTACTGGTTATTGGTTCCATTCAAGCGAGGCAGGAATGTTGTTTTACTGCTGAATTAACAGCTGGTTGGAGCTATGATATGGCATATAACCAGCTTCTCAGATGAACAAAACGTTAAATGAGTAGTGAGGTGAAAAGTTGAAACTTGGCGACTTTAACGCAAGTTGATTTTAAACATGGACAACCAAAAGTCGTTTTTCTTCTGGTTGTAGCGATGTAGGATACCCTCGACTGCGTCGTTCCGCCTAGGAGACTTTTCGACCCAACTCCCCGTTGTACACCCGGCCAGATAATGTTTTCAATCGAACATCACGCCCATTTACAGAAAACAAAACGTCCACTTTGCCGTATACATAGAAAAATTTCAATTGAGTTTCGAAAATAATCTGGGATTTGCCCCGTGATCGGTCCAAAGAACTCTCATCACTCTCTCAACCAATCAGGTGCAAAGCTTACACCAATCTCGACTTGGTCGCCCGGGTTTTCCTGCGCTTTTGGCGGTTTGCTTGTTTTCACCTTGAATTCTCCTTTTAAAACTATTTCATGATGATAACGATCTATCTGAAGGTAAAGAAATAGAGACCTGTTCCAGGTGCATAACCAGGATCTACTGCGTCGATATCAAATGTGATGTAAACAGGTGCATCTCCCATAAGTTCTCTAACCTGCGCCATCAAAGGCGCCATGGATTTGTACCAGCAGTACTTAGCGGGAACTATCTTGAAACCCTACGAGAATGGGAAAAGGTAGTTAAAAGGATGGATAAAATAATGTTCAATTCATTGTCGAAAGCAAGCTAGGATAACTTTACTTTTGCCTTAACCCTCTGACTTCCATGAGTGACCAAGACAGAATTTCTCCTTACAATATCAGTACAATATCAAGTAGACAAGTGATGAGAATAAAGAAAGATATCAATTAGGGGATTATAAGTTGATCCAATACCAAATTCTCCAAACTAACATCACAAGGACTGTTTGGCAGACAGTAAGGAGAATTATTAATGAAATCTTAGGAGTTAAAGAGTTAATTTACTCCGAGAAAACCATCACCCTCTCAATCAAATAGATGCAAAATTTGAGCGCTTTTTGATTGAGTGCCGTAAACCCAAAAGTGAAGTAACTGCAACAGCCAATCAGAAGAAAGGAAATAACCGATCTGAAGAGTCAATGAGAACTTAAAGTAAAAACAAACAGACCGCCGAAAGCGCGGGAAAACGCGGGCACCAAAGTCGTGTTTGCGTTCATTTTGCACCTGATTGGTTCATCTGAGAGAGTGGCGCGAGTTTTCTGGACCAATCACAGAGAAAACCGTATTGCAAAACCAATGCAATCCCGAATTACTTTCGGTTCTCAGTTGGAAATGACCTTAAAAACCAATCACGCCTCAGTCATTCACGATATCCCGCGCTTCAGGTAGTGTGCTTGGTTTTGCGTAAGGTGCGTGTACTTGTAATATACTTCTTCCGTCTCATTGGCTGTTGTTGTACCTTTTTTAGTTTTCCATAGAAAGAGCTCGCTTTGGATGCTGTACTAATTTTACAATAACTTCCCCCTCTCAAGACCTGAAAAGTTATAACGCCTTCTTTTCAATCTAACAAGTGGTGGCCAAGTTGGGGCTTTGAGAGCTGATCGAGACCCACAATGGATAAATTTTTTCCTAAACTTTGTCGTAATACTTTTTTGAAGGGTACGAGTATCTGATAAGATAATACTTTAAAAGTTTATTGCGCGATGAAAACTCAAAGCAATTACAGCTGACCTGCTTCAATCGCAAGACGATGAGACTTTTGCTCAGATCTGATTGGTTGGATCAGTTCATGGGCCTTTGCAACCAATCACAGAAGGAGAAGGGATTAATTAAGTCCTTACCAGGTTTCTACCATATTCGTAGTCAATCGGACTGTTCCCAGACCCTCGTAGACCAATTACGACAACTCGTTCACAGTCCAGTAGTCCTTCTTCAGTTGCCAAGCGGAATGGCGTGGCGTTTGAAATTTTTTCTCCAAAGGTAGTTTTAGATGTATCTGGGTGAGCATCAAGATGAACAAGTCCTACAGGGCCGTATTTCTCCTGTAAAGAATGCAAAAAATTGAAGAAAATGAAATAACACAAAGGACCTCCGCCATACCACCACTTTTGAAATACCACCTTATAAAAATTTGGCAAACCTTCATGGCTTTTAGAATTGGATATGTGATAGTATGATCTCCGCCCATAATCAAAGGTTTACATCCATTATTGATAATGCTGGCCACGTGTTGGTGTATGATACCAATATTGGCTTCTATGTTGAAAACATTGACCGATACGTCGCCAACATCGGCCACCATCAGCGATTCGTAAGGTGCAGCACCCGTGTGAGTGTTATGAGGACGTACTAAACAAGATTCGCAGCGGATCTGTCTTGGAGCCATGCTTGAAAAAGAAGAAAATGATACTGTGATAAAGTTTACATTCCCAGTCCAGATTTTCTTTGGTCTGGGCCAGTAGATGCTAGTGATTCTGGCAGGGGAATGGAGGTAAGGAGAAGGGGCTTGGGGCTAAGGTTTGAAAAAAGTTTATTGATAACATCATGGGTGGAGGAAACATTGTTGAATTTGGAATCTATTTGTAAAACAGAGAAAACACTCCCAATTTACGGCTAATCTCGTTCACTTTTTGTTTCCTAAGGGAACTTATCTCGTCACACCACCAAAAATCATTTCACTTGTCCCGAAAAAAGGTTCATATCAAATGTCACGCAAAAGGCGACGAAGAACACAATGATCCACTTCATACGAATCATGCTCGAAAAATCATTGAATTTTGAGGGAAAATGCGGCATAAAGATGTCAGCTTGCTTACATTCTATAAACACTAACAGTCTATGTTCAATATTCTTTCCTAATTTACTTACAAGGAAAGCCCGTAAGTTTTCCTTAAACGAAATGTCACAACAACGTTGTGTCTTGTTAGATGGAATCGGACATACGTAAACAAAAAATTATTTTGTCAATCATACCGCGCTCCAGTTCGATGAGCAAAAGTACCGTTGTCCATTGGAATTCCGAGGAAACATGCATCCAAACCATCAGCTGTAGACTGCATAGGAAGCCGGAGCATTGTAGGAAATCCTGCAGCTCTAGGCACGTCGTCTACTGTCAGAGGATAGTTGAATTTTTTCGACGAGAACAAAGTGGTGGCGATTCCACGACCTGGCAGTGCTCGTGGTAGACGCTTAGAAATGGCAAGAAGCCCGGAGGCAGCCCTGTGAGAAAGCATAGCTGAGATAAAAATAGATAGGGAACCTTTAAAATTTTGTTTCCAACTGGAACCTACGGAACCTACTTTCCAAGTGATGCAAATGTCGTGACAAGAGCCTCATTGAGAAATCTAAATTCAATTAGTGATCAGATTTAGGCATAATTAGTGAAGCGTGAGGTCAAGAAAACCGGATGTTGGCCAAGATCTGCTTCTCTTTTTATCATAAACCTTTTTGTCCTTTTCAAATCATGGTAAGAGTTGTAAGGTGATAAGGGTTGTAAGGTGATAAGTGAGGTCTCCTTAAAAAAAAAGTGAATTCACTAGTATCTTGAGATCTAAACTCGCTTGAACGCGTTACTTTTTGCGCCTTATGTAAATTTCGGTGCGTGATACCCGTATTTCACGCCCCCTAAGCAGTTTTTTATGTGTCTGAGTCATATCCCTTCAGTTTTAGGAGTTTTGTGTGTTTTCGCCATATTTCAGTTCCTGAACCATCACTCTGAAATTGGTAAGTTTTTCTTTTTTCATCGCTTCTTTGTATTTCTCTTTTCCCCGTTCTCTTTTTGTTAAGTATGCTTTTGTAACAGTTATTTGCTTTTTTTTTTTTAGGAATTTGCTTCGTCTCCTTCTTCGGCTTGTTGCAATGCTTTCCATTCCTTGAAATATTAACCTGAGATTTGATGCTGATCGAGCTAAAAGTCTGACACTGTAATCTAATTTTAGACACTAGTGTCCGATTTTAGACAGCACTGTCCGATTTTAGGCAAAAGTGTCCGATTTTAGACATCAGTGTCCTATTTAAGACAGTAGCGTACGATTTTAGACAAAACTGTCTGATGTCAGAAAGCATGGTCCGATTTTAGGCTCTAGTGTTCGGTTATGGATTTTGGACAGTAGTGTCCGATTTTTGATTTTGGACGGCTAGTGTCTGGTTTTGGCTTTTGAACAGTAGTGTCCGATTTTGGATTTTGGACAGTTTAGTGTCTGATTTTGGATTTTGCTCACTATGGTCCGTTTTTATTTATTAGTGTCCGATTTTAGACGAAAGTGACCGATTTTAGACACTAGAGTCCTTTTTTAGTGACTACTCGGATTTTAGACACTACAGGCAGTGCCCGATTTTAGACACTAGTGTCCGATTTTGGACACTAGCGTCCTATTTTCGAGATTCCGATTTGAGACCCTGGATTTAGAGAACATACCCATTTTTTTTGTCTGACTTCAATTGTTCGGACTAACTTATTTCACCTAACCCCATTTTTGCATTTTGTGAACTGAGGGAATTTTCGGTGGAAGCTCTTAAAAATCTAATGAAAACTGAGCTCTACAAAGTTGAAACAAGGTGGCTTATTTGATATGTAGATGTGAACCTTTGACTTTAACAAGATACTCTACAGGGTTTTTTACCAACTCAAAGATATCCAACTTCAAAATATTAAAAAAATTATACCTGAATAATTTGTAGCTCTGCGCCTGCGAGCAGATTGTGCGTCTAGTCCCAGTGTGTATGCGCACTTGTGTCCAGTTTTCTCAGCGCCGAATTCAAGTTGGAATGCTCAATCGAGCAGTTTTCAACGTTTCACTGGAGTTTTAGCGGAAAATTTAGAAAGTTAAGCTCCGTTTTTATGGATTATGGTCTGCGAGGAACCGATAAGGGTATGTTAACATGTAGTCTCGTGCAGTAGTCCTTTGTGCTTTAATTTGTTTACGGAATTTACGGTACATAATTTGTTTCGGGCGCGGGATAAATAACTTATCAGCGAGTGTGTACGTTTGGGAGCGAAAATGATCTTTTCCTTTGACTGTTTTGGAAAATAAGTCTAAAAGGTGATTAGCTAATAGAAAAATTTTCAGGCGCTATTTGATTCGCCCAAAGAAATTTTTTAGCAGACAGACTTGGCCGATCGATGTAAATTACATTACGACAGGAGTTCATTTATCTTTTGTACCTAAGAAAGACCACTAAAAATTTGAATAAGGCTTTGAAATTCAATTGAAATCGTCCATTTTGGGTATTTTTCTAATATTTGATGTCAATTTCAACAGTGGTAGCAGCTTCGGAAAAAGAAACAAATAATATTCTTTCTTTATTTATTATTTTATGTGCAGCTGATGTCCAGTGTTCACCAAACATTTTTTATCTGCCACCTTTCTTTGCGAACAGTTTTGTAGAAGAGAAATGTGATTAACAATAAACTTGAGTTGTAGATGAGTAGCATCCAAAAGTGCCTCCACACCACATTAAAGATACTCACAGTAGATAAGGATTTGTGGTAGTAGAAGTTACAATAGCAAGTTCGTTTTGAAACTGAGTAGAATTTGTACTACAAGATGATTTGGTTTTATCAACTGAGTTCATAATGTAATTTGGCCAATGTAAAGCATTTCTAAAGTTTATGGTGATAAATTTACATTTTCAACTCAGTTGATAAACCAAATAATCTTGCAATACCCCTCATCTACGCAGCACCACAGTCTCTTAAGGGACTTGCCCCTTGTAAAATTTGCACTTATTCACTCAGAAATGCGTTATATACTAATTTGGAGGCTAAGGTAAAATTTTTTTGTCATTCACTACATCTCCTACTCCAGCTGGACTTGTACCAAGAAACCTAGGAAAATTAAGTTTCTCAAGATGAATTTATAGAAGATTTGATTTTCTCTTGATAACTATTTAATTTTGTGATTTTATTTTAGGCATCTATATGGCATGCTTTGGGTCATTATGCCTATGAAGATGCAATCTTCCTTGCTGAACGACTTTTTGCAGAAGGTAACAAAAGACTGTTAGCCTAACAAGTTATTAATATACCGTATTTAGATTTTTGGGTTTTATCTACAAGCTTAAAAATTAAGAACCTGTTACCCTCCTATTTTTCTATTTGCTGTCTACTTTCAAAATAACTGACAGCCCTGTTAACCCTTTAACTCCGAGGAGTGATTAACAAGTAATTTCTCCCAGTAATATCTAAACATTATTCAACAAACAGGTCATGAGAATATTCAAACTGATCAGGTCAAGGTTGTTATCTTGATTTGGCACCAAATTCTTGTAACTTGTTTACAAGGAAATGTGTAGCAGCTAGAGGGGAGAATTAACAATCAGATCTTGGGAGTTAAAGGGTTAAATTGTTGTGTACCAAAGTGTTCTCCAGACTTAAACAGCAAAAGCCATGTTTTGCCTTGAAAAATAGCACATAACACTCAAAATATTCCTGTTTATAATCCACAGATGAAAATGTAATTGAATTTCTGTACTTCTGGTCAAATTTCTTTTGGGTGAATGAAGAACCCACTGCTGTTTACTTTACTCCTAACATGTGGGTTTGCAGGTCATTTAGAAGTACCACCCAAGCCTAAATTATTATTCAGGCTGCTTTCCTGCAGTTCCTTTAATTGCAGCCTAACTGTGAAGGTTACATCTTCACTTTCTAATCATCTGCAGGTCAAAACTTGATTTATTCCATTTAGTTGTGAACCCAAAACAAAACTACATAGTTTTAGATTTAGCATAAATTTACTAGTAGTAATATGAGTTAATACTCTGCATAATTCATTTTGTTTCAGTTGGCTCTGATGATACTTTGTACCTTCTGGCAACATGTTTTTATCAAGCTGGTTACTGTAAGAGAGCATACTCTTTGCTCCAAAGCAAAGGCTGTCCAACTCCGCTCTGTCGATTTCTTTTTGCAAAATGCTGCATGGAATTAGACAAGTATGTGTCCTCTCAAGCATTGAAGACTGAAAAATTCTTAATTTTAATTTTAAAGATCTGAGCTATTTTTTATTCTTCAACTTGGAAATATTCTCCTGTTGAATCACACAATTCCCATGCTAATACCGTATTTACCCGTGTATAATGCGCGCCCGTGTATAATACGCACCTTAATTTTTGACCTCTTTTTTCCGAAAAAAAAGATTTCATGACAAATACCAAGAATTAAAACTTCCATTTTTTCACTTAATTAACAAGAGCTGGGAATTCATCAATAATATGTTTACAACAATTTCTAACTAGTTGCTACTACAAATATCGCACGCACCGAGCACCTATTTACAAGCTTTTTTATTCAGTAACAGTCAAACGTTTTATAAATGTTGTAACTTGAAGTCCTTATTAATATACCTAAATTCACAACTTGAATTATTATCATAACAGCCGTTCATAAACATTATTTCTACTCACAGTACTGCTGGTAGCTTGAATATAATTACTGCATTGCAATTGCGTGATTTAAGTAAAATGTCCAGTGTCTTGAAACAACGAAACCTTAAAATTCCGACTCACAGTCCGATTCGAATAGGTTTCGATGACTGAATCCTCAAGTTCATCAGTGATCTCAGTTGAATTGTAAACCAATTCATCTTGTGATCCATTCGAATTGTTTGTGCACCCACACTTCAGAGAGATGCAGTGATCATTTCTGATGGAATGCCTTCCCACGCTTGTGAAATATACGAACAGATCAGTTCCTCCGAAGCCTTTTTTTGTCGTCCAGTAAGTTCGTGAATTCCATCAGCCATCCACTCCTTTCGGACTCCATCTCTAAATGGTTTGTTCAAAGATGCATCGAGCGGCTGGAGAAGGGAAGTTCGCGTTTGAAGGAAGTGTTCACAGTATCTGTCACGTGAGCCTCAAATGAGTCGTAAATAAGCAAGCTCTTTCTCCTCCCCAGGCCACCGATCCGTGCACTTTTACTTTCTTTGTTGCGTTTTTAACGTATGCAAATTAGGACGTGCTTGACAAACAATAGAATCTGTGTATAATACGCACCGCGACTTTGATGCTTGTTTTTATGGGAAAAAACTGCTCATTATACACGGGTAAATACGGTACATTGCTTGGTGAAAACCTGGTCTCTAACAAGTCTAATCATAACCATTACAATTTCCTCAAATGCAATTGGTGCATCAGCTGCTTTGTGTTTCACTAATCACTCAGTATAGTTGTAATTGGACAGCTGGCTGTAATCGGACAGTGGAAGCAACCAATCATATTAAGTCCACTCGGCTAAATCTATCAATCACAGAATTGATCACAATAACCATTGCAACAACCACTTACCCTGAGGGAAAAAAAAAGGGAAATGTCTAAATTTTTTTACTCTAGACATAGTCTCTATCAGAGATGTTTGTCCTAAATGTATATGTTTTTTTTCCTGAAATTATAATAGTTAGGATTCATTGGTAACAGGACTTTGTGTCATCCAATTCTGCCTGTAATTATACTTGTGATTAACAAATTGGACTCATGCTTTGTGGTCATCTGATTTTGTTAATCACTTATATGATTACAGACCGAATTGGACTCCACTCAGTCCTATTACCATTATATGTAACTGAATGATACTGCACTCTCAGGGTTGTCGTTAGAATGCATAATAGATTATCTGAACTTAGTAAGTAGCTGACTCTAATATGGAACTTTACTGATACTGGGTCAGAATGAATGTGCAGATTAGCTGATGCTGTGTCAGGTCCCTCAAGGGGCAAGTTTTGCATGGCCTCAATCTTTGTTGTTGTTGTGTGAGATGCAGAGCTTAAAAAACTGGGCAAATTCTTTTAAGGTTGTATGTTTGTGAACCTTTTTCATTCCATGATGGGTTGAGGAGATCATTGATATATGTGGGAATGTGAAAGTGACCCCCTGACGTATCTGGTACAGGGTTGGCCAATACCAGCATTCATTTGGATGTAGTATAGGCAAAGTTAAGTATTGTGCTTGCTTACATGCCCTTTCAAGGGATTGGGAGGCATACTTTCCTGAATAACTTGGAAAGTTTAAACCCTCTGAGATGTGATTACTTGAACAATCACCTGATAGTCTTGGCTTCAAACTGTTTACTATCCCCTATTGAAAAATCCATCTGGTAACATGGTGTGACATTAGGTAGTAGCTGGTTCAAATTACTAAAAGATATTATATGTTCATTTGGCTTCTGTGTGATCTTTCCTGGCTTTGTAGACTGGCAGAAGGTGAAATGGCCCTGACTGGAGGATGCCTGACGAACAGCAAACCTATAGAGACCATTGCTTCTGAGTTTGGTTCTGCGGCAGGTTATGGACTGGCTCTCTTGGGGCAAATATGCAGGTATTTTCAGTTATGATTATTTTTGTTTTTTGTTTTTTCATCTTGAAGTAATTTTGTGACATGCATTTCCAAAAGTGTTTTCGTTTCCATGTCTCACGAAGTTAGTTTTTCCCTTATTTTAGAAAATCAGAACAGTTTGCAAGAGCAGCAGAATGCTTTAAAAGTAGTTTGAAGTATAATCCGTTTTTATGGAGCTCCTTTGAGAATCTATGTCAGCTAGGTATGTGCTATAACTATATATGGTAATTTCTGATAGGTGTTTGGTTTTTTTCCCTATTCAAACTCTTCTTTTTTATTTTCCATTGGATCGGAATGAGCTGAAACCCTGTAGTGAAGTGTATGCTGCTAAACCTTTTCTTTGCTTTGGCAGTGAACATATTCAGGAAACCACCTCCTCCAAATTTCCAACAGTATTTTTTTTGGTAGACTCTGTTAGAAAATTGGAGGAGCTGGTTTCCCACTTCAATTTTCACTTGAAATACAAAATAATTAGTTAAAAATCAAATATCTGCCAAAAAATGGGATTTATGCCTGTTTTATATGGAACCTTTGTTTCATAGAGTGACCAGCATCTAATTTCTCGTTATAATATCATTTCTGAATAACAGATTCAGGTCACAAAAATAAAGAATATGATTGGTTACCAGAGAAGCTCTTGATTATTAAACAAATTCTCTTTGTTGGCACCTTTGGAAATGTATTGAGGACAGTGAGGAGAAAATGTACACTCATGTTAGGGTGTAAAGGGTTTAACTATTTCTTCAGTTGCCATTATTACTGATCTATGTTTGATATTTTTTCAATTAGGAGAGAAGCCAGATGCAGCAGATTATTTTAAATCATCTTCTTGTCCCAAAATCACATCTTTCATTTCAAACAGAGAACATATGACAATAGGATCTCCCACTGTTACCATGGATACAACAAGTCCATCAGACAATCAGCGACGAAATGTTGACACAGTATCCTCCGAAAATCTCGACCCCTCACACAACAAAACTCTGCAGAACATTAGCATGTTAATTTCATCCAGACCTGGCTCTCTAGATATGTCTGGTAGCAGTTTCACTGTGCCATCATCTGCTGTTAGTGTCAGTGAAAAAAGAATGCGTCAGAAGGTTGGGAGGAATCTGTTAGGAGCTGCGCAGTCAGCAAGTCCCTTAACGCCGAGGTATGACTGTGAGTGGAACAATTTAGAATCATGTTTCATGCTTTAAGCTATGACAATTTTGGTTGTGATGGCGACTAGAATGACTTTTGACTATAAAATCTGTAGCTCAATCATCACTTAGGCAACCAGTAAATGGTGGCCACAGAATTAAGTTTTTCCTTTGCTTTAATATTACTATCAGACAAGAAAAAGTGTACAGATGTATATGTATCTTAAGTCCTTGAGGCCAAGTAGCTCATAACAGCAGGAGCTCATAATAGTTTTTTTAATGAGAAGCCACAAGTAGTGTTAGTTCTACTCCCCCCTTGATGAGATGCCAGTCCTTTTTAAGTTCCCCCCCCCCCTGGATTTGGTTGTGTTTAGGTAGCAGTCTGCTGGTCTACATTTATCCTCTCAGGTAGAGTGAGTGTTTGGCAGGGCTTAACAGGTCAAGGCATCTCAAACCTATAGAAGACAAAGAAATGTTTAACTAAGCAAAGAACTGCTACATAAATGTGTATATGCATATTTTTAAAAAGATATCAGAGGCTGGGAAAGTTCTATTAGAAACTGTACATCTTACATGTCTTCTTTCAATTGGGTTATAGTTTTGGAATGCTGGCATCAGATACACCCACAAATGACCAGAATTCTGTGTCATTTATTACTCCATCTCCAGTTGTTGGTGAAGGACACGCCCCTAAAGCACCGATGAAAAAGGTTTGAATCATATTCACATCCACTGATGGTGACATTTTGCAATATTGTAGTGTAGATCCAGTTTCTCTTAGTAAGATGTTTTGAGTTCAAGGAGAGTCCCTAATGGTGAGAGAGTTTTGGTTAAGGTAAAAAGAAACTATGTCAACTCTACAATTGTAGTTGAGATTGAACAAATTTAAGGTAAATATTAGAGAGAACATTCACCTTTCCTCTTTTAAGATACAGAATAAATTATGATTAATTCATTATGGTTCAAAATAATGTAGAAAAATAGCCTTTATATGGGCCCAAGTGGCCCATGGGGCCGGTGCTTAACTCTGGTTTTCTTAGCACGAAGCGGCTAGGAGTATTGCTACTCCCCCCTGGATGGGATGCTGGTCTATCGCAGGGTTACTCCCAGCACATTTGCTGGTACCCATTTGTACACCTGGGTGAAGAGAAGCACTGTGAAAGTAAAGTGTCTTGCCTAAGAACACAACACAATGACCCCAGCCAGGGCTCGAAACCCAGACCACCCGATCCGGAGTCAAGCACATTAACCATGAGGCCACCATGTCTCCACAAAAAAATAATGTAAGGTCTCCTTCAATTTTGCACAATTGGAAGTGTTCAGTCTGAAATTCTTTCTTTTCAGGGTGGTAACAGAAGAAATGATTCTTCATGCACACCGGTGATGGCTATCACATCTAGTGTTCATAGCATGCACTCTCCATCAACAATGTTCACGTCTTCTCCTCATGGCACTGGACATCAAAGCTTTTCTTCAAATGCTCCCAGTGTACGGCGGAGTTCGCGACTCTTTACACTGTCTTCTAGTAACAGCTCTGTCAGCAATTTTGATTCAACCAATAAAGTAAGCAAGTCTCCTTGTGGCATAGGATGTTAAAGGATAGGGTTATTATGAGGGTTTAACAAATGATCAGAAGAACTCCCACAAGCGATTAACTTGTAACTAAATATTTATACATTATCCAGCCAACAGGCATTGATAATACTCAAACTTATCAGGTAAAAGTTGTTATCTTGGTTTAACACCAAATTCTTGTAACTAATTTACAAGGAAATTTGCAGCAACTAGAGGGGAGAATTAACAGTTAGATCTCAAGAGTTTAAGGGTTAAGAGAGTAAGATTGTGATGAGAGTTGTAATGATGATCAGGAGAGCAATTTCAAGGGAACTGAGTAACTGATTATTTGCTGGACTTTCTTTCAATTTCTTGCAGGACCGAAGACCAAAGAGTGCAAGAGTAGCGTCTCCTTCACATAGAACTGCTGTTAGTAATGTTGTGAGAAAGGTAGGTTAAAACCAATTCTACCACCAAGTGAAAGTGTGCAAGCCATTCATAATTCAGTCTTAATAAAGTAAAGGTTGTTTGGCAAATAAAGATTTCTCCTTAGTGATTTCTTTGACCCCCGAGAGTGACAAGCATCTAATTTCTCCTTACAATTTCATCCCTGAATCACACATTAAGGTCATGAGAATAAAGGAAATGATCACCAACTAAAGAAGCTCTTGATTGTTAAACAAATTCTCCTATTCAGTACATTAGGAAATATATAGAGGACAGAAAGGAGAATATGCATACTGATGTTTGGGCGTAAAGGGTTAAATGTTTGCTCAACGGTGCTCTCTAGGTGCTCAAGCAGCTGCCATTTGAGTTGGTTATCCTTTTTTTGAAGCGGTGGCCACTTTATTTTGACAAACAGTTGAATACTAGTCTTGATCTTAAATAAGTTTTAGATGGCTTGTGCCAACTAGTTATTCATTGTTATTATTATTATTTTTTTTATATAATTTTTGTCTGGCTGCAAAGAAACCTTTGGAGAACCTGGGTTCATTCAAGTAGACTTGTAAATGAATTGGAAATTTTGAAAATACAGAAGTATTTTATTTCAGACTCGACGGCAAACCAGAAGTTCCACTCCTCAGCCATTAGCTCCTTGTGTTGAGAATGTAATCCAAGAAGGGTCATCTACTCAACAAAGCAATGAAGGGAGGGGTCAGGCAAAGCTATCACCTGTCCAGGGTGGTATGGGTAAGTAATCTGTACTCATAAACTGTCTTCATTGACAGTTGAGCTCTGCCAAAGGAAATTTTATTTGAATGGAAAGTTTACATGTGAATTGCTGGTTCTTTATGTTAGAAATTGAGGGAAGTATTAAGCTTGAAGTTGGAGGAAATTCTTTGTAATTATTTGCATTAGACTCTAACCAGCTACTTTTAAATTATAGAATAACACACATTGCATCAAAATTGTTTTGTGTTTTATATGTAAATATAAAGTGACCTTGAAGAAGTCAGATCAATATCAGTATGTTAGCAACTGCCCACCTACCCCTCCCCTGACCCGTCAACAGTTAACTGATTACAAGTTAGAGCTAATGTTGGGTTAGGGGAGGGATAGGTGCATACTCGTTCTGATACTGATATTGATCCAAGAAAAGACAGCTCAGTAAAATGATTTCAAACTATGCATTGCATTCTTACTAATTTTCTTTACTTTTTTGGATTTTAGATGGGTTAATGGCACTTTTGAAGCAAATAGGACAGGCATATGTGCATCTTAGTTCCTATGAATGCAAGCAGGCATTGAATGCCTTTTCGTCATTGGCACCGCACCATTACAACACAGGATGGGTGTTGACTCAAGTTGGCCGGGCCCACTTTGAACTGGCGGAGTATCAGCTGGTACGAAGTTATTTCTTGATTTTAAAATCTTTCTTCTGGCTGTTATTCAATTCCATGTTACTTTGTCAACCCTTTGCACCCTAACATCAACATCCATATTCTCCATTCTCTTCTTTGTACTATTTCTTTGGCACTGACAAGGAGAATTTGTTTATCAATCTATGCTCTATCTATCTCTTTACATTTCCTTTGCCTGTGGTGAAGGATTTATTAAGACACCAGAAAAATTTCTGCTCTGTTTGACAAGCTTTTGATATACTTCATAAGATGCTTTATTATTATTATTATTATTATTATTATTATTATTATTATTGACAATCAACCTGACTCTTGTTGCAGGCTGAGAAAGTTTTCGCCAAAGTGAGACAACTAGAACCGTACAGAATTGAAGGTAAATAAGTTTGATCGTGTCCTTTCCAACATATTTTCCGCCAAAAGAGAAGAAAATACCTAAATCACTTATGCATATCTATTTATCCTCCAGGAATGGAAATCTATTCCACGACATTATGGCATTTACAAAATGAGGTGTCCCTCTCGGCTCTGGCGCAAGAATTGGTAGAAACTGACCGTACCTCCCCTCAGGTAAGGATTTTTTTTTAAGCTCGCGTTGGAATGCGAACAACTTACTCATTTCATCCTGCTAATGTAAGTTCTCAAACGGATGATGTAATTGTACGAGTGTTTATTTTTTCTCCTCAGGCTTGGTGCGCTACCGGCAATTGCTTTAGTCTACAAAAAGAACATGATACTGCCATCAAGTTTTTCCAGCGCGCCGTTCAGGTCAACCCAACTTTTACTTACGCTTACACGCTGCTGGGACACGAGTACGTTCTCACGGAAGAACTTGATCGAGCCATGTCGTGTTTCCGCCAGGCTGTCAGGACAGATTCGCGGCACTATAATGCATGGTAAGTTAGTTGCCCAGCTTGTGTAGCAATTATTAGCTGAGTGTCGAAAGTGATCTGAGACTGCGTCGGTTTTGTTTACCTCGCTCTGTGATTGGTCAAGAAAATTCCCGATCTCTTCGCAACCAGCCAGATGCAAAATTTGAGCCAATCGTGACTTTGGTCACTCGCGTTTTCCCGCGCTTCCTGTAGTGTATTTCTTTTTGCCCTGATTTCTGAATGGCCCCTTCTATATTTTCCTTTTTCGTGATTGGCCTTAGTGATGACAAGGAGCCAATAAGAACTCAATCGAAAAAACAAACAAGTTGCCGGGAAAACGCGATTGGTTCCGGTTTTACTTCTGATTGGTCAATAGTGAAGGTGGCTTGATTTATTTCTACCAATCGGTTCATTGCAGTGAACTCTCACTTAAATGGACTCCTTTAAGTAATTAGCTCCAAATATGAAGAACTGAAGAACTATACCATTAGGGTTGTCTCGAAGTGTTCATTTTATAGAGATACCTGTCATATAGAGTCATCTGTTAAGAAAGACTTTGCCGGAACTCTAGGGAAACCATAAGTTTTTTTTTCCTTGAGGGCCTTGAACTTGTCCAAGCTGGAAGTGGCTCTGGCGTTGATTATGTAATAATTTTTTTCTCTGTTTTCTAGGTATGGTATTGGTATGATATATTACAAACAGGAGAAGTTTAACTTAGCTGAAATCCATTTTAGAAAAGCTTTGTCGATAAACCCATCAAGTTCTGTGCTGTACTGTCATGTCGGAGTGGTAAGTTGACTAAACCCTCGGAGGCGGGATCGCCGCAATTGCTGTAGTTAAAATTGGTAGGTTTTTAGGGAACAAACTAGTTAAAAGAATCTTTTGGGCGAAGAAGGTTAACGAGAAACAAACTTACAGAAAATTTACAGACCTCTAACTATGTCTAATTGTAAATAAATGATAATGTTTCCTGTCAGTGCCATTGTGGACGGCAGAGACATGCGAAAAAGCGGGCTGACTTTTCCCCAAAAAAAGCACTAACCGTCGTTCGCCCGCTGTGCAGCTTGTCTCGGCTGACCGATAGACAGGTAGCACGTTTTAATTTTTAGCGCTTCAGAGCGCACATTTTCCGCCTTCGGGAACATTTGAGACGAGTTGGGGAGAGCTTTACCAGAGGTCTGGTACTAGTAATTAGTGCCAGGTCCCTTGCAGACCTCTCACTGGCTCACGTTGCTCAAGGCCTTATACACAATAACATCAATATTCCTATTCTCCACACTGTTCTCTGTACATTTGCTAAGGTGCTGACATGGAGAATTTGTCTAACAATCAAGAGTTCCTTCAGTTGGTGATCATTTCCTCTAATCTTATTAAATTAATGCTAGATTCAGGGGTGATATTGTAAGGAGAAATTAGATTCTAGTCACTCGTAGTGATTAAAGGGTTAACGAGTACCTGCTCGCAGGCTAACTGACCGACAGCCTGAAAGATAATTTTCCTATATCTCGCGCAGGTACAACACGCAATGAAGAAATCTGATGCCGCGCTTGTTACCATCAACAAAGCCATGAATATTGATCCGAAGAATCCGCTGTGCAAGTTTCATCGCGCTTCAATTTTATTCTCAATGGATAAACATAAGGTATGGAGCAGTTCTTCGTCGCCTTTGATTTTAGGACGTGGTCGACAACTAGTGCAAGATTTGATTTCAAGTTCAAAGCGAAAAGTGCGGGAATGTATTGTTTGCGAAGCTACTGTTTTGCTCTCCACTAGCAGCCAAGTTTACACAAGTATCGGTACTTTACATAAATGAGGCCTTTATGATAAAAATCATATCACTAGTTTTGTTTTGCGCTGTGCTATTTTTGCAAAAAAAACTCTTCCTGACGGCTGTTGCGTTTTTTCCCGCCAAGATGAGGCAGTTTCGCGCGTACCTAATTAATCACAACTGGATGTATGGTACGGGAAAGTTTTATACTCGTTCTCGAATCTCTATATCTCAAATGTGTTTTAAAACAGCTGCGTTGATTAGGTAAGTAGAGTAGAAACACCCTTAGTCATTTTCTGTTTGCCTTAACATCTTTTACGTTCTGTACTTCTCGTCAGGAGGCGCTAGAAGAACTCGAGGAATTAAGGAAAATTGTGCCTCGAGAAGCTTTAGTTTACTTTTTACTTAGCAAGGTAAGTTACTTTTATTAGCAATTTCACCATTTTATTCCAATCGCAATTTGTTTTGGTTTAATGTACAGTGTAATTTAATTAATTTTATGACAAGTTTATCGCCGCTTACACCGCAATTTTCGATTGATTTCCGTAAGTTTTCTTTGCTCTATGATTGGTTTAGAAAACCTCCGTCACTCTCGCGACCAATCAGATGCAAGACTCGAACCGATGTTCACTTTAGTGTTCATGGGTGTTTTCCTGCGCTCTAGATGATTGCTTATTTTTACTTTGGGTTCTATGCTACACGTGACATTTTCCTCTGTTCTGATTGGTCGCTCTCATCACTGCCCCTGGTTTGTTCAACCACACAAAATTAATTTTATTCTCTTAAAATGCGTGCCTTTCCTCATTGATATTTACAGGTTTACAAAAAACTTGGGGAAAATCACTTGGCACAGATGAATTTCTCGTGGGCGATTGACTTGGATCCGAAGGGTGCAAACAATCAAATTAAAGAAGCCATTAACAAGCGATATCTCCCGGATGATGACGACACAACCATGGGACTTGACACCGCTGATACTATGGATCAATCTGTGGGCGTAAACGAACTCTCTGACGAAGACGAGGATTAGATTGTAAACGAACCTAAAATAGCTGCTTTTGAACTGTGGGTTGAAATATAGGGACTGTATTTGATTTTGAACATTAGGAAAATGATTTTCAAATGAAATTTACCTTCGAGCTTCATTAAAAGAGAGTTATGCTCCAGAAACTAAATGATTAAGTATTATTAAGTTTGCTAGTTGATTGTCGTGTACACTTTGAAATGTTGCGGATGAAAATGATATGGTCTCTGGAGCATACTTCTCCTTTTGAAAATTTTTTAACGCGGTTTTGCATCAATTGGAATCTCCGTATGTTTATACGAAGCTTACAGGAGCGCAACGACCCTGGAAAATATCAGGCTACTTGTTTCATGGTACACTTTTTGTCACTGAGATATCTTCATGAAGCAATTTTCAACTGGGTGTCATAAAGGAGCAAGCAGTTATGCCATTGACACAGATATCGAGAAATTATGAGTTTGAGAGTAAAATTCTCATTGTTTTAGTATTTCTAATCACTCTCGCGCTAAGTCGATTATTATCTAGAGAAGTGATGCTTGGGGAAAATATCCGGGAGATTAGCCTCGATGGGACGTGAAACGGTGGGGTAGGGAGGACTGGGCGACTTGCTCCAGTATCACTCCTTGATACAAGAGGTGGCTGCTTATGGGGAATTGTATCGCTAGCTAACAGCAAGTAAAAGAAATTAAACTATTAATTAGATATTGGATGTTTTATAAAGTAATTAATTTAGGTTTGATATCGGAAGAGAGACTTACGTCGCATGTATCATATAACAACATGCATCAATTTAATGTGTATTTTTTATGATTGCAATTCACAATTTGTCGACTTTCGTCATCAATAACAAGTTTTTTACGCCAGCTTAAATGCGGTACCATTGTTATTGATTTATCTCGTTGATTAAATTTGGACACAACTTGGTTAAATGTTTCTTTCATCAGATACACTGAGTTTGTCCCCCCTCCCCTCCCCCCTTAGAGGGCTGTACGAAAAGACTTACCCAACAACACAATCCAAAAAAGCCGAAGCCCACCCCTGTTCGAAGTGGTAAGTTTCTAAAGAAACTGTGGTGCTGTGTCGGCAGGGGGTATTTAAAGATAATTTTATTTCATCGAATGAGTTGATAATGTTAATTGGCTATCGTTTCGAACGTTAGCCCGTCGTTCGAACGAAACCCTTTCCCTATGTAATCTCCATTTTTGTTGCATTTTATTAAAGGTTATTTTATTTTCGGGATTTTTTCGTAAAGGACTTGTTATTTTTGAAGATCAATTTAAGTCCACTTAGATTCAAACCATGATTTTCACACCACACAGATTTTTTTTGTAAAAGCTTTTTTGGGAGTGGAGTTGCTTTTATCAGTGTCCGATATCGAAATCGAAACTTCGGGGACAAATCCCTAAATTTGTTTGTCAACGCCTTAACAAATGTAGGTCATATGAATACGCCACTTCCTTCACACGGAGAAACATAAGAGGTGTTACGTCTAAATCTCGTGAGGACCACGACGCGAAAGATACCAAAATTTGGTATTCGCTTTTATTTTTTTGATATAGTGGACTTGGAAAATATCATTGACTGAGGCGCTCCCTCGCATTTTTCGTGGAATTAGCAGAAATGCTGTTAAAGCTACTTTCACACGCGGTGAAATGAACCGTCTGTTTAAAAGCGACCAAAGTTAGTAAAAGATGACGTAATGTTTTTGTTCCAAATGTGGGGTGGACTGGAATTGAGTTGTAGTCGCAGGGGCTTCTGTAGTCACGCGGGTCATTGTGGTCTTGTTCTGAACTGAAACTTGTACTTTGGTGCGATATCAGCCTATTTTTACCGAATTCATCGCATCTAATCGCTCGGAACTTTAATTAAAGGTAAGTTCATAGCGTTATTAGAAGGTCTGTGCTGGTGTGTAAGCCAGATTTTACCTTGTACTGCTTTATTTTGTTGGAAATTCGGAAGGAAGTTAGTCGATGCGTATTTTACATCGCCGCCATATTTGTATCTCTGACACGTTTAAATCGACAAGATGGTTGTAAGATTTTCTTGTTATTATTCCCTAACATCTCTTTGTGTTTGAGAAAGAACTGCGGATTATTTTGATTGCCTTGTTCGGGATGTCAGTGACAATTTCGGCGTTTCGTCTGAAGCTAACCTTACCGGAAATTCACGAACGTTTGACTCATCTTTACGTATATTTATGAGAATGACGTTTAATTTTTGCATTTGGTCATGCTCGAACGCTTCTTTTTGAGCGGATTTTGCTCATCATAATTATGTTCTGTTTCAACTCGAAAGCTCTGTATTACAATTTTTCTTTCGCAGATGGAAGTAGTCGTGAAACCACCATTTGTGTCATGTATTTCGTGTCACATAGTTATATCAACAACTTTCCTTATTTGAGAAACTAATGTTGTTTTCCTGGCATGGAAATTTTCTTTTGTTTGTATTAAAAAATTTGAATCATCCTAAATTAGGCTGCTATCCTTAGCTGCCAGGATTTCGGATTAAGAGCTGTGCTAAAGTAAACTTCGCGCAGTTGAGGTGTTACAAGCTCCCGAGTGGAACTTGAACCGGCTATGCCCCTTCGCACTTTGTGCGTTCAGTTGAACAACATGCAAATTTTTCGACATAACGCCCTTAAGTAAATTTTTCTGTTTCCAAAATATCTTAATTACGTAAGGCTGCGATAAAAATTATTTCATCGTCAACGGTGCGAGATACACCGTGTTTTGGCAATATGTAATGGAATATTTAACATTGAGTTCAATTAAGCTGAGCTTACTTGCACTGTATTTCGTAATATCATTTTTAATCCGACGTCTTGCATCTTTTTTTGTGGCCTAGAACATTCCTTTTGTATTACAAGTCTGTCTCGTAGTTTATTCGAATTTAAATGTTGTACGTTCCAAACTACAAAGCTTAATATATTCGTTAACATATTCGTTAACCATGCAATCTTAATTCGTTATGTAAATACAAGCCTAAAACATAAATTTAGAAAAGTTGATTGCTTGGAAAAAGTTATGTTGAGATGATAATGTTACCCAGGGCAGTGAATCATTTTGGCTGTTATTTTTCCCAGTTGTCTTAACTATCCTGTAATGTCCTGATAGGAGAAAGTGTCATTTGAATTTTGCCTTGTCACTGTTTGCTATGTCAACTGTTTTGTGATCAACCTTACCAGTCCCAAGAGATTTTCATTCATTCTGATCAAAAGAATTGTTTCTTAAGACTGATATTTTGAAGATAAATTCAAAGCCCAGGAGATATTTGGTACACAAGTTTATAGACCAAGGTTATCCTCTGGAATCTAATATTTCTTAGCTTTCTGGTTCAAGTTAGCAGAATTTGACAAAGAGCCATGATATTGTATATTCTCCTTGTAATAATTCTTTACCAAACTTTTCTCTTTTATAATTTTTTTAAGAGGGCTGTTTACAGGATTACTCCCTTAGAAGATTATGTATTGACACTTATAGGTTTGATCTTCAATAAATCCACATTTTAAACTGGAATCGTAAAGCTTTTACACCTAGAACAGTTGGACATTTAAGGACTTTCAATGGCTGCGAGGGGAACGGCACAGCGCCCCAATGGAGCTGTACAAGGAAAGATATGCCAGTTTAAGTTGGTACTTTTAGGTAAGAATTATTTTGACACAGTTTGGTGTCAGTGTGTTATTGGATCTGTAAAGAACTCTACCTGGTTTACATGTGACATATATCTTGTATACTGCTGTAATGGACAATTTTGAAAGACATAGTTGTGTAGTCCAAACAATGATAAAAAAAATCTTGGATCCTGTTGAGTTTGTTGTTTAAACCTTTTAAAGGCAGCTCCTCTTGCAGAGCTGTCAAAAAGATTTTGAGTAACTGGACTGTGATATAAAGTAGACCACATTAAGGATCACAGGCCCTTCTACAGGTAAGGGCTTGGAGGCTGCTGAGGCCCTAAATTGTTCAAAATAGCTGGTGCATTTTTCAGAGTAAACTTTGAAATGCATCAGTTGCCAGCTTATTTTGACAACCCTCACTTGTATTTTTTAATGAGCAACTATATCTGGGCTCCTCACTCGATGAATTGCACTCAGTTTGGTTATACATGTACACCATACCTTATCTGAGCTGAGAGGAGAAAGGAAAACAACAGCTCTGTCAAAAGTCACTTTTGTGTTGATCAATTGCCTTGAGTGAAAGAGGACATTGCATCATTTTTTAACATTTTTGACAAAATGAGGTGCATGATTTCATGTTTTTATGTGTTTGATTTCTAATGAAGCAGTAATTTGATTTTGATTTAATCAGAAAAATAAAATTAAATCTGCAAAACTTAATGTTAACTGAGTTCTCTTTTGATAATTTTACATGACAATTTTTGTGTAGCCTGCTTACAATGTTATCTTGGATCTCACAGGTGAATCTGCTGTTGGAAAATCAAGTTTGGTTCTGAGATTTGTCAAAGGGCAGTTTCATGAGTATCAAGAAAGCACAATTGGAGGTGAGTAGCTTGGAATTTTTCTCTGTGTGAAATGGGATGGCAAAAATTTTCAACTGATTGATATTTCTTCTGTATTTTCAGCGGCATTTTTAACACAGACAGTGTGTCTGGATGACACCACAGTCAAGTTTGAGATCTGGGACACAGCAGGTCAAGAAAGGTATCACAGCTTAGCTCCAATGTACTACAGGGGAGCACAGGCAGCAATTGTTGTTTATGACATCACAAACCAAGACACTTTTGGCCGGGCAAAAACATGGGTGAAAGAGCTTCAGAGACAGGCCAGCCCTAATATAGTCATAGCACTTGCAGGCAACAAGGCAGACCTTTCAAGCAAGAGGATGGTTGAGTATGAGGTATATAGATCATTGTTTATGTGATTTATTGATCAATCCTTAGAAGTGGAGCAGTGAAAGGGTTAAATTTAACAGATAATCTAGTGTTAACAACTGAGTTGAAAACATAAATTGGCCACTGTAAAGAGTTTAAAGGCTGTCGTTTCAAGCGTTAGCCCTTCATCAGAAATGCTTGAAATGTCAGCCTTTAAACACTTTACGTTGGCCAATTTATGTTTTCAACTCAGTTAACACTAAATTACCTGTTGTACTCTCCCACTGATGCAGCACCACAGTTTCTTACTTACCCCCTTTAACATTTGAATTTGTTCTGCTGATTAGGATGCTCAGTCATATGCAGAGGATAATGGTCTTCTATTCATGGAAACTTCAGCAAAGACTGCCATGAATGTGAATGATATCTTCTTAGCAATAGGTGAGTTTTTCATTTTCTCGTCAAGCGACCTGCTTGTGTGTTTTAACACTTATATCCGTGGCTAAAGAATGGCTCATCATTGATTGTTTTTTGGTTTTTGACTTTATTTTCAAATTTAACTGTGCAACACAGGCTTTCCATTTGAAAATGAATTAGCAGAAGGATATTATAGAGTAGCAGTGAAATGTCTTCTGTCCCTGTTATATTTGTAGTGGTAATAGGACCAATTGGAGTCCAATTCAGTCTGTAATCATACAAGTGATTAACAAAATTGGACAACTGCAAAGCGGGAGTTTGATTTGTTAATTACGAGTATGATTACAAACAGAATTGGACGATGTGAAGTCCAGGTACCAGTCAATCAAAATTATGACAAAATTTGAGGAAAAAACTAGACATCGGTTTTACATTTTCATAAAAAAGAACCACAGATAACTCAGCGAAATGCAAGAAAACAGTGCACATACATAACGTGTTCTGTCTGCTTACATGGGCATGATCTGTTAACTGTCCCTTTAACTGTCCTATTACATTGTTCAATTACAAGCATGATGCATACACTGTCTTATCAGTGATCAAATTGGTCTGGTGATAACCAATCATGAGAATTTTGGTGTAGTTTTAATTAAAGAAGTAATCAGTAGTGGTATCATTGAAATTTTTCATTATAGCAAAGAAATTGCCCAAGAGTGACACCACAGCAGCAGGGCCTGCAGCTGGTGGACGACAGCCCAGAGGTGTTGACCTCAGGGAGCAGAATGAACCACGAGAAAGTGGTTGCTGTAAATAGTTACTCTTCAGAAATCCCCTCTTATACAAATCATGTATAAATGAACAATGAACAAAGTGCAAACTAGAATGTGGGTAATGTTACACAAGCAAGATCAACAAACTGCCCTGTGCAACATTAATAGTAAATGTACACACTCTTTCCTTTAATATGCAGTAGTGATTTAACTTAGCATGCAAAAAAAAAAATTGACCAATTTGTTTGTAACGTAAGGTGACAAACTCTTGTTGTAATATGAGCAATAGTGAGAGTAGCTGATAATGATCATTTGTGGTGTAAGATTTTTGTGGCAATAGTTATGTTTGTTCATCTTGTCTGTGCTTTGTGTAAACTCAGCCCTCCCTACATTCCATTTCTTTTACTAACTTTTTATATATCAAATTTAAGTAGAAAAGGACTGGGTCTATTGATCTAAGGAAAACCTACTTGATCTTAAAGTCTTAGCAGACATTTGCAAAATTTGCACAGAAAAGTGTAATAAAAACTTTAACAGTGATAGGAATTTTTGAAACTCCCAGTGGCTTGTCAGGTAGTATGTTAATATTGTGTTGCAGAGAAAGAAGTTAAAAAGTCTTCCAGAGAGCTGGCATGAACTGTTTCACTCCAAAGACCCTATAACTAAATTTCTTTTCTGTGTTACATACATTTTCTCATATCTTAACTCTGAAATTCTGGTCCCACACCAAGCCAAATTCTCCTTAAGTAGAAGATTCTCTCTCTTCTTGTACCATTCCAGCCTAAAAGCATATCTATTTTGTAAGGGGAAACTACATATTCATCTCTCAACCCCTGGGAATCATAGGGTGTAATTATGGGTTGTGTTTGAAAGACCTCATTGAAGAGTTAAGATCCTGTGCAACTTGATTACATTAACAGCGGTGTATTCCTTTTAAATATTTGCTGGGAAAAGTTAAAGAGAATTAATTACAGCACCTTTGTAGAATGATGAGGGATATTTACGCAAACAAGTTTCTGTGACTGATCTCTTCAATAAGCTTCTTCAATTGTACCTTGTGAAAAACCACTGGCTTGCGAATTGTAGCTTAGTTTCCCTTGTGTTTCCAGCCTTCACAAGTGTACTACTGGTGCTACGGCTCTCGATAAAATGACAAGTCTACAGTCTTAACTAGGCTCGTTGTTTGAGTAGTTTGTGGCAGTCATAGAATTTAGGATACTTGTAATAAAATATGGTACTGACCTTTGTCTGCACCTCTTTTTTGATATCTTAGGGTGTTCATAATAATGATATGGTGAAGTTTTGTCTAATAAATTGAGTATGGTAGATTGTCAGTTGTACTCAAGTAGGTCATGTTTGTGTACATTTAACTGTAACTTGATTGATGGGATTCAATGTTCATGGGTTTTTTGCTACCAAAAGTCCCTTTAAAGTGTTGCTATGGTGTTACTTTGTTGTTGGTTTTATTTTGCCGGGTAACAGGTCAAATACGTAACAAAATCAATTTACCTTAAAATGATATTATTATACAATAGAAAAACATAGTTGTTTCCGCTTTAAGTTGTTCTTTCTTTCTGAGATTTTGTTTTTCAAGTTGTCAAAGCCAGATTATGTCGGGTTAAAAAAAAAAACAAACAAAAAAACAATGCAGCACTATTACTTGTGAACTAAAAATGTCCTTGAAAAGAAATCTGTGATTCAGTATTTTTTTTTTCCTCCTGAGAACAGTGTGGTCTACATAATTACAACGATCTGTAAAAGATATGCTATTCGTCATCGTCATCTGATTCCTCAGAGCTCTCCCATCTGCTATGCACAGTGAGAGTAGAGTCAGTGTCTTCAATTTTCTCCTCCTTTGGTTTTTTCTTCCTTGCTCCCAAGAAACAGGCGATCAGGGCAATAAGAAACAATGTCCCACCTCCAGCCGCGCCCCCAATCGTCATGATCTTCTGTATTTTTTGTTTCTGTTTGTATGCCAGGTCCTCGACACACTCGTGACCATCACCAGCAAATCCTTTCACGCAAGTGCAAGTGTAGGAACCTCTTTCATTTTGACAGACGGCTTTGTGGTGACACGGTTCATCTTCACATTCGTCTATGTCTACAATTGTCACAAGAGAATATAAACAGAAACAAAAAAGTAAAACAAAAGAAAATATTTGAACTGATATTCAAGCCGATGGCGCAGGCTTCAAGGTTATGTGTGTAACCCACCCTAAAAATATTCAGCCACTATCAAGTTGGGGGGGGGGGCAGGGGGGGTCACAGCCTTCCACTTCTCGTACCACGTTCACACGCCTCCCCGTACATTTGTGCCTCTTAGCCTCCCTACTCCCACTTATTTTCTAGCGTTGCATCTTTCTGGGGAAGGGAGGTAGTGTTTTTCAAGATGAACATTATTACAGGTCAGTCCAGTTTATCACTCTAGCTGTTTCAAATGTTTACTTGCATTTAGAAATCCCTAATATGCTAGGAATCATTCCATTTTGAAATGAAACCGACGTAACGCGAAGAGTTCGGTACTCCTAAATCCCTTTTTCAAGTTTTCCTAGGTGCATATCAATCGTTGGAGCGTGTGCGATAGAACTTGAAACGTTTGTATGCGCATGCGTATTGGTATCTCCGACCTACTGTCTCACTTTGGTAACGCCATATCGCTGAATAACGTGCTCGTACCTTCACAGTAATCCGCCTCCAAAAACATTACAAATCCTCGAGGACATTTGCACTTATAAGAACCTGGTGTATTTTTACATCTTGCTCCTTTTCGCTTGCATTTTGTTCGAATATCTCCTTTCTGACATTCGTCCAAATCTGCGAGTTAACAAAATATTTATTATTATTTATTAATGTTGTAATTTACTCTACAAAATAAATAGGGAAGCTGGTCATATCTCGAAAGCAGTGATTTCTCGAAAGATCCTTCATATTAACTTTTACGACAATTTTTTTCTGTATTTTTTAAGGTCGTTCTCTCTCCTCAAACACTGCATTCGTGAAAGATTGTGTAAATAATTCAGAAGTATAAATGTAGGGAGAAATTGGATGCTGGTCACTCTTGAAGTTTAAAAGTTTTTAACCCTGTTACTACCAGGAGTGACAAAAAAATATTTCCCCTTACTGTATCAAATACATTTATCTTCATTTATAACTGAGATACTACGAGCCTCCTGATTGGTTAAAAACCTATCGTATTATATTGCACTGGTAAACGCATAGAAAATGATCTCGAAAAGTTTGCAAATCAATCGCCTGCGGCACGTGATTTTCAAACTTTCCTCGTGTTCTCTTAACTGTCCGCGTAGGCTATTGCGCCGGTAAACTGATAATAAGCATCCTATACACGGCTGGAGTCAACGATATCGAGAGAGTAAAGAAAGAGGGCAAACTATGAACTCGGTTGCAAAATGAAAATTAAATACGTAGAAACAAAGGGAAGAGAACATAGATTTGCATTTTCTACCTTGACAAGAGTCTCCAAGTGTCGTAAATCCTTCCTTACAAACACAGTGGTAGGTGTTATTTTCTCCCTGCTTCACACATTGTTTGTGTTCGCCACATTCCTCCTTTGCTTCAGGGGCACAGTTACTGCTTACTGTAGGAAATCGGTCAGGTGAAAAAAATAATTGTTGGTCGTGTTGCATGTAATGTCGCTTTGATCTTATATCACAAAGGATACGTGGAGGGGACATACATGAGGCATGGACAACCCGTTACGTTCTTACCACATGGGACGGGTTTGGCAGGAAATGCCGAATTATAGTACCCACATTCTACTTGTGTTATTGGCATGGCTTTAGTCAATTTGGGTACGACATTTTAGTCGTTTCATTCGCCATAGAGGACTTAGAAACAAAATCAATAATTTTCCTAGCTCCCCTTAAATCTTTCAATCTCCTCTGATGTAAAGACATTTTAATTCTATAGAGTCCTACTGCATGAGCAGAGTAACATATAAATAAAATGGTGTTAGTTAGAGGCTGTTTGCTTGTATTTGCTTCAAATCACTCGCTCTGTGATTTGTCTAAGAAACTACCACCCCTCTCGACCAATCAGCAGGAACAAAACTAAAAGCGACTGCAACTTAGTCTTTCACGTTTTCCTGCGCTTCAGACAAATTACGTTTGAGCTGTCGTTGTGAATTTTCCCTTTGTTCTAACTGGCCGTTGTGTTAACTCTACCTTCACTGATTTACTCGACATGCAATCGAACAGGGCTTTAAGTGGAATCAGAAAAAAAATATTTGGATTGATAGTAAGGTCCATAACTTAGGATTGCGATTTCTCTATTTGCCAACCAAATTTCAACATTCAAAAGGGGAAAAAATACGAAAATAAAGACCATTTGTTGCTTATTTTATCGGAATATTTGAGCAGAAATGTAAGTGACTCACCTTCGATAACAGATGTAATGAAAACAAAACCAGTCAAAAGAACTATGAGCAAGGAAGTGTTTTTCATCGCTGCATTTTAAAACCTGCTGTATCTGGACAAAGAACTATGCGTCAGTGGTTGGCACAAGTGAAACTAAATCAGACTACAAACAATATGAACGTTTCAGTGCTCTTAAGCTGTGCAAATTATACCGCAATAATCAAACTGCACTGTTTTACCACTTGTCTTGTTTTTCTTAGTAGTCCTTTCAAAGAATGTCTCGTAAACCACCACTATTGATGATAACGTTCTTCACTGACACTAAATAAGGTTGACCTTTCAGCTTTGTCAAAGTTTGAAAACTGCTTCGTTTTTAAACGCGCGTGATAAACCGTTTGCATTCGCTGACCGTGCGCGCACTTATTGGAAGAAGGATTTTCGCGCGCAATCGCGACAACGTCATGAACTTGAACTGACAAACAAAAATATATTGTACCTTTGCTTTTCGTCCGAAAGAAGTATCACCTAAAATATTTTCCCGATCTTAACTGCAAACCGAACAAGGCGCACACATACACGTCACAATATTGTTTTCATTATTAGAATGTAATTATGTAATTAACGTGCTCTCTGCACGAGTTCGTAGGCAGACATTTCTTTGCGCCGAAAATCGAAGTTTGAAGTCATTGAAGACTATTTTGCATTGTAATTGAAGGTAACAAGGCATCATGGAGAGGAAATCCACTAAAAAGCTGCAACACTTTCTCATCCAATGAAAAATGGGCATGTTAATGAAATATTGTCAGAGTCGCACGCTTTTACGAAGTCACGTACGGTTTTTAGTCATAACCCTACAACCTATGTACTTTATTTGTTCAACAATTCATAGTATGTAAACGTGTTTTTTTTTTTTGAACGGCGCAAACAAACTTAAAGTTTAGAAGGTTTTTTTTTTCATTCTTAATCAAATGTGAAGGATTTCTCTTCTGCAACCCCGCTTTGTTATGTCAACTTCCTGTCATCTAAAATGCCCTAAAATGGATCAAATGTGTACCGCGTGGTTGGTAGACTTATTTTGCTAATATTTATTTATCTTGAAGTTCAACTGTACAGTGAAATTCGGTCTAAACGATATGCTACTTTCATCATTTTACTTGCAAGTTGAAATGATGGTTTTGGGACAAAGGTAGTATATTACAAGAGCTTACATGACGTTGCTGCAAGTATTTTGAGCTAAGCACGAATCTTTCAAGAATATTGATATTCCATACATATGATATATTCCTGAGTGCTCTAAACCTGGAGTTATGTTCATCGCCGGGAAATATTAACAAGTGATACAGAAAGTAACACATCCAGGGGTGCTGTTGGTATAAAAACTCCATTTACGAAAAAGGAGGCTAAGGTCCAAACCTTGTAGAAAATATGTATTAAACTTGTTAAATTAACGACAACATTTGGCTAAAACAAAAACTCTGAAACTTCTTAAAATTTCAAGTTTTGAACGAAATTGGCGCGCGGAAAGTGTCCATGTCAGTCGTCCAATTTTTGGACGTGATTGGCTAATTTGTGAAATCACGTGCGGCGCGTAAATACAAAAATAATTATAACCATTACAAATTCCACAAACATTATTATTGATGCATTCGCAGCTTCATTTTTCACTTATCATTCTGTACAGTTGTAATCGGACAGTTGGCTGTAACTGGACATCTGTAATCGGACAGTTGAACCAGCCAATCATACTAGGTTCACTCAGCTAATCCACCAATCACAGAAAAGAACAAAAGAACCATAGCAACAACCACTTATCCAAGGAAAAACTGGGGACTTTCCAAAACAGAAGAACTTTTAACTTAAGACATTGTCTCCACTGGAGATATTTGTTCAAGGTGTATTTTTTCGTTTCGGAAATTGAAATGGTTATGATTAATTAGTAACAAGGCTTCTTGTCGTCCAATTCTGTCTGTAATCATACTCGTGATCAACAAATTGGACTCCTGCTTTGCAGTCGTCTGATTTTGTTCGTCACTCATATAATTACAGACCAAATTGGACTCCATTCGGTCCAATTACCATTACGATTACAAAGGGGGGAGAGGAAAAGATAAATCGTTATTTGAAATTTAAAAACGAGAGATGTTTTCTTCACTTGGGTCAACCTCCGTTTGAAAAAGACATGTTTTCTATCTTTTTTGACCAAAATAGCAGTTGCTATTGAAGCTGACTATAAAATCTGTGCAAAGCAGGGCTATCAAAGATTTAAAGAACATGTCGCAATGTATATATTTTTACTATAATCAGCATATAATATAAATAATTACAGATATATTCATATGTGTAATTGTATAACATTATTAAGCATTTTAATGTTAAAATTTTCACTCTTATCTAATAGCCTTGAAATTTTCAATTTGTCTTCTTCATTGATTACTTTTATTTTACCATTATTCACAATTATTATCATTAATGGTTTTCCTTAACATATAAAGACTATGCCTGGTTAACTAACATTTCAACCAGAACTATATTCTAACGAGCTTCTTAAAAAAGCGCAAAAAAATTTTCCCAAGCAGAATTTTACTCCAAGCCACCATAAAAAGCTCTTTTTTTTCTGTGATTACATTTGAAGTGAATTAATTACAATTAAACAAAACATATTCTTGTATTTACAAAGAATGCTGGCATAAAGCTACTGATGACCTGGCAGTTCTATACCTGGGCCATGTTGTTGAAAGGGCAAATAATACTATCCAAAAGGTAAATCATTATCCAGCCACTAAGTGTTATGGGTTAAAAAACAGACAGCCCCATTCACCAGATAGAGATTTACCAAGCAGATAGTGTCATCCACCCTTAAAAATGCCAGAGCCACCTATCGCTCTCTTTTAACTCTTTAACTCCCAAGATCTGATTGCTAATTCTCCCCTCTAGCTGCTACACATTTCCTTGTAAATTAGTTACAGGAAATTGGTGTTAGATCAAGATGACAACTTATTCCTGATAAGTTTGAGTATTCTCATTACATGTTTGGAGGATAATGTATGGATATTATAGGGAGAAGTAACATGTTGATCACTTTGGGAGTTAAAAAGGTTAAGGAATACAGGACATTTCGCACAAAAGACTTTTCACACATTGTGCGAAATGACCACTAAGAATTGTGCAAACGGTCCAAAACTTGTGCTAAAAGACTTGTGCAAAAAGTCTTTTGTGCGAAATGTCCGGTTACCGGGTTAAGCAGTGGTCTCCACAGGGTTTGTTTCTTGAGATTTGTCTGCAAGCTCCTGCCCTTGAGTGAAAATCAAAGAACTGGTGGCATTCACTTGATCAGAAATGTTTATTGTATCACAGAAAACAAGTGAAGTGTTGAGCAACCAAATCACAAGTGACAAGTAAGCCAGGCCCTAGGAAGAAAAATAGAAAATTACAACTAGTTTTATTATTGGTAAGTTTTACTCAAGCCAAGAGGCACATTCAGCCAGAACTTATCCTGGTTTCCACAGCAGGAAGCAACTAGGATTATTACAACTGCCCCCTGATACCGGTGAATTGTCAGGGAAGGTGATTGAAATGCTGGGGGGGGGGGGGACCTTGTCCATTCCAAGGTACCCCCCCATCAGCATTTAATTCACCGGTATCCATTTATACTCTTGGATAGAGAGAGGCACTGAGAACTGAAATGTTTAGCCCTTGAAAATAACACAAATCTGGACTTTGGCCAAGACTCCAGCACAATAACCCTAAGGTCACCGCATTCAATTGGTGAGAGATACTTTTACCTTAATTGAATAAGAGAGATTGTAAGTTTTGAGCTCAGTAAAAGAAATAAAGAGGGGTTTTTTTTCATCTTGTCACCAGCATGGGACATAGAAAAAAAAAAACAGAGTCCCTGTGAGGAATCGAGCCTCAGACCTTCAGGTTCTGCGCTCCAATGTGCTACCACTGAGCCACAGAGACTCTATGGTGAGCGAAGCCCAATATGATGTTCATACATAACATGCATCCATACATACCACTATGATCAGTGATGTTGATTTACAAACATTGTAGCGTGGAATCCAAAGGTCTGAGATTTGATTCCTCATGGGGAATTTTTTCTTTGTCTCACACATGAGACAAGATGAAAAACATCTTTCTCTACTTTTAACTTATATCCACAAGGTGTCTTCACAATGAAGTATGAGAAAGGATTTTCACAAAGAAATGCAGAAATGAAACAAATGACATTAGGAGAGTTTGAGAGGAATCCCAGAAGAGGTACATGTCAATTTCTGGGTGTGGTGCCTTAGAATTACCAAATGTTAACCTGTTTCTGTTTGATGTGGGAGGTGCCAAACTCTTCAATCAGAACAATTATCATTAGATCCTGTAAAATGATCCCCTATGGGGGGGGGGGTTTTTTACCCTTGGGTTGAAATTAGTTACTGTAATAGTTGAATTATATAAAATTATTCACAATCATGGTCATTGGGAATGAGCTCACCACTGAAGCAAATAATGCTGAATAATCGGGTAAGAATTCCACACAGTTCTTGCAGCGCACTGGCCCCAATGTTGTGATGACATTTACAATTTCACCCTGGACTTCTTTTTTCAATTCCAGAATGTTGTACAACCAGAGGCTTGTAATTACTGCTACAAGTACTACCATCACAACTGAAATAAATACCTCCTGAAAGAAACCAATGTTGAATTAAAAAAAAACTCTGTTATCAGGGAGGTACCATCTAAAAACCTGTGAAATAGAAGTCTTCCTCAATCCTCAACCCTCAGAAGTGATTAATGTACAACTTCTCCCTATACTATTCATACATAATCCAGCAGACAGGTGAAGAGAAAACTCAAACTATCTGGTAGAAGTGACCTTGATCTGACACCAAATTCTCCTGTCTAACCTACAAGGAAATGTGTAGCAGCTAGAGAGTAGAATGAACAATCAGATCTCAGGAGTGGAGTTGGAGGGTTAAACACCTAAATTTCTCTCCAAGATTAATATAAAATTATGCAAAGTACCATCTTGACAAAACTCTTGATTATCAAACACAATACACAAGGAGATGTAAAAGACCCAGAGGAGAGAATCACAATTTAGATCTTGGCGGTTATAGGGTTGAACCATCAGCTGCCTTAGACAATTTCCCTCTTTGGAGTTGATTTCTCTCTATATCTGATTTGTAATTCTCCCTACTGGCAACTTGTGTTCCTTTGTAAATCACTTGGGAACAATTCAACAAAAATTAGGTAGAAAACATAAAATAATAAATTGTAATTTAGCAGTAGACCTTAACAAAGCAGGAGGAAAGAGAACCAGGGAACATAGACAAAACACAGAAAAATCTCTTCTGCAAGGACAAGAACTAAAAAAACAGATTCAACTTGCATGAAATCCCAGGTTTGGGGATCCCACTCTTCTGTTCAGACGAAGTGAACTTAAATCAAATAGAGCAAAATTTTCACTTACTGCAGCCGAAACTTTATTTGCCACTCTCTCATCTCTATGAATTGCACACGATATCAGCAGCATAGCTATTGCCAACAGTCCTGCTACTATGACAACACCAACAAACAACTGTGCGCAAACTTTAATGGCTGGGTCAAAGTTGAAGCTTGTGAGTGGCTCATCTTCGTCAGTGTAAACTGCAGTTTCATTGTTGTAATCAAAAGGGTATTTCACAGTGATATTAAAACTCTTATCGCTGTGTTCCTTGTATACCCCTCCCTTATCATTGTAAGTGATAACCAAAGGAGCAACAGTGAAGCTCAGAACCTGTAAGAAATGATTCAGCGTTAATCTTTAACCAAGACAGAATTTCTCCTTACAATACTAATACAATAACAACTAGAAAAGTGATGAGAATAAAGAAAAATATCAATTTGGGGAGAATTAGTTGATCCAGTACAAAATTCTCTGAACTAACATTATAAGAATTAAACGGCTGTTAATATAAGAAAGTCATATACTTGAACTGCGAAAAATAACGTGAATATGAAAGTAATCCTCAGAGGTCATGGGTTCAAATCCCATGCCGGCTTTAATTTTTTTTCAGGCCTTATTTTCACTGCTGCTCAAGTAGTGTTCATTACTGCGAAGATCACTTTCATATTCATATTATAAGAATTGTATGGTTGACAGTACGGAGAATTTCAAATTTGATCTGGGAGTTAAAGAGTTAATACCCTAACATTAATGTGCATATTCTTCATACTGTTTTCTATAAATTTCCTAAGGTACTGACAAAATGAAAACCTAGAGCTTTTTTTTTTTAATGGCAATCATTTTTAATCTTAGCGGTTAAAAGATTAATTAATGAAAAAATTCCAAGTGTTTTGTCACTCCCACAGATCCTTCCAAGATTTCCTCAATTCATTTTCTAAATCAATAGACCTACCATGGGGATTAAGAGTGCTGGTTAGGAAGATAAATTTTTGTTCGAGTGTTTTGCAGCTTTCCGAACTGCCTAGATGTAGGGAAAGGCTGCAAACTGCCATATGTAGTTTAGAATGATTAGGGAGATTAAAGTGTCTAGCAGCTGATTAGGATGCGCCCTTGTCATTTCTTTCTATGTCATGCAGGTGTTTTCGGAATTGGTCACCTTATCGTCTTCCTGTTTCACCAATGTATAACTTATTGCAGTAAGTGCAAGTTATGCAGTAAGTGCAAGTTATGCAGTAAGTACAAGTTATGCAGTAAGTGCAAGTTATGCAGTAAGTGCAAGTTATGCAGTAAATGCAAGTTATGCAGTAAATGACAGTGGCAAAGATACAGGTAAAGTGATTAGTGATGTAAATGGATCTCTTGGGTCCTGACATTTTCTCTATGTTAAGAATGAAAGGACAAGTTTTGCACTGTGAGTGAGCGCATATGAAAGTTCCAGATTGGTCATTGGTTTGAAATGAACTTCTAACCAAAAACATTTTGTGGAGGTTGTGAAAAGATAGTACCAGTCTCTGAATCGTTTTGGAGTAATTAAAGTTTTAAGAATGATAGATTTAACTATGTGGTTGTGAGGGTGAAGTGTGAGAGTAATTGGAATGTGGTGAGTGTTTTCCTTCTCAGCTGTTTGTAGCACTGACTGTTGATCAATTTTTTTGGCACAGTGGTGGCCTGCTTGAACAAAAGAAACAAGACAGTCATGTTTATCAAAACAACTGGCACGTTACCTCCAATTTTTCAGAAAAATTAGAGTCGTCACTGTATAAACAACAAAGTCTGAGAGACCATGAAAAAGGTATGGAATTCTTGACGTATGACAGATGTGAAGATGAATACAAGTAGCTATGTAAATCTGTAGGTTTGTAGTAAACACTGGTGCATAAACTGCTGCCTCAATTGAAATTATGATGTCTAGAGAACCAAAGAAGTGTCAGAAATTTTCCAAGTATATTTAAGAGTGGGTGAAAGGAATATTTAGACTGAAGAGAATCATGAAAGAAGGAAATAAAAGATTGAAGTAGTTCAACAACAGACAAATGAAAATCCTGCAACTGAAATCATGCTTGTCGGTAAAAATGATATTTCAAAGCTGCTCTGTAATATAGTTGAGGAATGGACAGGAAATACAAAACTTAATTTTAATTAATTGGGTTTATTGGATGTAAAAAAATACCCATAAAGATATAACAAGAAAATAAGAGTATAAATTACTTCTACATCAGCCAATTTACTTGGATAAGGGCAGAATCACACTGGAGCAAATTCAAATATTTGCCAATTTTTGCAAGCCAAAGATGGACAAGGAAAAAAATTATTGTGTCTTGCCAAACTGCACACCAGACTAGAATAGCTAGACATGTCTTGTGTACCATGACAGCCAAATGGTTAAAAAATAACCCAAAAGAAGCTGTGAGGCCGGACATCGGCTCCTTTGAAGAATGGAGAAAATTTGGCAAGTTTGTCAAATTAGGGGTCACTTGACTGATTTTTTACTTCAAAAAACAAAAAAAGCTCTAATGTGGCACCGGCTTAAATGACAAAAAAATCAAGAAGAACTGTTCAGATGAAGACACTCTGACAACATGTTTGATCATATTGTGAAATTAAACAGACATCAGCCAAATTTGATCAGTAAACATCAGATGGCTGATCATTGTTTCCGGTGCTGGAAATATTTATTTTATCTGCGCTGCTTATCCACATTTGCTTTCTTATAATAACTGTGGCTCTGTTCTTTGTTGTACCAAACAATAGACAACATTGTCAATCATGTGAGTCGTTATATAGCAGATATGAAGTCCGGCTCATTTGATTTGTTACAGCTGTGACCTGTTTGATCGAAATTTATTTTCTGGCAATAATCGCACCGGTTATTACTGGATGACCTGCATGTCGTGGCATGTCTTCAAAACACGGAAGACTTTATAATCCTTCAGTCATGAACCACGAAATAACGTGATCGTCGATAAATGCGTTATCAAAGTAATAACCTTATCTAGAGCAGCGCGAGTCATTTGCTTAAGGGAAAGTGATGATGAGTTTTTCATCAGTATAAAATTTCTGCGTGATTTTCCAGGCGGTTTTAAGACTCGAACACGTGCAAATTACGACAGTTAACTAACACACCTCTAAATAAGGATTCCTTACTCCTTTCACTTCTTCCTCTTCCTATCACGTTTTACCGAAACAGCAATATTTAGCTTTTTTCTGGCTGACACCGAAAGACGAAATCTCCCAATAATAACTTCAGGATTTTCGGTATTTAAATAAAACAGGGTAAACGACGAGGCTTAAAAAGGGGCTTCGTTTGGAAACAACCGCGTAATCTTCACTTGTTTTCAAAAGATAACTGCTTACATTGCCCAAATCAGTGCTCGCTCGTCAGTTTGCCCTTGTGATGACTTCAAAGCCATTAAATGCTAAACATGAACAAAAATTATAACGCTTTTAGTGGATGTTGAGTGCCATCTAATGATGTACACTTCTATGTAGCATGTAATTAAGCTATTATAAAATGGTGACTGCAGATAATTAACACGCACTAGAGGGCCTGATCATTATTCCGAATCGTAACTTTACTTACAATCTCAATGACCTTCACCCAGAAAACAGGATGTCTTAGGATCTTCCATCGTGATTCACCTCGATAAAGCAGTGCCATTGCTTGGAGAAAAATGAGCCTCGAGGCAACTTTAGTAGACGATCTAGCCTCCGTCCGCCCGTGTTACCTTCGGTTTGTTATTACAGAGGAGAAAGACTAGGACTAGTAGGAGGGGGCGGGGGGCAGGGGGCCCAAGTGGGAATTGTCCCCCAATAGAGTATAAGAGGACAACGTTATTTTTGGCGTTCTCATTGATACTGGGATGAAGAATGAGATGGATGGCGTTACTTTGAAGGGAAACTCGCGCGCGTGAGGATTAGCGCGCACTTTGTTTGACGTCACTGAAGGGATCTACGATATATGTTTGTTGACGTCAGAAAGCAACGAAGGAAACTCTTTGTGCGGGACAACTTTAAGACAATGAGGAAAATTACTATTTTTCTTTGTTTTCTGATTCTCGTGTGCGCCCTTTCTTCCACTCTAGCAAGAACAAGAAAGAACCCGTGCTTTAGCCCTTCGAGAAATAGTCATAAATACAAATGTGAGCTGAAGAACGTCATTTTTAAGCCGAACGACTATAAAGATTACCTCTCGACAACTATAACCGACCTGTGAGTACAGCTAAGAAAAAATTGAACGAAAGAATGGGACAAGTAGGGCATTGTCTGGGATAAACTGAATAATTTTAGCTCTAGAAGGAAACGGAGGTCTTTTTCTTCGGACTTCCGTCTTCTGAAAGTCCGATCGACGAGAAAGAACCCTGGCCCGCGTTGTTCAAATCTGGGTTAAGATGACCTAGGTTTAGCATGGAATTTGATTTCAGGTCTGAAAGCTTTGAAAGAAAATTCAGTTCAAATCTTTTTGCTTGAAATTTGATCATTGGATATTCTAAAAAGAATAGGGAAAATTTTCTCTAAAAGGCTTTGGAAAAAAGAAATATAGAAACCTGCATTAAAATTTAACCCTGGGCTAGCACTTATGGGCCTTTGAACAACTTGGCCCTGGTATATCCAGCTTTTGATCAACTTCTCAGCCTTTTTTTCTTATGTCTAACAATCCTTGTAAATAAGAGTAATTGTCGACTTTCCAATTACAAATTTCAACGTAAAAAGGCTAGTCTACTTGAAATTATTTTTATGGCTGTTTCTCAAGATATCAAAAATACTACACAAAGGATAAATAAGATATCCAACGAGAGATAAAAAGTTAAAAGTTGGATGCATTTGTTTTGATAGGAGTTAACACTAATTTTCTTTCTGTTGTTCTTTGAAGGGACTTAAGCGGGAACAGGCTCTCCCTCAACGACAATTGCTTCTGTCGGTTCAAGAGGTTGAGGAATTTGTGAGTAATATCATTTTTTCAGGTTGATAGCCGGCGTAACAGTCGTTTCTGATTTCTGTTTCACGTTTCTCCTCTTTCTTCCAATCACCCTCTACCACTTCGGTCGTGGTGGTGATAGTAGGGAGTTTAAGGAAACCACGACGGTAACGGCAACGGGAATTTCACTAAACAAAAGGTTTAATGAGCAGAACAAATAGCTGTGCATGTGCGTTATAAATCTTTGTGAATTTCTTTGCGTCCTCTGCAAAACAACAACGTGGAATGACCAAATTTTGCGTTGTCTATTTCTAAGATAACGCTGTGCTCCATATTCAGTTTCGAGATAGTTTTGACAATGACTTTAGAGTATTTCGATATTCGTTGGTAAAATATAAGTTCATTTTTTAAGCGACGTTGTCCACGGCATTGCCGTCGTCGTTTCGTTAACTCCCTAGTCTTTTGCGACCAACGCAGCGGTCAAATCCAGTTAGCAGTCTGAGTAAATTCTTTTTTTTTTTTTTTTTTTTAATCACTTGTCATTCTTCGGGTTTGTTTTTGATCATGTGATTGCGGACGATACTATTCTATGAAAGCCGACCCTGAATGTTGATTTATAATCCTAGCGCTCACAGATTGATTAAAAACTTTTGGGTACGGGATGGTACATAAATTGCTTTGAACGCTACTCTCTCCCCACCATCTCCTCAAGGAGGCTTTTTCGTGTCTCTCTCATTTAAATGACCCACTTTAAAAAACGATCCTCGAATGATTGTAGCGCTCTCTCCCCCCGTCCCTTTCCTCCAAGTAAACGGTAAATGGTGCAATAGGCAACAACAGGAATTTGTTTTCTTCTTTGGCAAATGACACTTGCGTTAAATAACGGACATATTTTTCCTCTGGAAACTGGAAAACTTACTAAATTTGTTTCACTTAGAATGTTAAGTGCCGAGGTCAAGATTGGCGTTAAAGCGAAAGAACGTCGGCATATGCTGCGTTCTAAAGGTAGCCAATATAAAATCGTGTGGCTAATTGCTGTTGTGTAAGAGTGTTGACAGTTTTTTCACGTGCTGTTGTATTATTTCCTGAGTGAGTCTCTAGATTCAATTATCTCTGATAAGACTTCTGCTCAGGTTATCGAAAGGTTAGTCATTGTAACAAAAGCTAACAACGGTCTTTTTCATCGGATAGAACTAATCACCGATCGCTTTAAGTAGATTTTAATTGATCACGCCTTAACCTTGACCCTTCTCAGTATAAATTGATCTTCATATATTTCGTAACTTTGGTTGCGTAACTCAAGTCAATTGCTAGCCTGCAGTGCAGGCGTCTTGTTAGTGCGAGCTAACGCTAAAAGCTCGCGATCGTTTGTTCGACCGGCCATTTTTGATTTGCAGTCAGCGTACCCCCGCCCCTCTCCTTATTTTTGACCGTCGACCGTCCCCTTGGTATAAGACATAGTTTGATGCTACTCTGGTTTGCAGATTTAATGAATGTAACCGAAGAAGTTACAATTCCTAGACCCAACGTTTCGACACTCCTGTCTAGTGCCTTCATCAGGGGTGATCTAAACGCTGCAACAAGAGGTTCTTTTATATGATCACTAATTAGCGGCCCTTTTTTTTTTTTCTGACGAGGTGTAAATAGGCGTCAGGAAGCAAACCGCCATCGCCACGATTTAAAGGAGCGTGGGCGGAGTTAATATGCCAAGCCTCCAAACAAAGGCGCTAGTGGTAACGCCGATTAGTGGGGATAATTTTGGAATTATCCCACCCAATTGTATGGTTAGTTAGGCATGTATGCTTCGATAAAGCTGAATTTTCCTTCTTGCAAAGGAAAACCGCTTTTTGGTGCTCTTTTAACCGTGTACCAAACTGACGTTTGGTCTGTCCGATGTATTCGTTATAACAGTCATTGCAAGGAATAGAATAAATGGCGTCGGTTCGTTGTTCTTTCGTGACAGGATCCTTAAACGCAGTATGGAACTATGACATTCATCTATTCGTAGCTTAAGAAAAGAAAAACCAGTACGGACCATGAGCTTGTATCCTTTAGCACTCCGTAAAGGAGGCCGAAATCTCAAACTCGATGGAAGCACATAGTTTTCTTTACAACGGTGATTGAAATACAAATAACAGCGATACTTAGCAATGCGGACTCTGGTCATATAAAAGGACCTCTTGTTGCAGCGTTTAGATCACCCCTGATGAAGGCACTAGACAGGAGTGTCCAAACGTCGGGTCTAGGAATTGTAACTTCTTCTGTTACATTCATTAAATCTGCAAACCAGAGTTGCATCATCTGATTGTCCACTTGGTTCCCTTGGTATAAATTTTTCCTCTCCCCAGCCTTCCGCTGCCATTAAAATCAAAGATGGCGGCCATAGTACCGGTATTCGTTATGCAATTACTTAACACTCGCTAGCCTAAATTACGCCTGCTCTGCAGGCTAGTCAATTGCCGGCTTTCAAATGTCAATCGATGTCTATCAAAGGCGTTGTTTTGAAAAGAAATACTCGTTGTCCATGGATCTGTGATTCCTCTTGTTCCCAATACCTTTTTTCTATAATGCAGCAATTTTGATTTGATTTTGACCAATCTCTAAGCTGGGTAATTTGGCGTGAGAGGCAAGACGAGAGGCTTTTCTCGGGACGGAGCTTGTGAATAAGGGAGTGAGTTAATGATGATAGGACAGTTTCTGTGTGTAAAAAATCCATGTAAGAAAAAAGAGGCTGGCGTAGGAAATATATATTTAACTTGTTAAATGAACCACAACATTTGGCTGAAATAAAAACTCCAAAACTTCCTAAAATTCTAAACAAAGGAGTAACAAATTTTCGCGAACGCGAAAGCGAAACTATACGAACTTCTTGCAGCTTGCAGGGAAATTGAATCACTAAAGAACGAAATAAGTGTATTGCAAGGTTTGAAGGACTCACGGGAGTTTGCTGAGAAGGAGATTGAACGCCTTAGAGGAAAAATGACGGACACAGCCACGACAATTAAAGAACACATTGAAGACATTGAATTCTTTTGAAATATCAAGTTAGAAGCCTACACGCGGCGCGAGAACATAAAAATCTTCAACGTCAAAGAAGAATCAGTGGAAAATACCGAAGAACTGATAAGAAAGCTGTTTGTTACGAAATTGCAAATTCCGAACAAAGATGTTAAAAATATTCGCTTTGAAAGAGTACACCGGATTCCGAGTAGGGCACCAGATCGGAGGTCAAGCCGTCCAAGACCAGTGATTGCAAGGTTTAGCTTCTACCAAGATAAAGAATTTGTTCGTTCATTCTATGAGAACTTAAAAGGAACTGTTATTGGAATCGCAAACGACTTCCCGAGGGAGATTGAAGAAATCCATAAAACGCTCTACTCTGTTTCAAAGAAGGCGCAGTAAAGAGCTTACTTCAATTTCGACAAACTAATTATTGATGGGCATATTTACAGAGAAAAAGAAACCAAGAAACTCCCCTACTGTGATAATATGATTGATTGAAGTCAGAAAGCACGTCTTGTAAATAACAGACTTTCTGTTTAATTACGTAATTTTGTGAGTGTGTTTTGTTTCTTATATGTAAGTTAAAGTTTTGTTTGGAGGAGAAACATATCTTTACTCGATACTTTAAAGGAGAGATTTGTTAAACTACAAAACGATCATAGATACCAAACTTTAAATTAGTTTCCTTGAACGCAAGGGGCATAAATAATTTCCACAAACGTAGGTCTATGTTCACATGGTGTCGTAAAAGAAAAGTAGATTTGTATTCCTTCAAGAGACGCACTCAAGGGAAGAAATCAGAAGAGCAAGGGAGAAACGAATGGTGTGGGAATATTTATCATTCACATGGAAGCCCAAATTTTTGTGGAGTCATGGTGCTGATTGAGAATAGATTACATTGCACAAGTCATAAGACTATCGCAGATCCCTCAGGGCAGGGTGTTTCATTGCTCCAAAGGTAGAAACCGATGTCAAAGTTTATATCTTGATAAACATTTACGTACCAAACAAAGACAAAATAATGTGCAAATTTTTCAAAAATTTACATAAAATATTGCAAACAGAAAATTTAGATCGTAAAGAAAATATTATCTGTGGGGAAAATTTTAATTGCTCTATAAATCCAAAGCTTGATTAAAAGGGTGGTGTAATTGTACCAAGGAAAATGTTAATAGATAGTCTTGAATGTTTACAAAACAAGTTAGATTTAGTAGATATTTGGACAATAAAAAATCATCAGACTAAAAGTTGCACTTGGAGCCAAAGATTGCCGCAAATATTCTCTCGTTTGGACCACTGGCTAGTTGCCACCAACCTACAGGATTTTGCTATATCAACTGATATTACTCCAGCGATAAAAACAGATCACGCAGCAAGTGAGCTTGCTTGAACCGACTCGTATCAAAGCGATAAAGGTGAATGTATTTCTTCTTGATGATGCGGAAAACTATCCCAATGAATTAGAGAATAACTTTCCAGAATGGAAGACAACGGGCGTAAATTATTTATCGAATAAGCTCTCCGTCTGGGATTGGCTGAAATACAACATCCGAAATCACGCCATTTCTTATTTTAAACGGAAGGCCAAGAAACGAAACGCAAAGGAAAAACGTTTGCCACCAGCTTATAAAGAAGCAATAAAGCAATACGAAGAAGATCCTTCTTCTTTATATTAAAATCTTTTAAATGACGCCAAGGAAGTTCTTGAACGTTTTTATGATGAAGAAACAAAAGGTATCATAATCCGCGCAAGAGCTCGTTGGCATGAACACGGAGAGAGAAGTACAAAACACTTTTTAAATTTAAAAACCGAAACAACTCTAAAAAACATAGCAGAAAACTACTTACAATTATATCTGATCCCTTCAAAATACTTGAAGAACAGAAACGCTTTTACCACAGTCTCTATAAGTCACAAAATACAGATACGGAGAGCAAATTTGGTGAAACATTCCTAGGTAATTTAAACGTACCAAAATTATCTTAAGAACAAAAGCAGCCTTGTGAGGGCGAAATATCTCTTAAGAAAATGAAATCTATTCCAGATAGCCTCCAAAACGATAAATTACCCGGAAATGATGGAATGCCAATAGAATTTTACATAACGTGCTGGATTTAATTAGCGATTCTTTAATGGTGTGTGCAGGAGACCTTCAAATGTGGAGAGATATCAAGCTCACAAAAAAAGCAGTTATCACTTAAATTGAGAAACAAGGCAAGGAACGAACACTTACAGAAAATTGGAGACCAATATCTCTTATCAACGTTAATGCAAAAATCATTTCGAAAATAATCTCAATTAGAGTGAGGAATGTTTTCAGTTACCAGGCATTATCCATCACAACCAAACGGGCTATGTTAAAGATCACTATAGTGGAGAAACTGTCAGATCGATTTTCGACAATGAAATTCACAGATGGTGAAAATACTTCTAGCATTTGATTTTTATCGACTTTAGGATAGCGTTTGACACTTTGGAATGGAACATCTTCAATTTTGGCTCAGATTTAATAAACTGGGTTAGAATATTCTACCAAAACATTCAGAACTGTGTTATAAATAATGGCTTAGCATCAGAGTATTTTACGTTGGAGAAAAGTGTGAAACAGGGAGACCCCCGCCCACCTCTTTATCTTGGCCTTGGAAACCTTGGCAATTTCAATTCGAGAAAATTCTGAAATGCAAAGAATTAAAATTGGTAATAATGGAACTAAACCTCTCCGATATACAGACGATACCTGTGTTTTCTGTGTTCTGGAGACCTAAACCATCTCGTGATATTACGGTGCGCGCTCATAAGGCTCAGAAACGCAGCGTGCGACGTTTCCGGAGTCGGCTATTAATGCTTTCGGAAGGTGGGTTTCTAGTCATCATTGGTTCACTGGTCTAGACAGCGTGGCTTCAGTTGACAGCTTAAAGGGCATGTAAACCCAAAAAACATTCATTTTCTTTCCACATAGATGTTTAGTAAATATATCAAGTACACCAAAGGTACCATTCGTTTTTTCTCAAAAGTCCATTTTCACTTTGTAAAAGCTCTTCCAAATTCGAAACATTCGCCATCTTGAATGGCGCCATCTTTCCTGTGACGTCACGGGTGGACCCTCCAAAGTCTCGTTTTATAATCGCGTGAGGCACGAAGGAGTCTTTTCTACAGCCGTTGTTTGCCGGTCTCGTCATGATTTTTTTTACTTACATTTTTCTTCAATATATTCAATTTTTTCGTAATGGTAAAGCGCTGTGTCGTCCAGTTTTGTACTGATTCAAACAAAACTGGGCATACAATACCGAAATATTTCCAAATGACGCAAATTTGAAGCGACAATTTGTGAAATTTGTTCGAGTGAAAATAGCCGATTTCGTCGAGCCGTTCGAACATTCTGTTGTTTATAGCAGTCATTTTTCTTCCTGGTGCTGTACCGACGATTCAGGCCTTACTAGAAGCAAATTATTCGGAAGTGTAAAAACGACCCATACAGTCGGTAGACGACGAGGATTCGGAAGTGGTCGACCGAACTGAGAAAGAAGTTGAGCTCTTCAAAAGTTAGAGGTCAACGGAGACAGTACAAAATCGATTTACATGAAAACGTTTCGTTAATTAAACAACGATAGCTTTATTGGTTCTCTAATGAAAGATTATGGGAAAGCCAGTCGTTCGGGAGCCAGCGCTGAGCCCATAAAAGACACTGACCCTTCTGATCCTTTGCCTGAATTCGAAACGTATCAAAGAAAGAAAATTCGTTGATGTCAGTGTGTAATAACGTGGTCTGGAATTTTGTTGGTTCGATGCAAAGAATTCTATACAGGATCCCATAATCAACCCTTATGTTCTATAAGAAAATCCATGTCAGCCCCACTTGGTGCTTCCTTTGAGAAACCCTGCAGAGAATCAGCAGAAGATTTATGTCACGATTTTCACAGCAGTGAAAATACATTCAAAGGTCAGTAGGACAATATTCATCATTTTGAGTACAACTTAAAAGATCCTGATTTCAGCTTGCAAAACTATCTTTTCGGTATTTCAAATCGAAGCAAACACAAACAGGGTTGGATAATTATGAAGACTACACAAGGAAATGTACATGGTACAACTTGTTTATCGATGGAAATGCTTCGAAGATGAAGGAAAGCAATAAATAAATATCTCATAAAGAACGGGCACAACTTCCAGTGCTGTAAATAATAAATAACTAAGATCTGCATTAACATATACCTTTGTTTCTCTCAAAGGTTTGACGGTTTTAATCCAGTGTAAGGCGATCCAAAATCCGCTGGAAAAATGTTTCGGATATTGTTTACCGCACAAGATGGCACAGCGACCCTGAATTGTTTGCCGAGATATTCCCAACACCAACGAACAAGCTATCTGTAGGCAATTTAGCGAAATTTCCTGCCAGGAAAGAAGCGAAAAACAACTAGCTCTAGTACTGTATTATTAAATCAATGGCAGAAACAACCCAAGCAAATCGATCTCAAAATGTAACAAAACAGATGAAACAGAAAAAATTTAGCTTACTCGTTTCCAGTGTGATTATCTGTGCCTTGCTGCTGCCTGTACGCGTAATTGGCCGTCTCCATCACCCAAAAATCAAGGCAAATTGACTGAAAACCTGGATGCTCAGTGTTACAACTTATCTGGGTTTCAGGCCCTTGCTACTCTACTTTTTGCCACAATTGCCCGATTTCCGTACAACAAACCCTTTCATGAGTTGTCGGCATTGGTTGACAAGTTCCACACTCGCACCTTTGATAATTTTGTACAAAACACTCTCAGAAGCTCAAGTTTAAAAAATTTCTGTTGCATTCTTTTAGATTGTACCCTCGCTTTATTGGATTTTCATGTCAAATACAAATAAATCACACAGTAAATTAAATACCAGTCTGAGTTTCCGAGGAGGTCGCATGGCTGTCGACATGTTCTGTCTTCGTGCGGATCGCTTCGGTGAACACTACGCGGCTCATATTGTTAAGGACGTGTCCCAGACTCTCCTGAAGATTCTGGATTATCCCCATCGCTGTCATATACTAAGCTTAAGGCATTCGAGTCGCTATCTTCTGAAAAAACATCTTCCAAACTACCGCTACTTACACGAACTCCCATACCAGTTCTACTGGGGAATATGTGTTGCGCAATATTTTAGTTCCACCGCTTACGTCACGACTTCTTGCTATTGTTTTTACCGGAAACGGAATTTCAGTTGAAAATGCCGATTTTCTCCTAAAATAAGTCGAATTGGACAAAACGAATTTCAAATTCGTTTTCTACGCCACTTTTTACATAGTTAAATTTACATGCCCTTTAACGAAATCGTTTAATACTGATGTGAAAACAGCAATTGACATTAATTTCCCACTAAAGTCGGTGAAAATCCATCTCACAGACAGACCCTGGATGACATCTCGCATTAAGCAGCTCATCCTCGAAAGGCAGCGTGCGTTCCATTCTGATAGGAGTGGCAGATGGAGAGAGCTGCGCACCAGGGTGCGCGATGAGATTGCTGCCAGGAAAAAAGCCTTTTACTCTGAGAAGGTTAGCTTTCTGAAAAATACCGACCCACGAAAGTGGTGGAGTCTCGTTAACAAGCTCTCCAGTAAATCCTGTGACGCGAGTGCTATCAGTTATGAGGTCGACAATAAGGTACTGTCTGGCCTGGAGTTGGCAAATAGGCTTAACAACTTTTTTGTTTCAGTAACATCTGATGTTACAGCCCCTTACAGCCCTTTCTACCCGCACCGGACGAGTTACCTGCCATCCGCCCCACGGAAGTCTACAAAAAACTACTCAAGCTAAGTCCTTCAAAGCTTGTGGTCCTGACGCGATTCAAATCGAATTCTGAAGCTATTCGCGTCCGAGCTTTCTGAGCCCGTGACCACTATCTTTAACCGGTCGTTGTCGTCTGGTGACTTCTCCTCGGCGTGGAGAGATGCCTATATATCACCAATACCAAAGGCGTCACCCGTCCCCTGTGACAATGACCTGCGACCAGTAGCTCTAACTGCATGCCTTTCGAAAGTATTTGAGGATTTTGTTGTTTAGCGGCTCATGGAGGACATCAAGGAACACATTGACCCAAATCAGTTTGGTTCTCTCAAAGGCGTGTTAACCACCTTTTGTCTACTTGATATGCTGCATAACTGGCTATCAGTTCTTGAATCACCTGGTACGTACCTGAGAGTGTGCTTTTTAGATTTCTCTAAAGCGTTTGACCATATTGACCATAATATTCTGGTATGCAAGCTTTTGAAAATGGGCGCTAGATCCATTGTCGTCAAGTGGATTTGCAGCTTTCCACCACAGAGACGAAAAGTTGTAAAGCTTGACAGGCTCCTTTCCGAATGGGCCCCGGTGCATGCCGGGGTCCCACAAGGGACCAAGCTTGGTCCAGTTCTCTTTCTGGTTATGGTTAACGATTTAGCTTGCAAATCGAGTTACTGGAAGTATGTGCGATCAGTTTTAGAGTACGCTTGCCAAGTTTGGATTAGCAGTGTACAGTCACCTCAAGCAGCAACTAGAGCGTGTTCAAAAACATGCCTTGAGGATTATTTTTCCAGGAAGTAACTATGAAACGGCACTTTGCAGAGGCTCAACCCCTCGTCTTTCAGAAAGAAGGTTGTGCTTATGCAATAAGACCTTTGAGAAAGCATGCGAGCCCTCCTCGCCTTTATATTCGAATGTTCCCCCCTGGTGTAACGCTGTCCGTGGGTGTAACCTGAGGTCTAGCCACCGTACATCGTTGCAGAGATGCAGGACGGAGCGTTTTAAGACTAGCTTTTTTCCAGCAATGGCCTTTTTACAATAGTAATGCATTTTTATATAGCTTGTATACATATATATATGTATTTACCAATATGTAATACTTTTGATAACTTTTAAAAATTTTTTTGAGAATGTAAGTAATGTAAACATGCTGTATTTTACTCTTGTACGAAAACATGTATTGAATAAACCTTTAATTTATTAATTTATTTATTTATCACTGCTGTGCTATCAAATCTTAACTCGACTAACGCATTATTTCAACAACTGGATATATTTAAGAATTTATGTGGAATCGAAGTCAACAGTTCCAAAACAGATGGTATGTGGATAGGGTCTCTTAAGAGTAACGATGAAAAACCTTTTGGTATAAATTGGCCAAGTGAACCAATCAAAGCCTTAGGCGTATTTTTCACGTATGACCAATAATTACTTTACGAAAAAAACTTCCAGGAAAAACTTGTTAACATGAAGAAATTTACAATCATTTGGACTTTGAGTGGGCTATCCATCTGTGGTAAAGTCACTATAGTCAAATCTCTACTCGTCCCTAAACTTGTCTACATGTCTTCGTTGCTTCCAACTCCATTACACATTATCAAACAGGTGAATCACACAATTTGCACTTTTTTATGGAAAGGGAAGGATAAGGTGACGAGACTTTCTGCAATAGACAATTTTGAACGTGACGGAATAAAAATGATAGTCATGTAGAGTTTGATTAAAGCTCGAAGACTAGCCTGGTTGAAGCGAATTTTGAACGATAACGCAAATACATGGAAGTTCTGTTTAATGCACCTCTTAAAATAAATTGGGGGCTTTTTCATTTTTGACTGCAATTACGCAAAGAAAGATCCTCAAATAGCATCAGTTTTCTATAGAGAACTTTTGAAATAGTGGTCAGAATTCCGGGACCTTTTCTCCGAAGAGAAACACTGGTTATCTGCAATTTGGAACAATAGAGATCTAAGAATTGATGGAAAATCTGTGTTGTGTCGGAATTTACACTGTTAAAGATCTGTTAATAAATCTAAACAATACTGAGTCCTTTGAAATAAGACGACAAAGAATACAAAAGGCCAATTTTCTTACATGGACAGGACTTAGACATCCTATACCTTCCAACCTAAAAACAACTCAGGGTAGGTCTAATAGTGACATCCCTTGTTTTAAGTATATAACAATGTCATTTTCAAGATTACCAAACAAAAATCAAAAGATTTCTATTCCATAATTACCAGCAAAAAAGTTCAGTTAGCTACTAACGCAGAGAAATTAAGGCAGATTTTTAACTTAAGTTGAGACTTATTTTCACCCTCCCCATAGAGTGGCCTTTGAACCTCATGTGAAAGCTTTTCACAATTCGAAATTTTAAATTCGATACTTTATACAAACAAGAAACTACTGAAAATTGGATATCATAATAGGTATTACAACATCGTCATGCCCTTTACTAAATTATTAAATACTGATCGGAAAAATACATATCTGGGATTGCAAAAGGACGCATGCTCATCCAAATATAGAAGGTTTCAAACTAAAGTCAAAATCAATTATCAAACGAAAAAATTACTTTGCTTCAAAAAATGAAGACTTGGATACTTTCTATAAGAAATGGACTAAAAACTTTCCACTCTAACCTTGGGTGTTTCTCTCTTTCATTTTGCATCAGTAATAATAACAATTATTGTATTTGTTTTTTCAATAGTAACTGTCTTAAACCTCATTGTAATAGTGAGACTGTACAGTAATTTAAATGTATTTTTATTTTAATATAATTAGTATTGTTTTTCGAACAATTGTAATGTTAATTTTGGTGAAAATTCTCACAACAGCAATTGCGCGGTTGTTGTTGGCCAAACCTCCTTGTTTCTGTGTGGTAATTTTAATTGTGTCTGTAACTTGTATTTGAAATATGATAAAAAAAATTGTTTGATGTGATTGGCTTATTTGTGAAATCACGTGCGCCGCGCGTGAATACAAAAAGAATATAAGGGGGAGAGAGGAAGAGCAAAATTGTTACTTGAAATTTGAAAACGAAAGAGGTTTTTTACACTGTGCCCTCTAATGGTTAGCTCGTGTTTGCAAGCCATCAGCTTTTAAATCTAATACCTTTTTTAATGGTAATTACTTGAGGAGCTCATTACTTGCAGTAATGGGCTCCTGACGGCTATGTGTGGAGTGGGAAAGGTATGCTTTTGTAAAAATAGAACGGTTGTGTTCATAGCTACATTTTAGTTAAGTTTACATTTATTCGTTATGTTTTCCCAACAGAAACTTATCGAACGGACAACTATCAAGAATATCAAAGAAACACCTTTCAGGGTTGAAAAGATTGAAAACACTGTAAGTTCACGCGCTACGGATGACATATCTAACGGCTATTTGGATCTATAGTTAGAAATGGAGAGGGTGATTTTTTATTCGCTTTGTTGTGCAAGTAGAAAATGGTAACTGCGTTTGTTTATTCACTTGTGTCATTGGCTTTTGCATCTTTCCCGCGCTTATCAACGATTGCATTTTCTCAAAAGCTTGTTTTTCCACGCCTGTCATGGCTGCATATTTTCGCGTGCTTGTCGTTGGCTGCGTTTTTTCCAGGCGTGTTATTAGTAACGCGCTTATATTTGTTCATTTGATTTTCCACTTTTTCCCCTGGACTTCCCTGTTGTCTTTCATCGATTACAATTTTTTTATTTCGTGCATGTAACAATTTATGTTTTTATCGTGTTTGACTATGATAAATATCCATCACGTGGTTTCTGCACATCTCAAAAGTCATATGTTTCTCTCCACCTCGGACTAGTCCCTTTCGCTACCTCCACCCTAATGTCCAGCATCATTTTATTTCAGTTTACTTTTTCAGAAATCAAGTTAAAACACCCTTTTCAATGGATGCTTTCCCTTTGCTGTTTTTTTAGTTTCAAAAATTTTTCTTTCAATCTACCTCCAGTGATCTTTCGCATAATGAACTCGAATGGCTACCACACGATGTCTTCGATGAGATGCCTAACGTTGAGCAAGTGTAAGTGTGAAATTTCACTTGAAATCACTCATTAGTTAGTCATCAGCACGTATTTTCTCCACACTGTTCCACATGCATTTCTTAGGGGGCTGTTAAGGAGAATTTGTTGAACAATCAAGAGTTTCTCTAGTTGGTGATCGTTTTGTTTATTCTTGTTACCTCAGTGTGTGATTCAGGGGTGATATTGTAAGAAGACATTAGATGCTCGTCATTTTCAGGGGTCAAATGGTTAACTTTTTTTTTCTCTTTTTATTTCTCAGTCGCTTACATGGAAACCCATGGAACTGTGCGTGCGAAAAAGGTTTAAAAGATCTTCTGAACTCCAAGCCAAAGATTAGCTTGGGCACTGAGCCTGTCTTGTGTGTCACACCTGACAAATTTAAAGACGCCAAAATACAGATTAACAAAAAGTGTGGTAAGATAGCGATGAGAGAGCTGTAAAAAAAAAAAAAGCACGAAACAAAACAACAACAACAACTTGATCATTCACGTTTTTCTCGCACTCCCGGCAGGTCACTTAATTCACTTCCCATTTGCTCCTCGAGATATTTTCCCTTGTTTTGACTGACCACTGTGATGACGCCCAATGGAAACTCAGTCTATCTCACTCAAGAGAAACCTATGGCAGATTGAATCAAAAAAATTTTCTTACCCAGGACCGTGACAATCAAACATTCTTTTTCAAGTTGTGAAAATGCTTAAATGTCAGCTAATGACAATTGCTTGTGAAGTTGTGACTGCCTGAGTCGACAATGAGGGATCAGAGAAGCAACATTTTTTCCTTGGGTGATTGTATGAGTTGTGGCCCTTGATATATTAAGTTTTAACAAATAAATTTGTAATACACCTTTGCTTATTGTGCAATGTTTTCAGAAATAAACGAGTGCTTGTTTGAGAACGACTGTGACGATGTCGCAACTTGCATAGATAATGCATTTGATTACGAGTGCAAGTGCACAAAAGAGGGATTTACTGGTGAAGGAAAAGGATGTTTAGGTAACGTGTTTTTACGGAGGTGTCATTGTATGCAGGTAGCTGTCGTTGGATGAAATTTGATTGTAGCGCACACTATGTATTAAATGATGGCATTTTATTTTGGTTGGAAAATTTAACTCAGTAGTTTTTCACTGTAGTCGATTATTTTCACTTCATCAGAAACTTATTTAATGCGATCTAAGATTTCTGTACTTAGATAAGGAAAATGCAGCTGTCCCGTTTGTTACCATATCTTCCAAGCTATGGCGTTATGAGCTCCGCTATGAAGTTAAGCGTCTTCGATCTAAACTCGTACGGAGAGATTATGGGACGACTATTTTCCACATAATCGCTGCTAAATCGATTTTCGTTTGTCTTATTTTAATAGACATCGACGAATGTAGTGGTTCAAGCAAATTTAAGGTCTGCGCAAAAGTAGGGGCAGTCTGCATTAACACGCATGGAAGCTACTCATGTGGATGTAAGAAAGGATTCACAGGGAATGGGAAGCAATGTACAGGTAATCACGTGATATCTCAGTCTTCTCCTTAGCCGCTGTTGGGTCTCGTCTCTTGACGTGTTCTCGTGTAGGAGGTTCTCGAAGGGGTTCACCTTTAACCGTAATTTAGTCGTTAGGCGTAAAAACTGGCAAATTTTAACTGTTAGTCATAAAAAATGTAAGTCGGAAAAAATCTGGTGACCACACTGGAAAGACTAAACCATTAGCCGTAAATTGGCCATATTTTCAACCATTAGCCGTAAAAGCCATCATCCCATTGAGACCCTCAAGTTGTGGTATCATTTAGGAAGCATAACTGTGAAAATCTCGAGGTCGAGTTTCCATTTTTCACTTAACGAGTGGAAAAGAGACGAGGAAAGGAAATTCAATTCAGAGGCAACGTGTTGAGAAAGTACGATGTGACGCTTCTTAAATTGAGTTATTGTTAGACACGATTTAAAGTGCGGAAGAATGAAACCTTTTTTAATCTTGTTAGAAAAAGTTGAAAACACTACATAGCAATTTCGTCGATGGGGTTTTTGGCGGTAATAGTGCCTTCTGAAACTAACTGTTTATCCTTTCAAGCGTTCAGGTGTCCTACAATAGTAACTGGTGTTTTTTTCTCTCCTCCAAGACATAAACGAATGTGTGGAACATGATTGTGACCAAGGAGAATGTCAGAACACACAGGGAAGCTTTCGATGCGACTGCTTTTCTGGATATGCTATGAACGCAGAAAAAGTCTGTGTGGGTATGTGCAGGGCTTTTTTTGTTTTTAGACTTAGCCCATAACATTCCAAACGAATGTTTTCCCTTCCTTCAAGCAGCATATGGTGGTTTGCGGCCTTTCCCTACATCTAAACAGTTCTCGCAAAACTCTAAAACAAAAATTTATCTTTCAATTCAGCACTCTTAATCCCCACGGTATCAACGAGCGCTTTTTATTCAACTAATTTATTCTTGTTTTCTCGTCACCATATTCCCACCGATAGCGTAGCTCCATTTTCTGCATATAAACCTACACAAAACCCACAATTCCTCCAATCGCTCTGACTAAGGGCTAACGCTGGAAGCATCAGCTTTTAATTTCTTTGCGGAGGCCAATTTACGTATACGTTATCGACTCAGTCGATAATACTTAATTACTCTCCCACCGACGCAGCACCATAGTTTCTTTTGAAACTTACCCCCCCGTCTTCTCTTCCAACCCCAGCCCTTCTACCCTTCGTATGCTTTTGTTCCCACGCGCAACATGCATGATTTCATGTCTTTAAAATCATTTTCAAAGCTATCGAGTCTCGTTTTTTGTTCGCAGATGTTATTCTTAACCCTTTAACTCCCAGATCAAATTTGTAATTCTCCTTACTGTCAACCATACAATTCTTGTAATGTTAGTTCAGAGAATTTAGTATTGGATCAACTAATTATCCTCAAATTGATATTTTTCTTTATTCTCGTCACTTATCTAGTTGATATTGTATTGGTATTGTAAGAAGAAATTCTGTCTTGGTCACTCAAAAAATGTGTTGAAAAATTCTTCCTCTTGATTGATGTGTTGCATGAAACGTCAGTAAATGCTGTTAACTCTTAGATTTCTTGACGTCTTCAAAATAATCAGCGCAACTTAACCCTTTACAGATATCGATGAATGCAAGGTTGGTAACAAAACCTGCAAAGAAATTCCTCATAGTTATTGTGTCAACTTGGAGAAGTTCCATTCTGCGGACGACGGTTATCGCTGCCAGTGTGAGAATGGGTACAAAAGAGTTGGCAAGAGCTGCGTTTATGAAGGTCAGCGAACGAGTTTTAAACAAGCACACAGCAAATTAAATGCATGAAACTCTTCTCTACTCGTATTCTCAGATTAACTCCAAGCCAAATGGAGCATGAAAAGTTGTTTTGTAACATACCCAAGCGAATTATTTCGGAAAAGCGCGACCGCAACCTCTCAGTGATGATGCTTAATTAAGTGCGCTTTGCGATCAATTTAATCACGCGCTATGCTTCATTTCAGGGGACATGAAGGAGTGGATAAAGTTCCTCGGGATAATCATCGGAGGCTTTTGCGGTATCCTGCTCTTGATCATTATCTCTGCTGTTTGCTTTAGAAAATGGAGAAACAGGTGAGTAAGAAAATGCTCTTTGTCATTTGTAAATGCATCTATGTACGTGTAACCACCTTTTTCCCCTTCTTCCTTCTAGTAATTTGTCCATGGTCACCTTCGAGCATGATGGCCAAACAAAAGGATTTTCGGTTGTATCTGAATCAGAGTTAGAGGGTTTTAGTTGTATACCTCGCCCAGACTTCCAGAATATGTTCCAGCCTTTGATCAACTTGTTAAAAAAAAAAAGCCCTGTTTATCATGACTTATCGACCATGGAAAAATCACGAGAAGAAAAAATGAAATTAGGCGGTTGCACGTGCATATATGCCCATCGATATGTAATGCAAAACTACACAATAAGCTCAAGGTAACCTCTCTATGTCGATTTGAAATGACTAGTTATCAACCCTGACTGGTAGATACTTGTTTTTTTACAAGGAAATCTGAGTCTGAATCTGAGAAGAAAGATGAGGTGGTCACGGCTCCTGTTGGCTTGGCACCCCCAGTAGACTTCGCCTACCTTGACATGCCTCAAACACAGAAAGCGGAAAATGAAGAGGACGACTGGAAAGAGCTAGAAGACGAGGACGAAGACGAGGACGAGGACGAGGACGAGGAGGACTAAGTACCAGGAGCGAGTCAAACTGTTGTTTGCTTTGTTTGTCAACGATCGTTTCTTCTTAATAAAGGAAAGCAGAAGATCTTACAATGTCTCAACAACTTAGTTTATATGAAGGAAAAAAGAAAGAAAGAAGTGGCAAATTTTAAATGAGTTAGCTTTAGATCGAACGGTATCGCTCTGAGTCCGTCCGTGGGGTGCCTGTGCTTGGTGCCCACGCAGGGCACTGTGCTCCCACACTCAGCATCAGCCTCTGTACATCTAAATACATACGAAACCTGTAGAGAGGGCGTCTTGTGTTTGCACAATTAATTGATAGGTGTCTCGAATTCTCTCGACCCCCATCGTGTTTTGACTACGGTTATGCAAACCCAGAAACACCCCTCTTTTGCTCACATACCGCTGTTGTTTTGCGACTGGTGCAAGAAACATCCCTGCAAAATTAAATTTTTGATTAAATTTTTTTTTGACAGGAGCCCATTACCCGGAGCCTCCATACCAATTGTACTCTTGAGTCAACCCTGTCCCGTATCTTTTTATTTTTAGAACTGAGATATGTGGGGGGAGGTTCTTTAAATTCCCGCGAAAACACACAGACGTTCCGCGCTTTTCGCAGTTATTGAAATACTTTTCATACTGCTGGTGACGTAAAAAATCGAGGACCACAGCTGTCTTATGATTGGCTATTATGTAAACACCCGCGAAAAATCCCGTGGGAGGTGCTTCTAAAAATGAAAAGATACGGGACAGGGTTGACTCAGAGGGTCAGTATGGAAGATGAAAGCTCTGGGTAATGGGTTCCTGATTTTGACCATTTCTTTTTTTTCAATTATCACCACCTCCCTGTTGCATTAACCTTTACACCCTAACATCAATATGCAGATTCTCCATGCTGTTTGCTATACATTTCCTAAGAGGCTGACAAGGAGGATTTGTTTAACAATCAATAGTTTCTTTAGTTGGTGATCATTTCCGCTATTCTTGCGACCTTAATGTTTGATTTAGGGATGATGATGTAAGGAGAAATTACATGCTAATCATTCTTAGGGGTCAAAGGGTCAAATGAACTTAGAATTTTCCTATGGGTTTCATCGATCAATATCAGTATCTGGGCAACATCCCACCTACCCCTCCCCTAACCCAACATTAACCTTAACTGGTTGTCAATTGACTGTTGTTGATTTGTCAATTGACTGTTTGTTGATTTTAGGGAGGGCACATTCGATAAGGTGGGCAGATTAAAAAAAAAAAACCTCAATAAATATTGTTATTATTAATAATATTATTATAACTATAAGATAAAGAACATAGTCCCTTTTTTAAAAAAAAACCTCTTGCATTTTCTTTTTTTAAGCAAGCAGCTAAACAGCTGTAATTTTACTTTTTGTCTTACATGGTCTTATTTTTTTATTTTTTGGGTTAACATTTGTTGAAGTCAGATGATAAACTCTGCATTTAATGGAGTCATTTTTTACTCAAAGGAACTTGAACATTTAAAGAGTTTGTGTCTGCGTCGAATGCACATTTATCACTTTCAATTTCTTGTAGACATTACTCCTGTATAATTAGGCAAAAATATCAATTAGTGGACCTACAATTCGGAAAATCTCATCCTATTATAGTTGTCATTAAGCTAAACTTTTATTCGAGTCCGGAAAATAGCACGAACCGAATATTACTAAATAACTGAAGGGATCCGTTTTGGTATTTTGAAAAATGTACCGCGATGCAGTCACACTCGAGCACATTTGAATGAGAAAACCACTTAAGGAAATTCACTTTTCAATTAAATTTTATTCTCTCTCTCAAATTATTTCAAAATAATTCTTAATTAGGTTGTTATTTTATATAGTTTTCTCTCGTTTCACAGACTGAAGAATCAAATGTACCACTGGATACAATCGAGGAAATACAAAATTTCGTTTACGTCTGTTATGCAAAATACGTTCAAAACAGAATTGGTACTTTTCCGCATTTTATATATATTTACCACATATACTACCTCAGCTCTTTTAAATAAATTATTAATAAAAGAACAAGTTTTAATGAGAGTGTACGCGAACAGAGGAATAGATTGCCACATAATTTCTTTGTGGCTTTCGAAAAAACTTGACTGGCACGATCATACTTTCTCGTTTCAATGTTGACTTAATTAAATTTTATATCGCACTCCTGGTTCCTGGCCAAGAAACTTCAACAATGATATCGCAAAAAAGTAACTAAAGATCTTCGTTACAATTTTTTTCCCGAGAAAGCCGGGCCGCAGAAAAGTTAACAGAGATATTAAAGGAATAGAATATTGATGTGCACGTGAAATACTTAACGCGAGATTGCGGTGTCGGAAGTTGTTACTACTTATATTCGCCTCGGAACGGGTTAGTTTTATTAAAATTTAATTGTGAGATGTCCATATTTTTGTGGGAACGGACAAATAAACTTCAGAAAAGACAAAACAAAACACTCAGACAGCTGCACTAACGAAAATGCGTTTTAGGTTAAAAACGTGAAGACAACTGGAGGACACGATAAAGTTTTTTCGAGAACCGCGCTTCTGTTAGCATTCGTACTATGGTCTTTCATAAAAATTAAATTTAGGAAAGCAAACAGCAAAGCAAAAAACACAAGAATTTAAGTTTTCACGGTTGAAGCAGCTGTCCCTCTTTTCTGTAAAAACAGACATTGATGTTGTTGCTCTCATTTCAACGTCAGAGAATGTCCTTATACTCGAGTGTTTACGACAGCACTGTTGAAGATGTCGCGTGTGTTTCGTCGCTTCTACTCCCGTCATATATAACCGAACAAATTGATCTTTGTGCCCAAGATACAGGTGGCTTCGCAATACAGCTTTCGCAATTTTCTTGTTCCTTGTAAAATTGAACCCGTTTCTTTCCTTTTGACCTTCTATTCGGTCTAAGAATTATACTAAATCGCGGATTTCGTAGCGCATACATCAAAGGGTTTGCACAAGAGGAAACTAGCGCTAGACAAATTGTAACAATTTTTGCTGTCGCTGATCCTGGATAACGCTCGCTGGTTTTACGTGGAAGAGATAAATAAATGGAAATTATGCAAAGTGGCAGCCAGCAGAAGAAATGAAGAATTGATATGAAGAACATTGTCCTTGTTGTTTTGATTTCAGCAAAGAAGCGAATAGTGTTTCGATTTCCAACTCCAAGAGGTCGTACCTTGCTAAATCCACTCCAAAGTAATTTGGACATTTTCACAAATAATACAGCCATTAGTAGCATAGGAAGGAAAAAACAAATCGTAACGTAAATGATGTTCAGAGTTCGTAAAGTTTTCGTTTTATGAGCGCTTATTAGAGGAAAACACGACAAGATTGAAGAAGTCAAACATGGGCTCGGGCCTTCTGCCAGAACTGTCCATGAAACCGCAAAAGCCAGTGCCAAGATGAAGACAAAGACTACAAGTCTTCCCGTAGTCTTGGCCGAAATTTTCCTCTTGCCCGAATTGCTGATAACATAATAGCGTTCCACAGCGACAAGAGTTAACGCTAGGTTCGAAAGAGCTGAAAAAAGCTCAAAAGTAAATCCAATAAGAACGCAAAGCCATTCAATGTTTTCCACTTTAGACCTTGAACTTGATAGTTGCAGATACGGCGGAATGGAGAACAATGCAAAGAGCATTTGAATTACGGCCATGTTCACGAAATTTGCGTTGGTCACAGTGTGTAACTGGTAATGGCGTGAAACTATAATACAAACTGCACTATTACCCAAAACACACAGGATTAAAGTAATTATTAGAAACGCAAAAACTTCCTTAGAAGATTCCTGAGGCACTGACTCGCACCAGAAAGTTTCGCTGGTGTTGTTCCGTTCCGTGACAACCATGTTCTTGTTGAATGCGATCAGCCTCTCTTAGAATTGAACGCAAACTTGGCGAAAAAGATCATCGATATTAAAGTCATTTGCCATTTTGCTCTGTGAATTTGTCGGCCTTCTTTGACGATATATCCATGAAAGAATCACCGCTCGATTACAGGTTAGAATATTTCCAATTCCAAGTGATTCAGGGAAACACTGCTTGA